AAAAATGTTGTCGTGAAATAAGATAAAAAAAAATAGAATGTGCAAAAAAAAATTTTTTGGCTGGAATTTGGCGGTTTCACCGGTATGTAAATTTCGACACTATGAAATTTGACATTATGAAATTTCGGCATTATGAATTCCGACATTATGAAATTTCGACATTATGAAATTTCGACATTATGAAATTTCGACATTGTGAATTTCGACATTGTGATACCAATTCGCAATTGAGGTATCTATCGAAAGCTCTCGACGAGCTATCTTCTCTCCGATTTGTGAAATTCCCGAATTTTTCACGCGGTTTTCACCGTTTCTTGGACATAAATTACGCCATTTTCCGCAAAACGCAATTTAATCGCCTTTATTGCGATCGAAGCGGTGTTTTCTCAAAAGCCTTGCAAAAGCTGACCTTGGGCTACCAGGAAAGATGCAAAAATTTGGAAAATTAGCTTTTGTTAAAAACACTTGCATGGGCAAAGCATCGAAAATTCAGCCAATTTCGCAAAAATGTTTGGTAGATGTCACAAAAATTTGGGAATTTCAAAAATTGGAGAGAAGAGATGGCCTCAGCTCGTCGAGAGCTTTCGATAGATACCGAAATCGTCAAAATCGGACACGACTGCTGACCGCCAGGAGGTGAGAGAGAGCGAGAGAGAGTGAGAGTGAGAGAGAGCGAGGTGAGAGAGTGAGAGAGAGAGTGAGGGAGCGAGGGTGAGAGTGAAAGATTCGGCTGAAGCAAAGCTACCACCTACATGTGTCTCTTCTCATGCCATGCTGGCCATCGGAAGACATTGCGACGCGCGACAAGCAAGAAATCAGGACAGATGATGTTGTTGTTGTCGACACGGATTGTCACATGGAATGTCGGCCAAATATCCGGAAACTCCTGATGCTCATCGAAAAACATTGACAATTCGATGCCCGGGAGGGAGGATAAGGAACATGTCTGAAATTGGGGACGGATTGGAGAGAGAGCGAGAGAGAGAGAGAGAGAAAGAGAGAGAGAGAGAGAGAGAGAGAGAGTGAGAGGGAAGAGAGAGAGAGAGAGAGGAGAGATAGCGAGTGAGCGAGAGAGAGCGAGGTGAGAGAGAAAGATAGCGAGTGAGAGAGAAAAGAGAGTGAGAGAGCGTGAGAGCGAGAGAGTGAGAGAGTGAGTGAAGAGAGACACGAACTTACAGTCACGTGTAGACGCAGCCTCGGAAATTGGCAGTTGAGGAGCAGCGAGCTGAGCGAGTGCTTGGAAATTACCTAAAATATCACTCAATAGCGGGAATTTCGTGGTGTAATCGATTCGAGATATCCCTCACCCTCGCCACTAACCTTGCTCACTTTCGCAGTTTCCGCTTGGTGTTCATATTGACGTGGCGATTTACGAGACACTGTAAATCGTCTTCCAATTTGGCATAAGGGAAGTGGAGAGGTTCGTTTCCCTTCGTAGCCATATCAAGTTTTCTTTACGCGGTGTCTAAAAACTGATTAAAGAGAGAGCGAGAGAGAGAAAGAGAGAGAGAGTGAGAGAGAGGCAAGAGAGAGTGATAGAGAGAGAGAGGAGAGAGAGAGAAAATGGGAGAGAAATCTATGAGATCTCATGAAACGCGCAACAAAAGAAAAAAGAAATGAGAAGCTGATTGTCGAGTTTGGTGACCGTGGAGGGACTGAAAGTTGGGGCTTACATCTAACATCTGTTCTCTCGGTTCCCATCCCCGGCCCCTTGCTCTTCACACACTAATAGATATATTGAAAATAGCCTCCGGATTCGCATCAAGGATGGAAGGCCGTCATTTCATGAATGCAGGTACCCCCGGTGCCATCTGCGCATCCGCTTCAGGGCCGACGGACCGACTATGGCCAGGATTTCTTATCGGATCGGGTACTCAAGGCCAGGATTTCTTATCACGCTCACCCCAGTAATTCAAAAATGTCTCTGTTCTCTGACCCCGTAACATCTGCTAATATGGAGAAAGAATTCCTGAGTGAATTTTCGACGTGTTCGAGCATTAATGGCGTCGTAGACTTACTATAGATCCAACGTAAAAATAGTTAATAAGTTGTTTTGTGATTTCTTTTACTATTACAACTAAAACCGGGCGTGATAATTCCAACAGAACGTTTGATTTTAAAGATGACGGAATTAAAAATTGTCAAACCAAGACTTAAAAGTTAAGTTACGGAAATATTTTAAGGATTAGTCGGATTGCTCCCTTAGTGTGTGTCAAAACGATTGACATTTGAACGCTATTACCTCGGCCCGCGTCGAGTTTGACGTCAAGTCAACTAGCAGGGATTGTAGTGCTCGCAAAGGCGCTTCATCTACTTGAAGTTTTTTTAAAACATAGCCGTCTAATTTTATATGGATGAGAACAAAATAGGACCAAAACCAGTTTTTTACGGCTTACAGTTTTTCGTAAGCATATTAAAAACGTAGTTTTACGGCCCATTAGTTATGTCCTTGCGCAATGTTATTATCCGAATCACGTTCTAAAATAAATAAATAAAACGTTTTAGCATCATACAATAAATAGCGTAAATCTAGGTCAAGGGATCTAAACGACGACATTGGTGCTTAAATAGGTTTATCATTAGTGTCCGCGGAGGCTCAGTCTCGATATGAACAGATGTCTAGGCAAGACATCGAGAGGGATCCCAGGACCTGATAAGAAATCCTGGCCTTGGGTGCCCCGTCCTTTCTTATCATGCCTATGTATGTCTGCCCTTGACATCTGTACATCGGCGCAAATGAATTTTGACATAAGTGAGAGACACACCAATGTGTAATTTGGATGTTGCCTACAAACGTCGCTCAAATAAAATTAGCAGAAAAATAATAGTTTGGAGCCCTATTTATCGAAAAAGGAGGGCTTCATGTGATTTCGCGATTAGATTCCAACAGCATATTTCCCTGACCGAGAATCTCACAACATGCACACAGACACTTTTTTAGATAGTAGGATTTATGAGAGCGAAAAACATAGTAGTCTGTTGCAAAACTAAACAAAAAACGATGGCATCTTAGCATTGGATAGGGCCGATCGATTTGGGTTTTTAGGCTATCGGTTGTAATGTTTTTATGTTGAGCCATGGTTCAAAAAGGCTTAGAAATACCACCTCTATTTCAACAAAGAAAATACTAGACCCATATGCGAAAATATTTTTGCCCCCCCTAGAAAAACACCTTGATGGCCAGAATAACTCCAAACATGTTCAAATCCTTCTTCGATCCCGAAAAAAACACATGAACCTCGGACGGACCTTTGAAAACAGAGATAAAACCCTTCTTTGAAACCAAAAAGCATATAAGGAGCACCTAATGGCTCGAATACACTTCGAAAGATAACTTATAAGCCTTTCTTGAGCCCAAAAACATCTTGAAGACTCTAGTAATGGCTAGAATACCGTTCGAAACCAAGCAGTAACCTTCTTTGATCCCAAAAAAAGCATAAGAGAACCTTGGAATTGCGAGTCCCTACAGCCCTAGAGGCTAAAAAAAACATATAAATCAGGTAATGGCCAGGATACCCTTTGAAACATAGTTATATTCCTTCTTTCATACTAAAAAAAACATCTAAGAATCGCGTAATGGCTAATACCCTTTGAAACATCGTTATATCCCTTATTTGAAGCCAAAAACCAGTTTATATATAGTAGACCAGTGGGAAAAATTATATAGTAGATAAGGCTTTGTGCCTAAAAACTACGTAAAATGCTAGAACAAGTGTTTATGTTTCCTTATAGAGTCGTAGAGAATCACAGGGGAAAGTTCGTCCCCCCGCTAACAGTCCAAAGTCCTAAATATCAGAAGTGCAGCTTCCAGTTCTGGATTGTTGGAAGCTGCGCTTATGTAATGTCGAACTTAGGTCGGTCGCCCTTAATTGGAAGGACATTTGAATGGATTGGTTCCCACGCACTCACCAACCAGATGCGCCGTCATCTAAGACATTCCAAAGGAGAACCAATAGTTAATTTTTGTTTTACCGCCTATGCCGAATGGTTGATAACAAATAGGGCGTCGTTGCAATGTTTTAGTAGTTTATAACTGCTACAAAAAATAGTTTAGAATTATTGAAAATTCGAAAATTTCGCTCTTTTTCGGCCGTTTTCATACACACATAGACCAAAAATGCAACAATTTCCCGAACTTTAACAATTTTTATCAATTTTATATCTAAAAACTATGTAAAATACTCTAAAAATGGTCTTAGTTTCGGCATAGAGTCGTACGGAATTGCTGGGGAATTACTGGTCAGAGTGAAATGCTGAAATGAAAAATCGGCGCCGCCCATAACAGTTGCCGGGCTGTTAAGGACATACCCTGATAGCTATAATTACCTCAATTGGCATACAACTAATTGACAACCATTTAGAGTCTTATTGTTCAGCCAGAAAAGTGCCTGCTCAGTACGTTCTCAATAAGCTTCTCCAACTTCTATCAATTTCTTTGGCTCTATACGTCTAGCTAGGCCGGCGAGAATAATGTAAACCCTAAAAACTGCGCCGAAAAGGGTAGCCGCGACTCCAGAATGATGGTTACCATTAGCTGGCGGACAGGTGAACATCCGCTTGGCGTGGCCCACGAGTTCCGAGGCGTTGTCGCTGTGGATGCTGTCGAAAACCTAAAAAAAGTCGGCACAGAAGCGAAGCGTTCGGTGACTAACCGCTAACGCGCACTGATCGGACGGCTAGTCGACTGTCCATGGCATGCCGAAAGCTTCAACTCCACCACAGCGACGTGCGTCTCCTTCCAGCCTGAAAAACAGTTTATTGGCACGCAAAGTGAACCACGAATGAACAGCCAAAAACGGATGAACAAAAACGGATGAAAAGCCAATCAGACGCTCAAAATACAAGATATATCCAGAATTGAATACAAACTACAAGGCATAAGAATTGAGAATTTTGATTCAAGTTTTTCAAGTTCAAATCAATCAATTAAGATAAATGTGTGCAGTTCAAAGAAAACGAAGACGTCAATCATCACAGTCGTAAAGGTTTCAAAGGCACTATAGAATTGACAGGCCATTAGGGCAGACGCTTATTCTCTTCACGACGATCCCGTTCCTTACGTCGAGCCACGTCCAGATGTCATAGTTCTGCGTCAGCGGGTAGGCCGGACCGAAGATTTGGGGGTTCAAGTGGCCTGCATCGAGCGGCGGCCGGAAATTAACCATCAACTGCGTCGTATCGTTTCGGCGCTCCATTATCCTTTGTACCACATTGAATAGAGTCGCCAGATCGTTGTCGTGGCGATGTCGCCAGGTCAAACACACCTCATCAAACGGATTTTTTAGTAGAAAATCGAGCACATCCGGGTCCTCGACGTGGCCAAGTGAGATTTGATTGGCTGTGGAGAGGGCGTCTCGGAGCTCCGGGCTCATTGGGCTCCAAATGTTGTCGGCTTCGATTCGTACCGGGCGCATCGTCCTTATTACGTGGGCAATGTTGTCCGGGTTGTCCGTTCGAAGGATTTTCACACATCGTACGCTTCTCGCTGCGGCCTCGGGAGGTCGGGCGCGGGAGTCATATTCGAAACATTCCACGTGTGCATGGCGAAGAAGGTCCTCTGCACGTGCGGTTTGGAATGCTATCTCTCTTGCACGCGGCTTGTGGGCCACACACGTGATCATTCCAAACCGTTTGTCCGGCCAAGTTTTCGCGGCAGCGAAAAGGCGCTCATCTGACTTCAGGAGTCTCATCAGCGTTCTCGGCTCAGCCCTTTCAAAAAGAGCCCAGAGCGCCGGATGGGGTAGGTTGTAGAGGCTTTGGTCGATCTCCATGGCCTCCCTGTGCTGCTTTCCGGGGTCGGATCGCTCGCGTATGCTCTCCCTTTCTGCGGCCCACCTAGAAAAAATAATTAGCTGATGCATTGTGCGAAGCCAATAGAGGAAAGGTAATACAAAATCAATTTGCGAAAAATCCACCCAAATCATCAATTTTGGCAGCAGGACTAACTTTCGAAAATCTCCTTTCAATTCCCAAAATTCTACCAAAAAAAAAATCGCAGGTCGATTTACCCTTTATAAATCCGGTCGAATACTATAATTCCCTAACCGCAGCGCGACCGCGCCGCGGCGTAGCCGGCAAATTTTCTTTTTTTTCTCCTCTCGCATTGAGATTTGTTTTTCGCAAAGAAAAGCTTTGCGGAATTGCTGCCCTTTTTTTGCGTGATTTTCCGCGCTCCTCCACGCCTCCTGGGTGGTGTTCGCAGTATGCGGACGTACACGCGCTCCTCTTTGGAGATTTCTTGGAAAACCACATAGAACCGTTCATAGGGTGTGAAACCTTACAAATTTGATTTTCCTATGCTTTCCGGCGGGTTGAACTTAATTTCGAGCAATTCAACCTTTTCGACGGCAAATTCCGACCCAGAAGGTCTAATTTTCGTTTGATTCGACGCGTTGGCTTGTGATTGGAACGCAGATTGAAGTGATGACGATCGCAAGGGGTTATAGGTGTTGGGAAACCGTAAAAAAGACAATATTACCAAGTTCTAGGTCTTTTTTAAACGAACGATGGCTAAAAATTAGTTTTTGCGCTTTGCCAAAACGCCCTTCTCACAGTTTCATTGCCTGGCTTTCAGTTTTGCGACTCGGGCGTGTTCCGCTGAATCCTTTCTTTTTTGCAGATTTGCATCCGCGCATATTGAGTTTTTTTGGGGTGGCCAGTGTTGTTCTCCTTCTCCAATATTTTCGATATTTTTGCGATTTTCGCGGCTTTCAGTAGTTCTCGATCTCTGCGCAAATTCTTGACTTAGATTTGCCGCCGGTTTCCACCTCCTTTTCCGTGGCCACCTTTGAGGTACTCGATTTTGTTTTCCTGAATCATTTCCATTTTTCGCTGTTTTCCCAGCACAAATTCAGTGTTTTTTTTCAGGGGCCAATCTCGGTGTTTATGCAATACGCGCTCGACGAGCAGGCGACGATTTTGGTATCGGGCGCCCGTGAGACGAGCACACCTGCAGAATGTTGGAGGTAAGCTTGTCGGCAAGTATAATTTTTCGCGCGGTTCGCCATTCAGGTATAAATTATATCGCGCGCCTTTTTTACCGTTTTCTCGATCTCGCTGTGATACTTTTTGTCAAATCCTTGGCGGCTTTCGGCGCTGATTCCGAGTATTTCAACGATTTTGGATGTTGGTATTCGGATTCAATGCAGAAAGCAGCCCGGGATCCCTTAAACTCGCGCTCTAATACAGTTTCGACTTTTATCCCAAATGAATTGCTTTTCATTGTCCCAATCTAGAATATGCGCATTTTCTTCTCTATTCATATGCGGCAGTATACGTTCGAGCTCGCGCTTATGAAAAAAGAAAGCTTTTTCAGGCCCAGGCCTAATTTTTTTAAATAGCGGATCCGTTTTGACACTTTTTGCCTGTAATTTCTAATGTCCTTTGTATATCCGTGCTTTTAGGTGAGGCTACAAGGATCGGCGCCGATGTGAGTGGTGGTCTCGTCGACATGAGGACGAGCGCTGGCCCCGCGGAATTTCTGCAAACAAGTGATGGTCACGTTTTTTACAAATATAACATTTTTAGACGATCTCCAGTCGCTGTTCATCGAAAATTCCGGCGGCCGCACGCGCGCAAATTGGCAAAAAGTGGCCAGTTAGAGCAAGCTGAACATTTCATACAGGTATGATAATTCGAGAGAATTCTAAATCCTTCCATTTCCAGCAGCACCTCGTGGGTGCTGTTTACGAATGATGTGGCGCCATTTGGGAAGAGATGGCAGACGGATGAACACGCAAGAATGCGGAGGAATTTGAGGGATATCGAGGGACGAAGAGCCACACAGAAAGATGTTGATGCGCCGAGGAGGCCTCTGAGAGGAAGGTGAGGCCGGAAAATATAAAGAAAACTTTTTCCAGTCCAAATTCTGCCAAAAAGGTCTAAAACTTCTTCTCTTTTGATGTTTTCGTTCTAGTTTTGGCGCGGGAAAGCTTGACGCTTTTATTGCTTGGATTTCTAGAAGGTTTTAAAATGCAGTTTTGATGTATTTAGGCGTGATTTTGGTTGATAAAGCTAGTAGAACTACTTTCGACCGATGATCGTCTCGGAAATGGCCGGGAAATGCCCACAAGTCTTTTCTATTGCCGATTTTAGGCTTGAAAAGGGCTCACGAAAAGCTGGCTGGTGTTTTTACTTGAATTTGGTGTTTTCTGCAAGTTTTCCCCGCTTCGTTTTACTTTTCCGGATCATGAAATGTAGTTTTTAGGTTTTTAAAACGTTTATTTGAGCGATTCTGCGAGATTTTGGATTTTTGCTTGCTTTTTTGGGGTTTCGGCGTGTTTTAGCCGCCAGTTTTGGCCAGGTGTAGGCCAAAATTTTGCTTGCGAGACTTGCAGGCATTTTACGGGCGCCGATCATCATCAAATTCGCTTGAACGGTCTCAAAACTTTACGTTTACAAGTTTTGACCGGAAAAGTCGTCAAAAAAAGCAGCTAGACTTTTTAAAGAAGTGATTTTGGCGCGCCGTTGGCCTCAGAAAAATTGCTGGAAAAAACGATTGGAAATGTTTCAGATGCACCGTCTTCGTGCTCGGCGACGAGAAGCTGATCGACGACGCGGCGCTGGCCATGTGGCGGACGGTGGATGAGGAGGCCGGCGTATACGACAACGAACTTGAGCAGAGGTATTGCATTCTTCAAATTCTCAGCAAGAAAAATGGCCAACAAGTGGATATTAATCGATTACACGCTGAAATTTCGTGTGCCATTGATTACGAGAGGAATTTTGCGGGTCAATCAATTACGCCACGAAAATCGGCAATATTCGATTACGCTATTGAAAAGGCGTTTTCGATCGATTACGCTATGAAAATTGGCATTGATTGCCTACGATAGGAAATTGGCTGGCCAATCGATTACGCGCTGTATTTCCCGGGATTCATCTCCATTTTTCAGCCTGATCCGTCGCACGGGTGCCGTCCGTACGCATGCCGTCATCCCGTTCTCCCTGGGCAACGGTCTCGAGTTCAACGTTGCCGCGTAAGTGCCATTTTTGGGTTTTTGGAAGGGAAATCCTTTTAGATATTCGCTGGTGGCGACAAAGACGAAGCCGACGCCATTCTCCATCCATGCAAAGACTGGGGCAGCACTCAAATCCATCACCACATACTCGTCTACCACTCAGGTCCGTCGCTTGCAAAAAATACGTCCGAATATGGGTAGAAATTCATATTCCGATTTTTGAAAACATGATTCTCTGGAAATATGATTCGAAAAAGGTTATTTCGTCGTTGCAAATTCGCAGAAATTCGGCATTTCTCATCTCTGGATTCCAGGAAACACCACATGACGCTGACGATGAGCAGCAACGGATGGAAAGGGAGGAGACGAAGGAGGACATTCCGAAACAATCCTTCCAACGACACCAATTGGCTCAAATGAGAGATGTTGGAGGAGAACGAATACTGATCACCCAAGGGGATCGAGACGTTCATCATCGATACCAGAAAGGTATACACTTTTAAAGGGTCACGAAATCTGTGGATTTTTGCCTTTACGATCCCTCCGAAAAATATGCCGTAATCGGTTACGCAACGGAATTGCGAGCCTGGTGCGTTGCGTGGAGAAAGCTGGAGGCAATATATAAACCCTGTCTTAGCCACCCCTTTAAAAAATTCGATTACGTGGGGTATTTCTAGCCTTCTCTACCTATCGCCCTGAAATTCCGCAAATTGTCGCTGCTCGCTGGCCCCGATTTTCGACGAGAAGCTCTGCTGGACGGCCCAAATTTTCCGCCAAAAATCTCGGTGTTTTGGCTAATTTCCCCCCATTTCAGGCCTTCGTCTACTGGAATTCCGTGCTGTCGTCCGTCCGTCCGTCCCCTCACCATCGGTCCACGCGACAGTTCTCATCTTGGCGCCACATCGCTCTACTCTCATTTGTTGGATCGGATGGACCATCGACAGGTATTTTTCCTTTTCTTTCCGTTCGCTATTCATGCCCGTGAGACTATCAGAAGCTCGAAAGTTCAGAATCTCTCTGAAATCAGAATTGGAATTAGAATCTCTACTTTTTGCCTATCAAAAAAAGTTAGGAATTCGTCGGCCAACACCTGTCTGCCAAAGAAATCTTTTGGTCTTGATTTTCGAGATTCTGATAGCAAATCGACTCAACGCGCACGCGCCGCCTTTCCATCGCGTAATCGATTACGACACCTTTCGGGTGTCGCGGCCGCGAATCCAGAGCCCCAAAATGGATGCCTTCCCGAGATCCCGCTAACATTATTTTCCATTTCCAGGTGGTGGCCATCTGTGAATATGTGGGTCGTGCCAATCAGAAGCCCCGTATCGTGGCCCTCATCCCGAATACACAGCACGATCAAGAGGTTTGTCGACTCGCCGATACTGTACTCTTAACGGGGGGGGGGACAATCTTTCGCCAGTAAATTCCATGCGGCCCTTTAACGAAAACGAATTTTTTTGACCATTTTGTGATTTTTTTAGAGATAAAAAGCACAGAAAAATTTATTTAATAGTTTTCTGTCAAAATACAAAAATTTCTGGCGCGGAAAATTACTAAAAAAGGCTATAAAATTGCCCCCCGTTAAGAGTTGAGTACCGATTTCTCTCTATCTCTCTCACTCTCTTTTTTCCAGGCTGCCGTCCATCCAGGCTTTCTCCTCGTCGAACTCCACGATCCCGGCGACAAAATGGACATCGCAGCGGCATTTGAGGAAAAGATGAAGCCCCCTGAAGGAATGGCAAAGTGGCCCACTGGTACGTTTTTTTGGGATATAAGGGATCTCGCCTCGGTTCGAATTATCTGTCGTAACCGGCTAATCTTGCCTGTTTTGAATGCGAAAAACGCTCAGAAAATCTCGCCCGAATGTTGGCGAGTGGCATTTCGCATTTGATTCTCTGCCATGGAGCATCCAATCAACATTCAAAGTGTAATCGAATGAAAGCATTTTTGTTTTTCAGGCTATGCCAAGGCTGTCGAAGCGGCGAAGACGCTGTGCCCGGCGCTGCTCAAGAAACGCTTCACACCCACGGCATATCCAAATCCACGTACGTACTCTCTCGCTCTCTCTCGCTCTCTTATTCTATTTATCTCTCTCTCTCTCTCGCTCGTTCATTCTCTCTCTCGCTCTCAGTCTCTCTCTCTCTCTCTCTCTCTCTCTCTCTCTCTCTCTCTCGCTCTTTCTCTTCCCATCCCTTCCATATCTCCATTTTCAGATCTGCAAGCCTTCTATACGATGATGAAACGAGAGGCCAACCTGGATACTCCAGACAATGAGACTGAAGAATGGACGGAGGCCATGCGTACCAAATGGGATCACATCAGTACGTTTCGATACGCTCTTTTCTTCGCCCAAAGACCTGCTTTTTCGACTCTGTGGGTTGTAGGTTGTCCTTCGAAGGGCCGAATTTCATGCGTCAATTCAGAAGTTGTGGTTTGTAGCTCAGCCAAATCGTCGCTTCTGTTTCGGATACGACTCTGTGGGCTAAAAAAGCGAAGCTTTGGAGTCTGTAGTCTGGCTCTCAAATGGCCTATTCAGAAGTTTAGATATTGTAGTTTGTACTCCGTAGTTTGTTTTTTTGGCGCAATTTACGTTTGTATCTTGTATCCAGGCTTGTAGACTGTCCTCCAATGATCAAATAGCTATTTCATTCTAGTTTTGATCGGGAGCTTTCTAGTTTGTCCTTTAAAAAGTCAATTTTTGCCAAAAATTCGGGTTTGTAGCTTGTAGTTTGGCTGGAATATGGTTATTTCAGGTTGATTTAGATATTGTAGTTTGTAGATTTTTACGGGTGGTGGTTTGTAGTCTAGCTGTCAAATGGCTCAAAAATGTGTGTTTGTAGATTTCCAGTTTTTGAAAGTTTTGATCCTTTAAATATAGTTAAAACTTACTAAAACAATGTAAAAACACTTTATCATTGATTACTAGGCCAACCGGGACCAGGACGAAAAAGTTCGTGAATCGTGAATCCTAAAGAGTGAATACCTAACAGAATCAGGATCTCGAAAATCAGAATCTCGAATCGTGAAAATCGTGAAAATTCCGGAGCCTTTAATGCTGATTTAAATCATGGAAATTTCGATAGTCTAAAAATTCGAAAATTTGAGATTCTATTTTCGGGATTTTGACAGATTCCCCTCAAGAGTCGGTAGCTTTTGCTTGCCCGTTCGCTTTTAATCGATTATTTTCAGGCGATTCGGTGAAGCGGTTCAAGGACATTGCCCCCGATGTATTCTCGCCTCCTCGACCGCCATCGACGACGACTTCAGCCATCGATAATTGTGAAACCGACGACGCGACAGCGCGATGATCTTTTTTCTGTGATATTCCCCTATTATGTCCTTTGATATATATATATATTATATATGATTAATTTTTCGCCCCTGTCCCCCATTATTTCCAATTGTTATGCCGACGCTTTCACAATTACTTCTTCATTAACCTATCCCCCCCCAATAAATAAACTACATTTTCGGTTGGATTTTGCGGCAGAAAAATACTATCGGATCTAATCCTGAAACTATTCGGAAGGCGTTGGGCGTCATCGTCGTGTTGCTGATGGACTTCTGCGGTTTGCTCAGGCCCGGCCCGGGCCGATTTTTCATGGTGAAAGACGGGGTTCGCCAAAAAACCTCCCGGCAATGTGGTTTGCTGTAAATACGATGTTAGTGTTAGCAACGAAAATTTGCCGTGTAGTTTTCGATGCTAATCGAAGCGCATTGATGTTTATTTGTCTTCAAGCACAGAGCTTACATGTGCCGGGAGTCCAAAGTGAGTAGAGCGGGCTAGCGGATCCCTCGCTGGCGCGGGGATGCCCGCCCAAAGACACAAGATAAATGAGCGTCAGTTGGCTTACGCATAGGAACCCTTTACTACACGGGACAACCAAGTCGCGCTTGTCGCGCACGAGACGGTACCGACTCGCGAGGTGCACGAGACGCGCGCGACGTCGATAGGCGCCAAATGGAGCTGCAACCGAATATTTCGTTATTTCGACACGGACACAAAACAATTCGACAGACCAAATCTTGAGTATTTTTACTTTCGTTTTAGCAGCCAGCTTGCGCGGTAAAGCTTCTGTCTTGCGTTTCGCTCTTTACTCATCTTTTGCGCGCTCTTTATTTGAGAACTGATAATTCATAAAAATATTGTCTCTTTTCCAGGATTTTTAAACCGAATACTCTACAAGCCTTTTTGTCAAGCCAGCGATGAAGATTTTCGGGGGCCCTACGGCTGCTACATTTCGAGATTTGTCCGATGTTGCTGCATGTCGAGGAGGCAGCGCCCGGCGCCGTCCCAGGTAATCTCGGCGCGGGCTTCGGAATTCGGGCCCAAATCAAGCCAGTCTAACACCCGATTTTTCTGCCGTATTTTGGTGCGCTCGTTTCGAAAAACACTATCCCGAAACGTGAAAATTAAGTTTTCTAAGTGTTAGGTTACCAGATGGTTACAGTCGCTTCGCGACTGCAACCATCTGGCCTTCGGGCTACCCTCCATGTCCCACTCCACCACATCCTTTCCCACCTCCATCAATACCCCCCATGGCTGAAATCCCCTTCAAAAACTACCTAAATACCTTCCCGATGGCTTTAGATGATTTAAATAATTAATTAACATAATTAAAAAGTATTAAAAAGTATTAAAAGTATTAAAAAGTATTAAAGTAACTTAAAAAAGCTATCTGGGCGCGGGAAGGCGCCTGGGGAAGAGGGGCGAAGGGAAAGGGGGCGTGGCCTCCCGGGAGAGGGGCCCCCACCCCTGTTACTAAGGAAAAACTTTCAAAGTTAATTTTAATAATTTAAACTAAAAGTTTTTCATAATTTTTTTATCAGTTTGGGGGTTTCTGACCACGCTCTATCCGAATCCGAAGAGACCTAAGCTCTAGCTCCTTTCCCCTTCGAGTTGAATTCGGCTTCACACAGACAGACGGACGCGTCAAGAAATTTATTATAGTTGATTTCTTTGTGAGTCTTTCGGGTTTTGTCGTTAGTTTGCTAGTTTATTAGTTTCTGGCTTATGTTTATCGCGTGGGCTACCACAAACGCGCTTTTGGGGAAGCCTAAGTTAACAAAAATAACACGTTGTTTTGGATCCAAAACGGAACTTTCGTGGTTAGGGATCGTGGAATAAACTTTGGAGCAATGGTAAAACGGGGTTGCGCACGGCGGGAGTCGAACCCGCGACCTCCTGTTTTCCGCACAGGTGCTCTTCCGCTGAGCTACATGCGTCCCGACTCAACATCGCTCGAGGATGAGGGAAGGATGGGCTGATTCAGGCCATGGCACGAAGCCGTTTCCGGGGCTTTTCCCCCTCCCTTGCCAATCCTTTACAGTGGTTTTCGGAAACAGCACGCAAAACTACGCCGAGAAAAGGTGTGAAATAAAAAGATTTGACTGGGCTCCCGGATTTCGAAATAGCGCCGTACGACCGTAATCTCTATGGCAATTTGCTGCCCGTATTTGCCGATCCCTTGTGGATCGAAGGCGTAAGAGTCTAGAAACCCCCCCCCCCCCCAGCCGGCACCAACTTTTTTATCTCGGCCCCCTTTTGTGCTAGCGAGCTCTAAAGTATACCAAAATGTTCGCCGTAGGCTAATTTTCGACTGAACTACATTGCAGTTCAGTCGAAAAAAGTAGCGAAAAATAAAAATAAGGAAGGTAAAAAAGTTGAAAAGTCGGCTGTAGGGGGGGGATTTCCTAGACTTGAGCCGATCGAAGGCGTAACAGTTGTGTCGCGTGGCCCCTTTTGCAACCTTCAACATCAACAATTTATTCCTCCACAAAAAAAAACACTCAAAAACAAGCACCCGCAAATTTTGGGGGGAAAGCGAGGCGCTTCAGGCGAACGGGCAGCCGTCGATGATCACCTGCAAAAGTCGCGATTATTGCAATTTGTAGTTTTTAAGATTTATAAGGCTCTTTTTCGAAAGCGATAACGCTACGAAAATCACGGTTTCGCGATCGATTAGTGCTCGTAAAGTAGTTGGATTCGGCGTGCGTAATCGATTGCCCAGTATTTTTTTTGAATCGATTACGCCACTAAAACGTGCTGTTTACGTACCTTTGTCGCCTTCAATGCCTGCTCGAAATAGAGGGCCTTTCCGTTGATGGTCAATTCACGATAGCAGCCAGTTAGGGAAGGCGATAGACCCGACTCTTTTGCGGCGATTGCTGAAATAAATTGCGGCATTAAAAGCTCAGTAATTGGATAAGAGAGAGAGAGAGAGAGAGAGAGAGAGAGAGAGAGAGATAGAGAGCAAGAGAGACAGAGAGAGACCGAGACCTACCATTCACTCCAGCGATATTGAGCGGCAGTTTTGTGAAGAATTGCCGGGTTGTCGAGGTGAATGGGACGGGTACGGTATGGGATTCCTGGAAAAAAGACAATTTTGGACAAGCTGGTTTCCGCAAAAATCGCTGCTAACCTGCCCCGGTGTATGCACTTACGCGATCAATTGTAACTCCGAGATGCTGTGGATGGAGATCGATCCTTATCGTGTGCCATTCACCATCGCATAAGGGACGAATGGTTGGTAGAACATCACGCACTTCCATCCCGGATTCGCCGTGCAACACCGAGATTTGCATCTGAAAAATTAGCGGTTTCTCAAGACTCCATGCTAGCCTGCTCTCTCTCTCTCTCTCTCTCTCTCTCTCTCTCCCTCTTTTTCTCCCCTTCTCGCTCTCTCGCGCTCTCTCGCGCTCTCCGACTCTCTCTCTCTCATTCTTTCTCTCACCCTCTCTCACTCTCTCACTCTCTCACTCTCTCACTCACTCCCTCTCTTCTCTCTCCCTCCCTCCCTCTCCATCTCCCTCGCTCTCCCTCTCCCTCTCTCTCTCATCTCCCTCTCCTACTCTCGCTTTCCCTCTCCCTCTCCCTCTCCCTCTCTCTCCCCTCTCTCTCTCACTCTCTCTCTCTCTCTCTCTCTCTCTCTCTCTCTCTCTCTCTCCCTCTCCCTCTCTCTTACCATTCCCTCATTCCATTCCAATGCCATCCGATCTCTCGGGTTCGAATTGGCCATCAATGCAAGAAGTGTTCCGTTTTGAGTAATCGGCCGTACTTCCATCTCGATCCACGGTACCGTACCCTCCCAACGGATCTTCGACAGGGGCTCTGGAATTGGTTACGATAGGAAATTGACATTGTATAATCGGTTATGCAGTAAAATCGGGTAAGACTAATCGATTACGCAACGAAATTGTGGCTGGATATCCGATTGCGTCATTAAATTGAATATTTCTCTCGGTTACGCCATGAAAATCAGGTAATCAAATCGATTACGCGGAAAAATCGCCGAAAGCGATTCGATTACGACATAAAATTCGTTAAAAAACGTACCAAATACAGCGAATCCCTCGGAGTGCACATAGGCGCCCTTGGAATGGGATAGAGAACAGGGGATGACGTCGCGAGAAGTATCCGTTAGAAGGGGGTAGCTTCTGAAAAGTGATATCGTACTCCGTCTCTCTCTTTCTCTAGCGGCATCTGCGTCTCTCTCTCCCTCTCACTCTCGCTCTCTCGCTTTTCCTTAAATGTATATGCCCCTCTCTCTCTCTCTCTCTCTCTCTCTCTCGCTCTCTCTCTCTCTTTCTCTAACTGTATCTGCCTCTCATCTCTCTCTCGCTCTCGCGCGTTATCTGTCTCTCTCTCACTCTCTCTCTCTCTCTCTCTCTATCTATCTCTCTCTCTCTCTCTCTCTCTCTCTCTCTCTCTCTTGCTCTCTCTCTATTTCTCTCGCGCTCTCTCTCTCCTTCTCCCCCCATTTGTGTAGTCTCTAGCCCACCGTACCTATCATCGACGGTGAATTGTCGAATGCAACCCGGGAGACTGGGTGGCAGGGAGAGGCCGAAATGACGATGCGCCGAGATCACACCACCAATATACATACGACGACGCATCACCTGAAAAGTGATATAGCTGAAATTTCTATATGGCTTTCTCTCGTTTTTACCGCTTCGCGGCGGCGCCTGACGACGCAATCGACACGCGACGCCCACGCCCGCTTGACAGGGGAAAAAAATGACGTAATAGATTACGCAATGAAAATGGCTTGCGATTGCATCGTGTAATCGATTACGACACCTTTACGCCGGCCAAGCGAGGCGTGCGCGTTGCGCGTCGCGGCAAAATCGAGGAAGCCTACTTGCGATCCCCTTTAAAGGGACGGCAACAGGAAGAAGGAGATACAGTACCTTCGGATGTGGGCATTCAGTGATCCTCAGTGGCGACAGCCCCTCATCCACTTCAATCAAAACATCTCGCTCTGTTTTGACAAGGCGAATTGAATGCCATTGGTCATCATCGAGACGTCGATCCGAGAAGATCGCACGGCGAGGCTCGCGGTGGCCTGGAAATAAGTGATTACGGCATGAAAATCAAAGGCTAAACGATTTTAATCGATTACACCACTAAAATTCGCTAGCAGCCAGTCGATTACGCCATAAAATCGGACATACCCTTGATGTGGAAAGTGAGATATCCCTGTTCAACCGTCAGCAAAAAGTATCGTGTATAATTCTTGTAGTTTGCCCATGTCCAGAGTAGCCCCTCGGAGGCGTCTGTTCGAACCTCGAATTGTAGGGAGAACCTGAAGACTTTGAGGTGTCACACTCCCTTTAAAACTCACGAGTGAATATCCGGGGTGGAATCCTTGTCGAAATTGATTCGGGAATGCGACGATTTGGCGACTCCGAAACGAGCCGCACCCTCAGATCGTTGGCCAGATGGGATCAGGGTGCACTAAAAAACGATTTGATTGTCACTTTCTCTCTGTCTCTCGCTCTCTCTCTCACTCTCTCTCGCTCTCTCTCTCACTCTCTCTCGCTCTCTCTCTCGCCGACGGAAAGCTCCCCTTTCGCGACGTAATCGATTACATAATTTTTTGCTGCCATGCGGGAAGCGCGATGCGTGGCCAGCCATTAAAGGACCAGTGAAGCCAAAACCTACCGTATCCCGATCGACTGGCAGGGGTTTCGCATCATCCCTCATCACCTCGATTGGCCCAATTTCCGGGTCGATTTGAATCGGGGATTGTTTCCGGTCAGAGGCCGGTGGATCGATATCGATTGTGTGGTCTGGAAACGGAAATGAATTTTGGCAGAGAGAGAGAGAGAGAGAGAGAGAGAGAGAGAGAGAGCAGAGAAATCTCGGAAATAGACTCACCGATGAGTAGATGTGGTTGCTGCAGAGAGCAGGCACCAAGTAGCGCCTTCTGGTGGCGGGGTACGATCGGGTGACGGCTAGAAAAAGTGGCGTAGCGCAATGTTAGTGCGTTTGGTTGCCGCCCATACGACCCGAGTTCGGCCCCGCCGCGGCAAACTTTTTGCTTTTTGGTAATTTGGTCAGTTTTTCGATAGGAATCGTTAAACTGACAGCCAGACTACAGGCTACAAACTACAAACCATAGACTACAATCCGCCTTGGCTAGAAAGGACCCGGGTTCAACCCCCCGACGCTGCTAGCTTTTTACTTTGTGGAGTTTCAGTCGATTTTTTACTCAAATTCGCTAACCTGACATATAGTCTACAGACTACAACAAATACCTAGCGAAAATTATCGATTTTTACGCCAAAGTACCCACTTGAAGTTGTGCGTCAAATCGGAGATGCACCCGATGAGGGAGACGGCCGTCGGGATCTCGGCTGACGGCGGCTCGATTCCTGGCGGGAATCTGAAAGCAGAGGCTGTTAACCAGTCAAGTGTACGGTACCCTCCAATATACAGCGGTAGTGAAGTGCCACCAACTGGTGCCTCATCGGCCAACGTGGCCACGCCCACTTCACGGTCATCGATACGCATACGAAGGCTGGAAAAGAAGCGTTAGACAGAGCGAGAGAGAGAGAGAGAGAGAGAGAGAGAGAGAGAGAGAGAGAGAGAGAGAGAGAGAGATAGAGAGAACTTACTTGTCTCCGTCTCGCACCAAGAACAATGAGTGCGCATTTCCGTCGTTGTACGCCTGAAAACAAAAATAATTTTTTTTGCAAAACCTGTTTTCAAAAGTTCCCCAAAGCCGTCTGCTAGCCTACCCTTTTGGATTTAGGCTAGCTGGCAGACAACCTAAAGATTCCGCAATCTATCTCAGCTCAAAAACGGTGTTAAAGGGTTTGTGAAGGCACATCCGTAAGCGCCTAAGCCCCCCCCCCCCAAATGGCCTCTGCTATCTTGCCCCTTTGGATTCAAGCTAGCTGCCGGTTAGCCTAACGAGTCCGCAGAGAATCGCCGCGAAAAGCTATTTTAAAGGTACCAGGAAGCCAATAACATACCAATGGCGATCTGATAGTGACGGCACTCTCCCTCATCACCGGATCCAACCCGAAATGGGCGACGATATAGCCGCGGAACAGATACAGCGCCAAATAGCCCTGAAATCGATCGATAGTTCGATATTTCGTCAATGCCCTCACCAATGGCCTAGCCTGTCTCCTCTGGCGTTGCTCTGGCAGTTGAGCTGATGTAAAGAGGAGTGTCCCGTTCTCTTCGCGGGTACGGAACGTCAGGGAAATCCTGAAAAATTGCGTGTTAAAGGGACCAGCAAGACAAAATTAGATTTTAAAGGGATGATGACGGCAAATCTTATTTTAAAGGGACCGTGACACCTACGAGGAATTTGTCGTAATCTCGAATCCTTGTGTAACGAAATATCCGGGTGTCGGGAATCCGATCAATCCATCCGCTTCGAGATGACCTCGTTGGAGACGACAGCCAGCCGATCGACGGAGGGAGCGGAGCGGGGAACCGATGTTCAGGTCGTTCACCTGCAAAAATTAGAATTTTGAAAATTTTCGAATTTTTGAAAAATATAATATTGTATGGTTTTCGTTTTCGCACCTGAGTCTGGATTGTCCTTTGTAGTCTGGCTAACAATTTGGCGATCCCCACTCAGGGCAAATTCCCAAAAAGCAAAAAGTTGGCCGCGGCCGCGGGTCGAACCCGGGTCGTCCAGGTGATAGATTTGTAATAGATTTTTAAAGAATTTTGACGGGAATCACTAAAATGTCATCCAGACTACAGAATACAGCAGTTAGTTTGACTTTAAACTCGTTGAAATTCGGTTAGGCGTACGACGCGGGTTCGACCCCCGGCCGCGGCCAATTTTTTGCTTTTTGACTTTTTTTGCAAAATTTTTGGAGGAATCTCCTCGTTGTCGTACAAACTACAGACTACAACAGAATGGGGGATTTTGACTATCAAAAAAAATGGCAAAAATTACAGTACCTGTGTGGGTTTTACAGACAGAATACAGCCAGTAAAGCCTCTCCACTGAATCGCATGGTGGGCAAAGGCTGAGGTACGGTATTCTGGAGGGACTCCCGCAACGAAGTGGGCATCTCCTGGAAAAAGATGGTAATTTCTGTCTCTCTCTCTCTCTTTCTCTCTCTCAATCTCACGCTCTCTCACTCTCTATCCCTCTCTCTTTCTCTCTCACTCTCTGTCTCTCCCTCTCTCTCTCCCTCGATCTCTCTCACTCTCTTTCTCTGCCCCTCTCACTCTCTTTTTCTCTCTCCCTCTTTCTTTCTCTCTCTCTCACCTTGTATATTCATCTGCGTGTTCTGTCCGGGGATTACTGTACTCCTCCTATCTGCATCGGAATCCACCTGAAAGTAAACAATGACAATTTCAAAACTACAGTACCTGTAGATGCATTTCCATTCCATTCCGAATCGCCTTCACCGTATGCTGTTGTCCATCGAAATACGGACTTCCGGAGCGAATCTCGGCCGACGAGGCCCCGCCCACATTTATCTACAGTGGGGTTACGGTAGGCTACGATCGACTGCGATACCTTGAATACAATGTGCCCCTTCTCCATGTAGAGGGCCAAGAAATCGCCGCTGTGCTCGTCTCCGCGGAAGTACAGTAATCCTGAAAATTGGATTTTTTTTTGTATTTTTGCTGGATTTTTCGGGACGTTAAGTTAAAAAGCACGTAAAAATACAGTACCTTCCGTCGAATACGTGCTGAAGGCTACGGTAAGCGACGCAACCGTACGCTCGCTGACTGGCAGGTTGATCACCGCGAAGCCGTCGCTAAAAATTATTTTTTTTCCACTGTATGGACGCCAGAAAAACCGAATTCCATGTCGTAATCGGTTTAAAGGGACGGTGACAGGCCGCTGGAATCCGAATTTCATGTCGTAATTGGTTCAAAAATTCAGGAACAGGCCGGGTTACGGTATTTTCGGCTTCGCCACCAGACAGATGGCCCGAATTCCATGTCGTAATCGGTTTAAAGGGATGGTGACAGGCGGTATGTACCCGAATTATATGGCGTAATCGAATAGCTTTAGACAATTCTAGGTGTTACCGTCCCTTTAATAGAGAAACGCTCACGTACCGGAAATGCTGCGCGGGAGGCGCCGAATTCGGTGGTGGGGTGGCGCCCTCACATTCTTGGGTCGATTCTTGGAACGCCCACAGCTCGAGCGGGGTCTGAAAATACGGGTATATTCTGGTTGTAGTCTGTAGTCTGGGCGCCAATTTAGCGATTCACGCAAAAATTTGGGTCAAATTCGAAAAAATAAAAAGCCTAATTGTCATTATCATGGCGTAATCGAATACTTCAAGATCGTGGGAATACCATGGTGTAATCACCTAGTCTTCAGGGAATTCCATGGCGTAACCAGATAGTCTGGCGCAACAGAATTTCCCGTCGTCATCGAATAAACTTGCCGTGTGAGATTTGATGGCGTAACCGGTTCGACTACCTGGGTTCGACTACCTGGGTTCGACTACCTGGGTTCGACTACCTGGGTTCGACCCCCGGGCAACGGCAAACTTCTTGCTTGTTGGAATTTCAACTCATTTTTGGGGGGGGGGGATCGCTAAACTGACAGGCAGACTACAAACTACAATCCTAATTTGGGCGCAAAATCCCGAAAAAAGCAACAAAAAAATCCTTGCTCAAAAATTTTGGCATGAAAATTTTTAATTTTATTCTATCAAGTTTTTTAAGACTCTAAATTCTGACCTGATCGACCCTGAGGCCTCCAATGATTCCCTTGAATTGCGACGAGGCAAGGCCGAGTTCTTTCGCCTCCTCTTTCGTCGTCCCAAAAGCGAGTTCGGTCTCCCCGGGTACGGTATTGAAGATGGAGTCTCCAATTGAAGAATGTTGACCGGCAGAGACGGAAATTGGATCCGAACGGAATGGGGATCCCTCTCCGATTGTCGACTCGCGAAGGGATACGGTAAGATTCACCGAGTCGCCGGTGCGCGAGACGTCAATGTGGTACCTGAAAAAATTGGCATGAAATTTGAGATATTTTTGGGAGGGAGGGCAGGCTAGCAGGGATTCCCTGGGAAATAGGTAGATTGGATGGCAGATGTCCTATATCCGAAGTGGTAGGCAAGCAGAGACCGTTTTGGACAAACTAGCGCCCGAAAAGCTGAGTGGTTGAGTGCGAGGCAGCTAGCAGAGATTATTTGGGATATATGGGGGCAATCTAGCATAGATCCTTTGGAAAATCGATAAACGGGATGTCAGTTAGCCTATATCCAAAGTGGCAGGCAGGCTAGCAGAGACCATTTGGGGAAGTTAAGACCTAAAAACTGGGTGTTTGGGTTCGAGGTCGATAGCAGAGAGTATTTCGGAAATGAGGTGTGGGCTAGCAGAGATTCCCTGGGAAATAGGTAGACTGGATGCCAGTTAGCCTATATCCGAACATGTAGGCTAGCAGAGAACATTTGGGAAGATTTACGGCCCAAAACCGGCAAGGCTGATTTCCAGGCAGCTAGCAGCGAAAATTTCGGAAAAACATGGCGAGCTAGCAGAAATTCTTTGCGGAATCGGTATTTTGGACTCCAGATAGCCGTTTTCTAAAAAGGGCAGGCTAACAGCGACTATTTGCGGAAAAACTGAGCCCCAAACTGACCAGGTTCCGGTGGCCGCCCGATCGGAGTGTGGGATGAAATTGATGGGGTGCGTGTTGGTCACCTTCTTCTTCCCGCCTCCGATGTTCCAATGGGCAACAACACGACGGTCAACAACCTGAAATAAATGACGTGAGCTACGAATAATTATATGGCGTAATCGGATAACCGTGTTCAAATGTAAAATCCTGAAAGTAGAATTTCAATTTAGGTATCGTAATCGGATAGACCGAGGCAAAAAATTGCAAAATTTTTACCTCAACAGCAACGTATTCGCTGGCCTGGGTGCGTCTTCCCTTGGTTCGTGTGGAGAAAATAACAGCATCGGGGACTCCCTGAAATTGGGTGGCGTAATTGAATAAGCCTTTCCAGCACCTTCAGAGGCCTGAATTTGACGTGGAATCGATTGGCAGATGATGGGGCAGCCGGGGAGATGTATGAACGACGACAGTGGCCACGTTCATCGGCACGCAGGGCGAGCGGGACCTGGAAATTCATGGCGTAATCGCTTACTCGGTCTCTTCCTATCTCTGTCTCTCTCACTGTCGCTCTCTCTCTCGCCTATCTCTCTCTTTCTCTCTCTCACTCACTCTCTCTCTCTCTCTCTGCCTACCTGTCGTGCTCTCTCCCTCGTCTCTTCGATTCTCTCCTTCAATAGGGCAATTCTCCTCTCGACATCAGCCATTCTCTCCCCATTTATCGCCATTTCATTCCGAGTTCGACTCAGGTTATCTGATGATGACGACAGCTCGCTTCGGGCCAGGGTTATCTGGAAAAAGGGCAAGCATATCGAAAAAAACACAAAAAATTTAAAAAATGTCAAATTATGATTTTTTAACCATTTTTGCGCGCTGGATAATCGATTACGCGAAGTAAAAACATAGAAAAGCGTTTTATGAAGTGAAAAAACGGTTGAAACGTTAAGCTGTCAGTGGATTTATCGTTTGAAAATGATACGATACCTTGTCGATCTCTTCGCGGATGCCTTCAGCCGTCGAATTGGCCAGTTTGTCGGTCTGTTCGCCAATCTGAAAAACAGTTCGTTATCCTTCGTTTTCTCTCTCTCTCTCTCTCTCTCTCTCTCTCTCTCTCTCTCTCTCTCTCTCTCTCTCTCTCTCTCTCCGCTCTCTCTCTCCGCTCTCTCTCACCCTCTCTCTCCCCTTCTCTCTCTCTCTCTCTCTCCTTACCTCTCTAACTTCCTCCTTCATCCCCTCAGCTTTTTCCTTGGCTTCCCTGGCTCGCTCCTCACTCTCCACAGCCATCTGTTGCAGACCACCCATCCTCTCATGTTGATCGTCAAAGTTTTCGAGCTGGGCTGAAACGAGAACTCGATGGTGATTTGGCCTATCAACCAGCCAGTCTAGCCATTCCATAACAATTTTTGCTAAAATTCTTGATTTTAAAGGGGCCATGAAGTCAAAGTCGAAAAAGTCCGATCTGCCAATTTGCTATTTCTTCAAATTCCTATTACCATAATTTTCTAAAGCTTCCTAGGTGCTCTCTGCTAGTCAATCCTTTTAACTGCCAACCAATTTGCCGAGTCAAAAAATATTTTTGATAAAATCCGGGTACTAAAGGGATTATGAAGACAAGGGTCGAAAAGTCCGATCTGCCACTTTGCCCATTCCATCAAATTCCTACCTACGCCCCCTAGGAACCATCAATTCCGATTAAGCGGACGTCAGTTAGTACCAAATTGAAATACTTACGTCTAATAGCGTCCTTCCTCCTCGTCATATCGATGATCTGCTCGTTGACAAGACTCAGCCTTTCCTTCAACGCTTTCCCCTTTGCGGCCAGATCTTCTGACGACCAAATCCTTTGAATCGACGCCGCCTCTCCAGATAGTACGGTACTGTACTCTTGACTGCCAGCCACCAGAACGGCCAATCCCTTCTCCTTTTCTTCTTCCCCAGATCCGATGGCCAGATTGTGCGACTCGGTCACGGCCTCCTGAAACGATCAAATGGTCTCTGCTAGCTTGCCGTTGGAAAAGGCAAACTGGCCGGCAATTTTACCTGTTCCGCAAATGATCTTTGCTAGATTGCCTCGGAATTCCAAAAAAATTCTCTGCTATCGATTTACTTCCAGTTTTTCGACGTTTCAGATTCCCTCAAACGGTCTCTGCTAACCTTTCTCTGCTTTTTCGGTTATCTGGCTTCCAGAACACCGCTTCCGCAAGGGATCTTTGCTAGCTTGCCTTCTCATTTGAAAAACTATGTATTTTGGGTGATTTTTACCGTCTATCGACGCTTTCTCTCTGTCGGTCTCTCTCTCCCTCTCCCTCTCTCCCTCTCCCCCTCTCCCTCTCTCTCTCTCTCACTCTTTGTCTCTCCCTCTTTGTCTCTCTCTCTCTCTCTCTCTCTCTCTCTCTCTCTCGCCTACCTGCGCCTTTTCGACAGCCATCGTCGCATTCCTCAACGCTCCAACAATATCATCATAGGCCGCCGATGCCTTCAACGGATTTGCCGCTTCCGCTTTCGTCGTTCGGAAGGCGTCTCCCACTCTCCTCGAATGTTTTGCCAATTCCATTGCGTGTTTTGATGACGGCTGTACATAGGCGTCATCGTACTCGTCGGTCAGTTGGGCGTAGCTGAAGGATTCCGACTTAAATGATCCCTGCTAGCTTGCCCTACCTGTTCGACAGATTGGTGAGTGTATTGGCGTGTTCAGCAGCGGCAGCCAGACTATCTCTGATCTTCTGATAGCTATCGTAGGCATCGAGGAGCTGGCCTTCACGGGCTTGGGACACTTCCGAACGGGCATTGCTGAAAGAAGGGGTTTAAAGGAACGTTAAAGTCGCGATTCGCTATAGGTTTTTGTGGTGAAACACGCAACGCACATGCCTCGGATTTCCATCGCGTAATCGATTACGACATCATAATCCCGGGCAGAGGGTGACGTGAGTGAGAGAGATAGATAGAGATAGAGGGAGAGAGAGGGAGAGGGAGTGAGAGAGAGAAAGTGAGAGAGAGTGAGAGAGTGAGAGAAAGAGAGAAAGACAGAGAGTGAGAGAGGGAGAGAGAAAGAGAGAGCGTGAGAGCGAGCGAGAGTGAGAGAGAGACAGAGAGAGAGAGAGAGTGAGAGAGTGAGAGACAGACAGACCGACAGAACGAGGTCTCTACCTCAACGCATCCTCCGCTTCAGCCCTCAACGTATCAATCTGCCCGGCAACCTCTCGATATCTCTCGATTCGCTTCGATACTACGGTACTCATTCTCGATGCATCAGCCCCGTCCTTCTTTGCTTTTTCATATACGGTCGTCCGGAAATCTTCAACGAGCCCTTCGACGTCGACGAGGCGCTAAAAATGAGTTTTAGCAGGTGGACGGAGACCGTTTGGAATTCCTCAACGAATCTCTGCTAGCTCGCCTTCAGTGGCTTGACTGGCAGCCAGCTAGCAGGAATCCATGCGGAATTTTTAAACCAGAGCACAATTTTCTTAATTAATCGCTGCTAGACTGCTTGCCGAGGGTCATCATATCGAAGGGCAGCTAGCAGAGAAAATTTGGGAAATTTCAGACTCATTAATGCGTGGATACCTGATTGATCTCCTCAAATGCCGTGTCGTTGAGCTTAAGCTGCAGCACCTTTTTCATCAGCTCGTCGGTTTTGGTCTGAAAGATGGTAATTTGTCAGGGATTTTTTCGGTTTTCCAAGCGATTTCTAAGGACGCCCCAGGGTACTGTAGCGGCCTACAGCATACGATTCGAAAGAGGAACACGAACTCTATCAAATGATATACTGTCCGCTACCGTACTCCACCGGAATCTCATTTTTTAGCCCTCGGAGATAGACGAGATGCGTTTTCTCGGCCGTTTTCCTACTTTCGGGTCATTTTTTCTTGGCGTCTATGGGTACTCTAGCTACGTGTAATATACCATTCGAAAGAAGAGGTTGAGCTCTACAAAATTGCAGACTGTAAGCTGCCGTATCCCACTGGAATCTAATCACCGAAAGTGGAAAAATCACTCAAAAAATTCTGAGTGTTTTCTTGATTTTAAGAGTACCGTAGCAATTTTAAGCGGTTTGAACTTGATCTTTAGCCTCAAAAAAGCATAAATTTATCGTTAGAGCCCTAAAAATTTGAATTTTGAAAAAATGGCCGTTTTGGGGTGATTTATCGCCAAAATTTCGCGGAAAATGGCCGTTGTACGGTGAGAATATTGGGGTCAAGCTCGGTATAAAAACGCCGAATTTCAAGGGGAAAAATACCCACAAAAAACCCCAAGAAATCCCGAAAAATGCGCGTTCTCGCACTGATCTTCGTGGTCATCTTCTGGCTGGCTGCCGATGCGCAGGTCACATCGCCGATCAGGAACCAGAACGGCGGCAGGGTACGTTTTTTTAGAGATTTCGCGTCTCAAAAAAGCTCAACTGGCTTCCAAGCACCACATTCCCAAAAAAGCAAAAAGTTTGCCGCGGCCAGGATTCGAACCCTCGACCCTCGGATCACCAGTTCTAAACCTTAACCAACTAGCCAACTGGTTCCCAAGGAAACCCTTGGTCAAAAAGCAATAATTTTTGCGCTGTGCGGATTCGAACCTCGACCCTGAGATTGACAGTTCTGGACACTAACCAATCAGCCACGGTCCTCCTAAGCCAAAAAACGTTAAACTACCAATCGATTTCAGGGAAAACGCTCTCACTCGATCACTACTGGACCGAAACAGGAATGGTATTGATGACAAAGCAATAAATACGATATATGGCAGCCTTATCAAGTTGAAAACCGAATTCGAAATTTTTTGAAGAATTTACCTTGGCTCCCTGGACTCTTCCATGTCTCTTCTCCACATAGCGGCCCCTTTCAATGGTCGCATTTTGATGAGCCTCAGCCTCAGCAGCCCAGAGTTCGACTTGTCCGGCTCCCACCGAGATTCCGCCTGAAAAATTACATTTTAGGTTATTTTCGCAAAGAATCATTGCTAGATTGCCCGGCTGGCTAGAAGAGATTCTTTGAGAATTTCAGGGAGAATCCTTGCCTTCTCTCTCTCTCGCTCTCTCTCGCTCTCTCTCTCTCTCTCCCTATCTCGCTCTCTCTCGCTCTCTCTCTATCTCTGTTTCTCTCTCTCCCCCCCTCTCTCTCTCCTGCTCTAGCGCTGACAGCTATCCGATTACGCCATGAAAACGTACCGTATCTCGCGAAATGTTTCAAGAATTGCGTGGTGTTGAATGATTGTTTGAATGCAGCCTGTGCATCTCTTGATATCCCTTCAGCCCTGGTCGTGTAATTCAGAATGTCCTGCTCGGCACGGGCGGCTCGTTCTCCCATAAAATTCGCCTGGAAGGAGGAAAATGAGGTCTTCAAATTCTGCCGTACCTCATCGACGACAGCATCGGCTTCTCTGGCGTATTTGCTCTTTCCCTGGATGTCGAGAATGTTCAGATCCGATGGGTCAACAGCAAGACCGCCGACGAATTCGCGGAGTACTGGAATTCGATCGAATTATTTCATTGCGTAATTGAATGCGTAATCGCTAAAAAGACGATTTCGAACCGATTACGACATGAAATTCGGGGTTGTTTCTAGGAAAAAACGTACGTGCAGTGCTGTTCTCAATCCTACCGACGCGTTTCCAAGGAATTGGCCGCAAGTTGGTGAAGTTCTGGAAAATTTCGTAAAATTTAAAGGGATCTGGAAGGCCAAAATTTCGCATTTTAAGCCACTTTTAAAAGGTAGTAGAATTAGAAGTATCTACCTGCTCAGCCAGCGTCTCCTCCAGATCATCAATATCCAGCATCAGCTCGAGGTAGCAGCCCTGATCACAAGCTAAAACAGGAGTAAAAAACCTGATGGCTGAATGGTAGTGTGCTAGACTGTCACCCACAAGGTCCGGGTTCGACACGCGCCGGCGCCAAATTTTTGCTTTTTGGGGTTTCAGCTTAGTTTTTGATGAGAGTCACTAAACTGGTATCCAGACTACAAACTACAACCATAACTCTGTAAAAAAATCGATCCTCCACTGACCCGGTTTCCACCGTCACCCGGAGGTAACTTTTTCCTTTTTCGGATTTTTGCACAGATTTTGATGGGGATCGCTAAACTGACATCCAGACGACAGACTACAATTGTTAAACAGTTTCAATCAGCGATTACGCTATGAAATCCAATCCGAATAACCGGTTAGGCGATGAAAATCTGACCAAAAATACCTACAAGTGCATTTCCGGTTGATGAAAGCGTGGCGTTCCTGGCAACGAGAACAGTCACGGCCTGTCACGCCCGGTCTAAAAACAACGCAATAGGTACATTTTTTCTTTAATTCTGTCTATCTAAAGCGTCATTAAAAGCCCTTCAAAACTTCAAAAACATACTTGCACTCGCACTCTCCAGTCAATGGATGGCAAGAACCATGGAGAGAACCATCTGGATGACAATCACATTCGATACATTGGCCGCCAATTGAGGACGGGTCGCCGTAATATCCGGTTACGCAACTAAATTCGTGGGGTTTAAGAATTTTTTGCGCTGACTCTCTCTCCTTCTCTCTCGCTCTCTCTCTCTCACGCTCTCTCTCTCTCTCTCTCTCTCTTTCTCTCTCCCACTCTCTCTCTCTCTCGCTCTCTCTGTCTTCCATTCTCTCTCACTCACTCTCTCTCTCGCTCTTTCTCTCTCTCGCTTTCTCTCGCCTACCTCTCACAGTACTGTCCAGTATATCCGGGTTTGCACGAGTCGCAGAGGTATCCTCTACCGTATTCCACCGGCACGCAGGTTTTGCTAAAATTTTTGGGTTTAAAGAGACCTGGAAGTCCGGTAAAATCACCAAAAATATCCGCAAATTTTTTTACACAATTTTGAATTTCATGGCGTAACCGGATCGCCTGAGTTTTAAAGGGATGGGTATGTCAAAAAAATGCATCATTTTATGGTGTAATCGGATCGACCAGTATCTTCAAAGAAATAGAAAAGGAATTCGTTAGGAATTTTCCTGAAATTCATAGCAAAATCGATCCTGCACTCTTACATGGCCTTTAAAGGGACCGACAAGTCAGAAAACTCCGCAAAAAAAAAACTTTTTACGCGATCTTGGATTTCATGACATAATCGGATCGCCTGAGTCTTTTAAAGGGAGTGCGACACCGACCTGAACGAGTTGTCGACAAGCGGGCAAGCGCATTTCGTACAAGCCAGCGCTCCTCCTCTCGTAGCGTCTCCCACGTATCCCTCCAGACACAACTCGCAACGGTCTCCCCACGTGTTGTCGGCGCAGTCCTGGAAATGTAGCATATGGACTCTGCTAGCTTACTGTACCTCCTGGTAGCGCTTTTTAGGAGCTAGCATAGCATAAAAAGACGCCTTTTCCGTACAGAATTTGAAGCGCTATCGATCGATATCAAAATCACCGAAATCGGATGTAACTACACAAAGATACGGTCATTTTTCAAGCGTTCCGCCAATGGTCTGGGCCAGTATGCCCCATACGAGGTAAATTTTTGGGATTTAGTTTCATAAGATCCAGGATTGCAAGGGCTACGAATTGATACAAAAATCGTTAAAATCCGATATAGCTACGCAAAGATACGGCCAATTTTCCGAAAAATTCCGCAAATGGTCTCTGCCAGCCTACCATGCAAACGCCGGTCTCTGGATGACAAGTGGTAGTATGTGCATGACAAGCACACGGTTCACTCCATCCAATCGGGGCCAAATCATCCGGGGAATTGAGGAAATCCCTCTCTCGACTACGGTAGTATCCCTTTGCCGGGTCCTGGCACGAGCCACCACCGTAACCCTGGGGACAATCGATGCATTCCTCGACGCCAAGTGCCACCGGACCGTGCGTGTCTTCGGAAGCCACGTCGAGCGAGATCTGAAAAATAAAAATGGAAAAGGACAAGATGCGAATGTGGATTCGATTTTTTTCACTTTTCCGGGCCATTTATCTCGACGATTAGGGGTACGATAGCCAAGTACAGTATACCATTCGAAAGAAGAAGACGAGCGCTACCTAATGTTATATTGTAGGCAACCCTACTCCACTGGAATCTCATTTTATGAAGCCTCAAAGATGAAAGAAATTCGTGTTTTCGTAATTTTCCGTATTTTCCGCGTTAATTCTCAGGACGGCTAGGGGTACTGTAGCTAGGTATAATATACCATTCGAAAAAGGAGAACAAGTTGTATCGATTGGCATACTGTAAGCTAGCGTACGACATATTGAAATCTCATTTTATGAGGCTCCAAAGTTGATAGAAATTCGTGGTTTCGCAATTTCCCCGATGTTCCGGTCAATTTATCTTAACGTCTAGTGGTACTGTTGCTATGCATAGTATATCATTCAAAAGACCAGAACGAGCTCTATCGATTGGCATACTGTAAGCTACCGTACTCCGTTGGAATTTCAAGTTATAAGGCCCCAAAGAGGCGAAAAACTGACCTCGGCAATGGAGATCGTATCACCACGGGACGGGTAGTTGTACGAGGCGCGGATGTAGACGCCCTGAATATTCTGGAGGGCGACCATGAGCAGCTTCCGGCTGACGGCCACTTCTGGGGATTGTCGGCTTCGCCATTCCGATTCGTGCATACGCACCTAAAAAGTTATAGACGTATCGTACATAGGCGTACCTTGTACTTTCCATCGTCGCTGATGTCGAATGGGATATGCTCGAGTTCGATTCGGTTGTTCCCGACGAGGATCACCTAAAAATACGGGGTTTTTCACTACCATAACCCTAAAACGTACCTGCGGAAAGTAGCGGAACACCTTTGGGTTTGGCCGAACACCTTCAACGCCGAGGCGATTGTCGTTGTTCCAGATCTACAAAGAATTGCGTATTTTTCATTTTTAAACTACCGTATCCCAGATTTTAAAGGGTCCGGCAAGGCATGGCCATGGATTTTGCCGCGCCGCCATCGCGACTAAAAGGGCCGTAATCGATTACGCAATGTAATGTCAAGACGGCGGTTACGAAAGATTTAGAGAAAATGCCTTGCCGGGCCCTTTAAAGGGACTGACAAGACATGACTATGGATTTTGCCGCGCCGCGACATGCAATGCCTCGCGACGAAAGGGCCCGTAATCGATTTCGTAATGTATTAGCAAAGCGCGGGTTGGAAAAATCCATTAAAATGCCTTGCCGGGCCCTTTAAAGGGACCAAAAAACTAAAAAAAACCGATACCTTAAACCTCAAAAATCCGTTGTACGAGGCAGTCCTATCGCCGAGGAATGTCTTGGGAAGTTGCCAATATAGAGGCGTATCATCGGTGGGGTAAGAGTTGAACGGGGTTCCGGAATGTTCCTGGAAAAATACACGGCGTAATTGATTGGGCCGAATTACCTATCGTAATCGGATAAACCATTCGAATAAAACGTTCTAACCGAATTACCTGTAGTAAGCGGATGTTGTGCTTTTGAGTGTAGAATTCCCAGGGTTCCTGGAAGATGGCCGATTGTTCTTCGGCGTACACTTGTTTCCTAAAATGCGGATTTCATGGCGTAATAGGCTGAAAATATCGATTTTTCACGAATTTTGGAAATCTCGAATTCAATGGCGTCGCCAGCTAGCTTTTCCGGCGCTTAAATTCGGAATTATAGATCGTAACCGGTTGCAAATAACGATTTCCGGTTAATTTAGAGCAATAAATAATCCAATTCGGTTTTTTAATCACATGGCGTAATTGGTTGGAAATCTCGAATTGAATGGCGTAATCGGCTAGCCTTTTCCGGTTATGGAATGCGTATTTACATGTCGTAACCGACTCACCAGACGAGGTTCGCCTGCCGGCAAGTTGATGATCGATTGAAGCAGAAACAATCCGTGCAGCCCAACGTATTCGAGGAGTCGAGCGAAAAGGCACCGTCACGACATTGGTCACACTTGGCTCCGATGACGTTTTTCTGAAAAACGCAGCGTCAAAATCGGGATTTAGTTACGAAAATGTACTAACTGTATGCCAGCCCATCTATTCCCCAGAAGAAAAACTAGGTTTTCAAGAGACTGGGAAGGATTGCAGCGCCACAGCTACCGTAACCCCATACCTTGCACGGGCATTTCCCTTGCTCATCACAGAGACACAGCCCTTCACGACATTGCAGAGGATCTGTCCCTTCTGGCTGACAAGCGCATGGCTCACAAATTGGGAAGTTGAAGAACCCTGAAAAACACATCTAGTTTTCGGTATTTTTCGGGACTTTGAAGTCCGGGCGCCGCAAATTCCGCTCGAAATCTGGCAAAACTCATCTGTCACTTACCATGGGAGCATCGATCGCACTTCAGGCCGACGAACTCCTCTTTGCATTCGCACTAAAAAAATATACAGGATTTTTTTGATGTTCTACCTGTCCATTCCTGGGGTTACACTTGCTGCCGGCAGCTCCGATTTTCGAGCATTCACACTTTTTGCAGCTGAAAAAATGGTAAAATTTAGTTTAAAGGACCAGTGAAGTCAGAAATGGCTAAACTGTCTGGCAGAATATAGCTTGAGAGCGAGAGAGAGGGAGAGAGAGAGAGAGAGAATGAGAGAGAGCGCGAGAGGGCGAGAGAGAGTGAGAGGGCGAGAGAGGGCGAGAGGGTGAGAGGGGAAGAGTGAGAGGGAGTGAGAGTGAGCGAGAGAGAAAGAGAAAGAGAGAGAGAGAGGGCGCGAGTGAGAGAGAGCGAGAGAGTGCGAGAGAGTGAGAAGGAGAGAGAACGATCCAATTACAGTACCCCTTCAATGGATGATAATCCCAGCTGTCAGCCGAGCACCTCTCGCACAATTCTCCCTCGGTATTCTGTGGGCAGACACATTCTCCAGTTACCGCATCACACACTTGACCAACGGCCGGGCAGACGGCACATTCTAAAAATCACAGGATTACCTGTGGTAATCGATTACATGCTCTTTAGGGTAATTAAATGGCGTAATCGATCCCGTAGCATACCTTGCACCCATTATCCGACAATCCCCAATGGTTCGGCGCGCATTGATCACATTTCAGCCCGGTCACGCCCGGCTTGCATTTGCATTGGCCGGAAACAAGGTCGCAGGCAGTGCCCTAAAAATGGCGGTTTCAAGGGATGGTAACAGCGAGAGTTTCTGCTAGACTGCGAGGCGTTACACTCAAAAATAACGATACACCCGAAAATAGCAAAGTGTTTCTGCTAGCTGGCGGGTTTTTTTCATTTTCTAGGTTGGCTATTTGTCATTTTTGCGATTTTGTGCATGGTTTATTGCGAATTTTTCAATTGTTTCCGCTAAACTGGCTTGCAATGATGCACCCAAAAATGACAACAAATATAGAAAATCTCAAAGGATCTTTGCTAGATACCCTGATACCGGATTCATTTTCTGAGGTTCGCTATTTGTCATTTCTCAATTTTTAAAGACCCTTGGAAAGATGGCCGGGCGTCCCCAGGGGTGAGGGACCGACGGGGCGATACCATGCACGCTTTCCATCGCGTAAGGGCCCCCAAAACCCCCGACTGGGTTCCCAGAAAACGGCTTTATAGCCATAACTTTTTTGATTGACTATATTTTTGGCTGGAAACTTCCATAAAAATAGTTTTTAGCCATCCCCAGGGGCGTAGCCAAAAAAAAGATTTCGGGGGGGGGCCCCGAAAAATTTTTTCCGAAAAACTCAAACAATTAAAAAGAAAACAGCGCCGCAGGCAAAAAAAATTTAGAAACAAGGCTATGTAGCTCTACAAATAGTCGTAAAAACGTGAAAAAATAGCGCCGCAGGCAGCAAAATTTTTGAGAAAATAAAAATCATAAGGGTCCCCCCTTATGAAATTTTCGGGCCCCGGCCGATTTCGGGGGGGGCACCGGGCCCAGGGGGCCCACCTTACGCTACGTCCCTGGCCATCCCCATCGGTGATAAAAATTTGAGGCTGATTGGATAGAAGGCAGCCATGTTCTGAGCGGAAAGAGGTTTTTGGGGCGCTTTTTAGTTCAAAAATCGTCGGAAAGGGTATAAAACACTTCAGGAAATTCAGGGAGCACGTTTCTCGCCCTTAGCAAGCTTTTCCGTAGGTTTTTTCGTTATTATTATTTGTAAATAGCTTTATTTTGAATTGTTGCCCAGGAACGTGCACCAGTTCGGCCCTAGGGTACTTGGGGCCCCTCCGCCGCCCTCACCCACTCGACCCCTTTGGTGTGGGGGTAGCGCGTTCGATTGCGGGGCGGACCATCCCTGGTTCGACCCCCCGCCCGGTGCACCTCTTCTTGCTTTTTGAACAATCCCATCTTTCCAGAGGCCTTTAACGAATTTTTCAAGAGCTTTTAGTGTTTTCTGCTAGACTGCCAGTCAGTTCAACCAAAAATCTTACCTCAGCTCCAGTATCATCGCATTCACAGGGTTGACATCCATTTCCAGAGGAAATATTGAAATACCCCTCGACGCACTTCTCACACATTTGTCCCTCAACCCATGAACGGCATTGGCACGCGCCGGTCACGTTGTCACACTAAAATCGGAAATTTCGGGATGGCTCGTTCGGTTAGGGGTTGGGACTCCAGGAAATCGACCCGGGTTCAATCCCGCGGGAGGTCAAAGTTTTGCTTTTTGCTCAGAAAGCACAAAAATTTTTTTTCGACGGTTTGCAGCCAACTGGAGGACAGTTAAGACAAAAATAGGCGCTTGTGAATTTTTAGAGTATAAACAGGAAATCGACCCGGCTCCGATCCCTTCAGAGGTAACATTTTTGTTTTTTTTTGCTTCAAAATCATACCTTTCCATCCTCGATCGATCCATAGGTGTTACAGTTGCAGAATTGGCAACCAGAATCCGAGAATTGGAAATAGGAAGGACGGCATTGGTCGCAGCTAAAAAAGATTCAATTTCGCGCTGAAAGTCATGTCAAAAATTGGTTACGGTATGGAATTCCACGTAAAGAATCGATTACGCCATTAAATTATCACAAAAATCGTACCGTTTCCCGAAGACACCCTGTTTACAGGTGCACTGGCCGGAAACCTGGTCACATTCTGATCCAACCGAGCCGGTAGCGTCGCACCTGAAAATCGCCAATTACCGATTTTTTCCAACGTTAGAAATTAGCACAATTTTTCTGCGCTGACCAGGCCTTTAACTGGCAGGTGATTTAGCCGAAACGCTTAGGGAACCTCCAAAAAAGTGGAAAAAAAATCGATAAAAATCCACCCACCCGCACTCCTCGCATCCATTCTCCACATCACCATATCCCTCTTCACATTGGTCACAGTGACGACCGATGTAATGATCTTTGCACTCGCACACGCCACTGCCTGCAATTGGGGCAAATGGTCTCTGCCAGCCTGCCTAACAGTTTATTGCATGGCACCTCTCAAATGGCCTTTGCTAGTTACTCTGCCTCAAAATTCGCCAGTTGCCCGCTATTCTGGCTAGCAAGTATCGAATTCCACTTCCCAAAGGGTGTCTGCCAGCTTGCCCGCCCCTACGATACCTTCATGACATTCCAGCGATACAGCTCCCTGTCGATGGCATCCACATGGATGGCAAGTATGGGTTAGAGCAGAGCCAAAGTGGTGGGGAAGGCATTTCTGAAGGGATACGGTGCTATTATCACTCCCCTCCCTCTCTCTCTTGCTCTCTCTACCCCTCTCTCTCTCGCCCTCTCTCTCTCTCTCTCGCTTTCTCACTCTTGCCTCTCTCTCTCTCTCTCGCTCTCTTTCTCTCTCTCTTACCTCGCACTCCTCTCCAGTTGTATGTCCAATACACTTCAAACATTCTCCAGTCTTCGTATCACAATTTCCAATGGCCATCGCGTCGATATTTCCATTACATTCGCATTCTCGGCAGGTACCGTTTACTTCCAGAGGATCTCCCCAGTATCCGTCCGCGCACATCTGAAAAGCATGAATAAAACGTGAAAACACAGAAAAATCGACTGGTCACAGTGGCCGATTGGTAGTGTGCTAGCCTGTCACCCACTAGGCCAGGGTTCGATTCCCCGCGAAGGCAAACCTTTTGCTTTTTGGTTTTCAGGGTTTAATATCGCTAAACTGACCTTCAGAATAGAATCTACCATTGCCATTTGGAGGATTTGGTGAACAAAGACGCGAAAATGTGGGATTGGGGTTCGACACCCAGGCGCGGCTACTTTTTTGCTTTTTGGATTTTAAGCCAAAATTTTGATGGATGTAGCTGAACTGGCATCCAGTCTACAAGATAAAAGCCTGTTAACTTACCTCGCACTTATTCCCCTCGTATCCAGGCTCGCAAGCCGTGCAAACGTAGGCATCTTGGGTTGAGGCGGCCGAGCCGGAGACGACGAGCTATAAAATGGATTTTGTAGCCTATAGACCATGCTTTGTAGTTGGTAGCCTCAAAAGCTTGAAACGACTTACCTGAGCCAAGGCGCATTCCTTGCTGTAATTGTTGTCGAGTGTCGGGCATGCGCATGGTTGGCATGATCCGAATTCTCCTCCGAGGGACGGATTACCGTAATGGCCGGGGAGACACATTTCACAGCGCGAACCGGTGGTATTGTGCTAAAAAATAGGATGGTTTCCTAGTTTCTAGTTTGTATCTTGTAGCCTGTAGTTATAAAAACCTTACCTGACAATCAGTACATTCCCCGGTGAACGGATCACAAGAATCGGCATGGTCGTTACAATCACACTTCTCGCATCGACCATTGAAGAGTTGATTGTCGACGCGACGATAGCCATGGGGGCAAGACTGAAAATACAGCATTTTAAAGGGACCGAGAAGTTAAAGATGAATCAATCCATTACGTCACGAAATTCTCAACGGAGGCATCAATGAATTACGCTATCTATCTTATAAAGCTAGAAAGAGAGAGACAGAGTGATAGAGAGAGAGCGAGAGAGAGCGAGAGAGAGCGAGAGAGAGTGAGAGAGAGCGAGAGAGAGACAGAGTGAGAGAGCGAGAGAGAGAGAGAGAGAGAGAGAGAGCGAGAGAGCGAGAGAAACAGATCCTTACCTCGCAAGAGTTTCCGGATGTTCCCTCGGGGCATTCGCACACTTCCACCGATTTCATCAGTGTATCCGAGGTTAGCGCATTTCCCTTGGTCCGCGCAACTGCCTGAAAAATTGAATTTGGTGAGGTCCCGGTCACCCTTGGACTGGCCGCCTTTTGGCAAAGGCCAACCGATTAGCCCATGAAAAGAGTACCAAGCGCAACCTTGCAAGGCTTACCTTATCAAGCGTGAGCCCAAAAATGCTGCTCTGGAGTTGGTTCTGATTGTACATAGCACGCACGAGGAATAGAGAGACGCCAGAGAGGGCACGCATCACGTCAGCCTGAAGAATACGGGGTTAAAATTCCGCAAGTGGTCTCTGCTCGCTCGCCCCGGGTTCGATACCCGACCGTGGCCATTTTTTTTCTTTTTGGGTTTTGGACTGGTTTTTTGCTTGGGATCGCTAATCTGACAGCCAGACCACACTCTAAAAAAATTTTCGAAAATTAAAATGACCTTAAACCGTAATCCACGTGGTCCAGGTTCGACTCCCGGCCGCGGCAAACGTTTTGCTTTTTGAAATTTTTGTCAGTTTTCGATTTGAATTGCTCAATTGGCATCCAGCCCACAAACTACACCCGTTAAATCAGTTACCTTATCAGCCGGTCTCCTCGATTGGCTATTATACCATCCGGCACCTTCTCGAAGGGCAATCTGTACCGTCACGTTCTCTCTCGGGTGGAATGGGATGCGGGAGTGGTGCTCCAGTTTGATTCCTTGGCCCTAAAAACGTTGTTAAAATTTTCCGAAAAATTGTAGATTTTTGAAATTGCCTAAAAAATGTCATCCTTTATTTTATTCAAATTTTTTAAGAACCTTTTACGTTTTGGAAATTTCCGAATTTTTCCTAACATAAACTTTTGTTTAGAAATGTGCACAAAATGCTTTTTTTGTAATTTTAAGATTACGAAAACTGACTTCAATGACGACGTCAGCAACAGGGATCGTCTCCGAGCTGTCAGTCGGGACAAAATAGACATAATAATGGAGGATTCCTCCATAAGATGTCAGCAGATTTCCCGTGTATGCTTTCGGCGCTTTCCAATAGTAGAGAGATCGATCTTTGTTCTGATTCGCGTTGAACATTAGCACCTGAAAAAAGAGGGAACTTTCTCTCTCTCTCTCTCTCTCTCTCTCTCGCTCTCTCTCTCTTTGTTTTTGGTTCTCGCTGTTTCTCGCTTCAAAAAAGCTGCCCTAACCGATTACGGCGTGGAAATTCCGACAATCAGCTAATCGATTACACCATCAAAATGTGAGCAAATGCAAACCAAGGAAGGATTTTTGGCTTCCCAGTCCCTTTAAAACTCGAACCATTTCCCTGCGTACCTCTCCATTCTCATTATCCGGTGCCACCTCTCGACCTCCACTCAAATCCGTCAGCTGCCAGCCGAGTTGTTTTTGGATCTGAAAACCCAAAAATTGACTTCATTGCCAACCAGTTACGACATAGCAAAAATTTAGCTTCTTCTTTTTTCATGCTTAAGCTGAATGGCATGAACGATACCTTTCCAGTAGCCCATTCCTTCTCTGTGCAATTTGTCGAGAGGCCAAAACAGAAACACGGTTGACATCCTTGGGGGTTTTCCTTGGAGAGATGAATGGTGCCCGATTTGCAACGGTCACAATACAGACCCTCGACGTTCGCTTTGCATTGGCATCTGAAAGGAATTGTATTTATCGGCGCTTTAAAGGGATTGGCAAGGCATTGTTTGGCCAAAGAATTCTTGTGGATTACGTCGCGCCCGCGGCACGCAACGCGTAACGTGCGCGCCGCTATCCAGGATCCATAAAGCAGACAGTTACAATCCCTTTAAAAAGACCGAGAATCGCCAGTTTGGACAACCGGTGACGCCATGAAATCCTCAACCTGCATCGAGATCACCACTTACTTCTCGTGCTCACAATGATCGAAATTGAGCGATCCAGCCTGATTGCATGGGCACGGCTCGCAATGAGGGTAGTTACGGTATCCCGGTGCGCATCTCTCGCATCGCCGCCCGCCGAAACCCGGTTTGCAACGGCAGTCACCCGGGGCCTGGAAATCAGGGTGTAAGTGTTGCAATTTGTTGTCTAGCTAAAATTCCCTAATGGCCTCTGCTTGACGGCCCGGCAGTTTAGCGAAAGGTGCAAAAATAGTCTTTGCAGACCACCTACCATTCCATTAATGGCCGATTGATCATCCCGAATACACTCCTCACTCTCCGATCCAGTCTCATCACAATCACACGATCTACAAGCATCTTCACGATAGTGTGACATTCCGGAGGGACGGTAATATCCCTTTAGACATCTCTCGCAATTGATTCCCTCCGTGTTGTGCTGAAAAAATGGGGTTTTACGTTTAAAGGTGCTCTGAAGTCTAGAAAAACGCGAAACTTTCCGATAATCGTCTCTGCTCGTCTGCCCTTTTGCGAATTGGCTAACTGCCAGTCAGAATACCGATCCCGCACAAAAAAATCCCTGCTAGCTAGCCTAGGTTTTCCTCAACGGTTTCTGCAAGTCATCTGCATACCAAAAATGCGAAATCTCGGCTAAAAATTCCCTAAATGAGCCTTGCTAGCCTGCCCTTGTAAATTCAAGCTATCTGCAAGTCAGATTATCCATTCCCCAAACCTCTCTGCTCAATGCCGCTTTTTAAAGGGATTGTGACACCTCCTACCTGACACTGCAGACACCGTCCACCCCCTTCGAAAACTCCTTCCGGTGTGACGGAGAGCTGATCACGAGCCAGATCTTCGTCATAGACACACTCGTCGGCGTGGGAGAAACACTGACACTCTGAAAACAACGTTTAAAGGGAGTGTGACAGCCAGTTTAGCCACTGCAGCCTTCAAACCCACGTTGGCAAATATTCGGCTGCGCGTTGGTGCCGGGTTTCCATGGGAGTTGATTGAAGAGTGGACAGCATTTGTTGCATGATTCTCCGCAGGTATTGTGACGGCATTCACATTGGAATTGCTGCAAAAACACAATCGATTACGCAACGAAATTCCCAAACCAGAAACAAGCGATTACGCTATGAAAACCAGAGGTATTTTCAGGGAAAGCGCGAGAGCTAGAGAGAGAGCGAGAGAGACAGAGAGAGAGTGAGAGAGAAGGGGAGATAGTCAGAAAGAGAGCGAGAGAGTGAGACAGAGAGAGAGCGAGGGAGAGACAGAGAGAGCAAGAGATGGTGAGAGAGCTAGTATAATCGATTACGACATGAAATTCATGGCTCAGGACAACCGGTTACGCCACAAAAACCGTACCCCTGTAACCGGATCTGCCGGACAACTCTCCGCATGTCCATAACAAATACATTGGCCACCAATTGAAATGTCGGAGATCGAGTAGAAATATCTGAAAAAATCTGGGTTTAAAGGAGTGGTGACAGGTAATTTTTGCTTCCGTCTCCGATGCTGACCTCATAGTGACACTCTTATCCAGCTTATGTCCCCTCGAGTTGACGATCAACAAATCGGCATTCAGTGTACGCAGGTCGATGAGACGCAGACGCACGAAACGGGTACGCGTGAATTTCTGGAATCGATGATGATGTGTAAAATCTGAACTTCATCTGGAGCACCTGAAGTTCGAGTGACGGTCCCTTGGCGCCGGGTCTTCCGTTGACAAGAGAGATATGGATCTCACCATACTCCAGAGGGGTCAATTTCGAGTATTCTGACGTGCAGTGCACCTGAAAAATGATTTTAGAGGGACTTGGAAGCGAGTGAGAGAGAGAGAGCGAGAGAGAGAGAGAGAGAGAGAGAGAGGCGAGATAGCGAGAGAGAGCGAGCGAGCGAGATAGCGAGAGAGAGATAGCGAGAGAGAGATAGCGAGAGAGAGAGAGAGAGAGAGAGAGAGAGAGAGCGAGAGTGATAGAGATAGAGCGAGATAGCGAAAGAGAGAGAGATAGCGAGAGAGAGAGAGATAGCGAGAGAGAGAGAGAGAGAGAGAGAGAGAGAGAGAGAGAGAGCGGAGGAGAGGGAGAAACGCGCCTCATCATCAGCCTGGAATCTGGGTACACCGGCCGTGGCTGGAATTCCGAATAGTCGCACGCATTCCGCGTCGTTGGTGGCGAAGTACTGCCAGGCTTGCCAGCTAAAGGATTGTTTTAAAGGGGGCGAGAAAGCGTTCGAATTGTTTGAATTTAATGACGTAAGCAATTAGAGGGCCGATTTCGCTGTCGTAATCGATTGGGCACCGGATTTTGATGGCGTAAGCGATGAATGGCCGTGATTTTCACGTCGTAATCCTTTAGAAAGCGCTATTTTGATGACGTCATCGATTAGGAATCATGGTTTTTTATGCTTCAATGGATTAGGAGAACTATTTTCCTGTCGTAACCGGCTAAACCTAGGTTTTTGCGACCAAATTTGCTAATAAAAAATTCGGGAATGGATGACGCTATAAAAATTAAACCAACTCACTTCTCGCCGTCGAGCGACCTCTCCAGCACCCAAGATCCCGGCCTGGGTGCATTTCCCATCTTCACCACCATATATGCGACTTGATATTCTTGACGGAGATCAATCGTAATGTTCACCTTCTCGTATTCCAGGCCATTGTGAAGCGAAGGGCTTTGCCACCATCTGAAACTCCGATTTTTCTTTTTTTTCGGTTTATCCGATTTTTCCAAGAAAATTTTGAGGCCAAAAATGACGCGAATGGGGCTTATGACAGCCAAATGGCTTTTCCACAAAGATTTCTGCTAGCCTGCCATCTGAGCTATTTATTCTGGGGACAAGACTGCAAAAAAATCACAAAATCCGACCTTCTTGTTCCATCGATCGCAAATTCGACTGGATGCCTCCGTCTCGCATCGTTCGCGTCGCACGTGTCGCATTGGGGGGCACTGGAAAAAGTTATGGATTACTGTAGTATGTAGTCTGGATGTCAGTTTCGTGATTGCGCGTTGCGCTTTTTGACATTCAACAGTTTGACCCCAATATTTACGATTGTAGTTTGTGGTTTGGATGTCAGATTAGTGATTTTCAACAAAATTCGGTTTAAATTCCAAAAAGCAAAAAGTTTGCCGCGGGCGGGAGTCGAACCCGGGCCCTGTGGGCGGCAGGCTAACACACTACCACTGCGCTATCTTTTCGTTTTCCGCTTTTTTTTCTGTTCTGTCTTTTTCGTCGTCGGCGAGAGAGTGAGAGTGAGACAGAGGGAAAGAGTGAGAGAGAGTGAGAGCTGGGACTTACCCATTGCCAGGCGTCTTCCTCCACAGCACATGTTCGACCAATTTACAGTATTCCTCGGGCCCCCTTTCTCCGCAAGTGGCAGTAGAAGAAATCATGGCATTTGTCGCCAAGTTGAAAATCGAGGGGAACAGACCGCGTTCTGAAAAAGAGCCAATCGAAAAGTTTTAAAAATTCATAAAACATCGTAGAATACTTAATTTATCAAGTTTTCTATACCATTTTGTAGCCCCTGAATTCCTCTATCCGACTAAAAATACGAAAAATATCTAAAATCCACGGTATCGAAGAAACAGCCAAAAAACGATTTTCCAAAAATTTGCAGATTTTCAGCGTTATATCTCATTAATGCGTCATTAATATAAAATTTGATCTATGCCTATCGAAAGCCCTCAAAAAGTAGATATTTTTAGACGATTAAATGACCAAAATTGAGCGTAATTTAGCAAAGTTACAGTTTCGGTTTTTTTAGAAGATTTTTTGATTTTTTTAAATTTTTTAAGTCTGACCAGTCTCAGTGGTGACAAATTCGGCATATCGTTGATCGTATTCCTCATCAGTTTCCCCCTCAAAACCATCATCAACGAAATTGGTCGTGGCCTGGGAGAGCGTGGAGAGGGTAGAGAGACAGAGAAGAAATAGACAGGCCAGGCGTCTGGGTGGACGCCGTAAATGGCCCATATTTCTTCGAATTAGAGGGAGTTAGCCTGAAAAAAAAACACGAAAAATTATGAAATAATGCGATTTATAGATCGATTGGAAGACAGTTTGGCGAATTCAATAAAAAAAGTTGCATAAAAATGAAAAGTGGGGAGACTGCAGCATTTTTAAGGTTCTAAAATCCAGAAAAAAATGAAAAACGAATCCAGATTCTTTTCGCAAACTCCAGATTTTTAAAATGTTGCGGTTGCAGATGATTTTGGTTATACCGTAAGAAAATCGAAAAACCTCAAAATCTTCCTCATCAAAAATAACAGCAAAGAGGATGAAAATGGAGCACAAAGTATCCCAGGAACGGAGAGCATGATCTTCGATGATTGATGGGTACAGCGATTTGTGGTGGCCTTTCGGGTTCGATAAGCCGTCTAGGACAGGTTAGTACAGGCAATTTGAGAAATATTTCGCACCCATCGTCGAACTGCCAGACAGTTACAAAGAATTCACGCGTTCGCAGGCTAGCAGTTGCAATTTGGGGGTTATCCAGTGCTAATAGCCTTCCGGCCGCCACGCAGATTGCAGGAATTCATCTCCAAAATTCTCGTTTAGCCAGTCGAAATGTTATCTGCTGGCCTGCCCTTTTCAGTGCCACCGATCTGCTAGCCAGTCAATCCATTCCCCAAATGATCTCTGCCAGCCAGCCCTAATTCCCTAAAAATCTTTGCTATTTGAAAAATCCATTTTTCGGCATTTGGCATACGTACAAAAGCCGCGTAAAGTAAAGAATGGCTGGTTGTGGGGTTAGGAATCTTTCGGGAGGGCATGAATCGACACAGGGACGAGAAGAGAAGAAGATGATTCAACGGATTGTACAATGGATGGGGGTGCGAATCGTATCAATCCCGGGTCAACCCTGCCGAAAAACGCGTTAGGGACACGTTAAAGATCCGAGTTTTTGGGCAGGAAATCGCAAAAATGATCTCTGCTAGCCTGCCCAGCGACGTATTCGTGTAGTCTGGAAGGCAGCTTGAGGATTGAGACCAAAAGATATCGACCCGGAGCTCCGGGCTCGGAGTTGGTGCTCATCCCTGACCTTGACTTGGTAGATATCGGAAAAGAAGGAGGAGGAGGGGCTAGTGGTATATAGTGGATGATCAGAAGGAAGGGAGGAGGAGGAGGAGGAGATGACCGTTGATAGGATGCTATCGGAATGGAAAGGGGAGAATGAGGGCAGGTGCATCTCCCTTCTCTCTCTCTCTCTCGCTCTCTCTCGCTCTCTCTCGCTCTCGCCTAATTATGCAAGGTGGAGAACATGAAATTTGATGTCCGACATGCGCAACGATCTGTGCAGCGGGACCTGGAGGCATGCCAGCAGAGAGCATTTGCGGAATGTTTGGACTGGCTGGCAGCTCGGCGAAAGCCCAAAGCGGTAAGCTAGCAGAGGCCATTTAAGACAGAATCCGGTCCCGGACTCGTTTGGCCGGCTAAAACGCAGGCAGGCAACTAGCCCAGACCATTTGGAAATTTTTGAAGGCACCATAGCAGATATGGTCCGCGGAATAACTTGACTGGCCGACAGATAGGCAAAATCTCAAAGCGGCAAGCTAGCAGAGACCATTTGCGGAAACTTTGGCCCTCGGGCAGTAGCTGCTAGGTAGTGAGGATAAGAGGATGGCCCTTCTTGGGTATGTTTGATTGAGGGAGTGAGTGGGAGAGGGAGAGAGAGAGAATGGGAGAGAGCGAGCGAGAGAGAGAGAGAGGGAGAGAGAGAGAGAGAGAGAAATCTCAGATAGTAAGGGCCTTCTGGTTGGTCACTAGGTTATGCAAATATCACAGGGAACTGGCAAATAGCCGCCCCGTATATGGTAATCTGATGGAAAAGGGGGATGGACATAAAAAGGAGGCAGGCTCTTATCAGGGGTCAAGCTGGAGGGAAAGGGGGCAGGCTAGCGGAGATTCTTTGAGGAATGGGTAAACCGAATGACAGCTAGATGGAATCTACGAGGGCAAGCTAGCAGAGACCATTCGTGCAAATTTTTCGGCCTAAATTCAAGCCGATTACACTAATTGTCAGCCAGCTAACTAGAAGATACCATTTGCGAGTGCAGGCTGGCAAGCTGGCAGAAATTCTGTGCGGAATCGGCCAATTTACCGGCAGCTAACGCGCCGAGACAATTTAGATAATCCTAGGAAAGCTAGCAGAGATCGTTTAGGAGTCCATGAATCCATCCTGCCCGGCCAGTCTCTGAATGGTATTGCGTGGATTGCGTACTGTCTGTCTGTCTGTCTGTCTGTCTGTGTGTTGGTATGTGGTGTTAGGAGGGTCAAAGGGCCGGCTAGGTGAGAGGAGGAGGGAAGGTATTGCGCATTATGGCCTCCAACGGGCTGTATTTGGCCCTTCACTCTCCCTCTCTCTCTCTCTCGCGCTCTCTCCACTCGGCAATCTGTAAGGAAGGGGGTTGACTCGACCCTCTAGCTAGGCACAAATATGCCCCCAGGCTATGCTGGTGGGAATTGACGGCAGTGGGAGGGTAGATTGTTAGCCAGTTTGGAGTTTGGCTGAAGTTAGGACCTCAAAGATCGTGATATTAAAGGGTTTGGGAAGGCAGAAATTTCGAAATTTCCTGCATGGCGAGAATTTCAAAACACCTCTGCTAGTCTGCCCTGCGGAAATTACACTCTCCGACAGTCAGCGTATCTATTTTCCTCCAATGATCACTGCTAGCTCGGCCCGGCCATCCCCTGACCTCCGAAATGGTCTCTGCTAGCTAGCGTCCCTGGATTTCCGTTTGATGTCCGTCAGCTTATCCTATTCCACAAAGAATCTATGCTAGCATGTCCTCCAAATTGAAATTCAATTGACTTGCGGAAAATTTGATTTGGAGAAATTTCATCCGAAAATTTACATGCAAGATCAGCAAAAAAGCTGAATGAGGTCTCAAAAAATCGCAATCCGTTGGGTTATCCCATTTCTACGCGCCCCTCTCGCGATGATATGGCTGATGGAGGTGTGGGGGTGTATTCCCCTTCTACTAATACTCACACTGCCTCTCTGCTTCAAACGCATCACGTCTACGGTGGGCAATTGGCTCCCAGGCTTAAGTGCAGTTTACCCCCCCGCCCAGCCCTAACTTTTCAGCCATACGTCCTATTAATGCGCCGAGTATCTCAAAATGTTCGCCGTGGACGAATTACTATAAAAAAGTTGTTTTCTTACACCAAAAATTGTTAGAAAAAATTTTATAACAATTATAAGTCTGGGTTTTCTTTAGTTAATTTTTGCTGTTCCAAAGTGAGTTTTCGTATCTCGGCTATCTTTTGACGTACAGAGCTGTCAATAGTACCAAAATGTAGCTCTTGCTCTGGAAAATAAGCCTACAGTACGTTTGAGCCAAAAAAATAGCGAAAAATAAAAATATTTGAGTTTTAGACTCCTAGTACATCGAAGCATAGCGGCTTAATCTTTTCAACTTTCAAAATCTTGTAAAAAAATTTTTAGCAATTTTTGCCGCAAGAAAACAATTTTTTTATAGTAATTCGACCACGGCGAACATTTTGAGATACTCGGCGCATTAATAGGACGTATGGCTGAAAAGTTAGGGCTGGGGGGGTAAACTGCACTCTAACCGGCTCCCAAATTATCTTTGCTAGCTTATCTTTACGATTTAGCTTATATGCCTGTCAGTTGATAGATTCTGCCCATAATATGGCGCATTTGCCATAAATTCCGCAAAAAATCTCTGCTAGCTCGCCCTGAATCGCACATGGTCCCTGCTAGCGTGCACATGCTTTTTTAGCATATTTGCCAGCCAGTTTACCCATTCCGCAAAGAATCACTGCTAGCCTGCCTCAAAATCCGTTTCAGAAGTCTAAATCGTCGAAGTCGTCGGGCAGTCGAAAAGCGGGTGATGCCAGTGATCCATCACACAAAGCATTCAAACCAATTCCCGTCAAGCTGATCGACACTAAGAGTGCGGGATTAAACAACAAAATTGTAGATTTTCTGCGTTTCAGAATCGCCGAAAAAGTGCTGCAAGACGGCCCGTGAGCAGCGCACCCACTGCAGCTTCCATCTGAATGTCGAGGTGAGGGAATGGGGCAGCCTAGCAGGGATTTCTGGGGAGCAATCGGTAGAGTGACTGTCAGATTTCTAAATTCTGGAAAGGCAGGTCAGCAGGAAAAAATTTGTGGACCCCTAAATTGCTTTTTTTGGCCTAACTGTCAGGCAGCCAGCTAGCAGAACCTCTTGGTGAATCGATGGAATCCTGGCAAACCTGAAAAATTCAACTTTCCAGCAACGCGACGAGACGGACCTCGAGGAAGTGGAGGGGGACAATCCGTTGGCCCGAAAAGCCGAGTGCCAATCGGGAATGCTGTGGATTGCAAAGAGTCGTGTCAAGACAGGACCCACACAAGCCACCACTGAACCACAACAACAACAACAGCAGCAGCAGCAGCAGAACAACAAGGTATGGGTGCACTTTAGCAGGTTACCCACCCCCCACCCCCTCCCCACCCTTTCTATCGACTGTATCCTAGCTCCCTTGTGCGCTACAGAGTTGTAAAAGATACCAAAATGCTCGTCTTGGCCTGGCGAGTATTTTCGTATACTTTACAGTTTCGTAGCTCACTGGAAAGCCGAGATATGGCGGTTAGAGTGTGCAAACGCACCCGCCCGCCAGCAGTCCCCCAACCTTTTGTATCTCGGCTTGCTTTTAGCCTAAAAAAGCTGTAAAATAGATCGAAATGTTCGTCTTGGACTGGCGAGCATTTTGGTATACTTTACAGTTCGGTAGTTCGCTGGAAAGCCGAGATATAACGGATAGAGTGCGCTTCACCCCCCCCCCCCTCCCCCGCGGGCCCCTAACCTTTGTATCTCCACTCCCCAGAGGACTACAGGGTTATAAAGTGTATCAAAATGTTTGTCCTGGTCAGGCAAGTCTTTTGGTATATCATAGAGCCTTGTAGCACAAAGGGGAGCCGGGATAAAAGCGGGAGAAAAGGGCTTCTTACGCCCCCGTCCCGCGGCGCCCGACACCAACTTTTGTATCTCTGATCCCCTGTGAGCTACGGGGCTGTAAAGTAGACCAAGATACTCGCCAGATCAAGACGCATATTTCGGTATATTTTATACAACTGTAGATAACCGGTGCGCCGAGATACAGTTGAGCCAGTCGGCTGGGGAGGCGTACGGCCGAACGACAACAACAAACTCCAAATTGCAGACCCATCAGCCGCAGCAGCCCCTGAGTGGAACCCGGCTTCGATGGCCCCTCAACAACACCACAGCCGCCAATAATGAATATGGAAAGACACAAAAGAAGACACAGCCAATCGCCATTAATGGTGGCGATGATGAGATGATGAAGTGGGTCCCCGGATGGCCACGATCTGTCCGATGAAGTTTGTAGTTTCGGGTAGTAGCGCTCTGTCTGTCAGTTAGTCGATTTGTATGTCGACAACTTTCATATTTTAATATTTAACAAATTTTAAGAGCAAAATCTGGGATTTTTTGTCCGTTGGATGCATTTTTCAACCTTTAAACTATTATAAAATATTTTTTGGCTTTTTTCACGGTGTAATAGGTTTTCTATGTAAACTGGAGGACGACGAACATTTTGAGATAGTCATCGCATTAGTATGAATTATGTTGAGGTAATTGGCTAGAGAATAGCCTCGCGGCTTGCTGCTGCTCGATCCCCCGGCCCCGGTTTGTCGAATTTCCGGGAAATCAACTCGTCAATTGTTTGTTTGTCTGCCAGTTAATCGATTACCATGGCTAACTACTCGTCGATATTTGTAGTTTGTAGCCTATCGTACCCCTCTTTGCAGGACGCAATCCCTGGAGAAGATTGTGGCCCCGGAGACGAGTTCCCCTCAACTCGACACGGCATGCGATCACTCGTCCGGATATCTATCGCTTCTCTCGCCCTCTCGCAATTAGTCTCTCTCCCTCTCTCTCTATCTGAGTGTGTCTCTCTCTGCCCATGTCTCTCGCTATACCCCCTCGCTGTCCGATCCGTATTCCTTCATTTCCGCTGTCAAATCTCTCTCGTCTCGGTTTAATAAACCCTTTGTCGATGTGGCAGGACTACAGACTACAAACTATAGAATACAACTACAAAACGATGACAACAGATTACATCACAAGAACTACAAACTACAAATTACGACCTAGGACTACAGATTACTACTTTTTTGGCCGGATATTTCCCCCAATGGTCACTGCCAGTCTGCTCCTCTTTTTCTCTCCAAAATTCTCTCTTTTTTCTCGTCTTTCTGCTCTGTGGCTTGAGTAAATTTTTGAACGTTTTATTCACCAAAAATGCATGAAAAATAAAATTAATTCAATATGCTTCAAATTTCTGAGATACGAAACGGAGAACAGAAAGCGAATAAGGGAAGAGCGAGCAACATGTCGTGTGGAGCGCGGAATGAGACGAGCAATTTACGAGCCAATATACACGTTTTTCGGGGCAGTCAAAACACTGTAATAAATATAAATGGGCGTAGAACGTAATAAATAGCAAAAATCACGAAAATTGGGCAGCAATTGAAGCGAAGAGAAGTGAAATGGGCAGGAATTTGAAAGAAATCGGGGGTTGGCCAACCTTCTGGCCATATATCTCAGTGATCCAGAGGTTTACAGGTTTCGAAAATATCTCAAAAGATGCGCCTCATTCTAAGCTACATTTTAATGTATTTATTTAAAAGAAAATGTAACGTTTAATGATTTTAGAAGGGTTTTTCTTGGCCAGACCGGCTGTCGGGAGATCTTGACCCGGCCCGCGTTCAAAGGAGCGCATCGTTGCCCAGCGTAACCTGTTGGCCAAACCCAATGATAAAAACTTAGTTTTTAAGCTTTTAAAAATTCTTTTTATATCGTTTTTCTTGGAAATAAATGTTAGAATAGATAGTTTAAAGCAATGCGCATCTTTTGGGATACTTTTGAGCCTGAAAAACCCTTTTCCGGCCGAGATATAAGCCTTGGAAGGTTTTTCAACAATGCCTGGGTCAAAAAACAGTATAAAAACGGCCTGGGAAGTCATTATAAAAATGGATAGTGAAGATCACAACGTATTCGAGAGCATGACATCGATTTTGAGAGTTTAATTGGCAGTTAGCTTTTGATTTTCGGGAAATTTGAAGGAAAACCGGGGTATTTTATGTGGAAAAGTGACGAAAATTGAGATTTCAAATCCAATAAAAATCCCTCTACTTTAGGCATTAAAGTATCGATTTTATTGTGAATTTCCGGGGCTAATCAGCGCTCCACCCGGCCTCAGATCTCGGTCCCATATCCATATTCTTGAGATCGTCGAGGAAATTGTCGATATTTTCGGTCAGCTCGTTCAGTTCCTCGTTGGAGGCGGATGGCTGAAATTTAAAGATTTTTAGCGTTTTAAAATAGTTAGCAAAGCTAGTAAATTAGTTTTCCGCGCGCGACACGCAACGCGCCCGCTCCGCCTTTCCATTGCGTATCGATTACGCCACGTGAAAGCGAAGCGTGCGCGTTGCGTGTCGCTCCAATAAAATTTCGAGAACTGCGGCCCGCGGCACGCAACGCGCACCCTCCGCCTTCCATGGCGTAATCGACTATGTCACATTTCGAGCGGTGAAGCGGCGCGTGCGCGTTGCGAGTCGCGGCGTAGAAAAACTTTCGGACCGATTTTCTAGATTTTAGCCGGTTCTAACCGGAAACGTCATGAAACCGTAAACTGACCTGCAACGGTGTCCTCTCATCCGATTCCGAGTCCATCCGCGCCAGATGTTTGTCATCGTCACGCGGAATTTGTGAGCACGAGGCGTATGGGCTGAAAAGGGTGGGATTACATGTCGTAATCGATTGATCGGAGTGCGAGAATTTCATATCGTAATCGCTTGAGCTACAAACCTGTAGATATTGGCCATATTGACCCTGGGTTGTGCCTGTGCCCTTCCAACTGGCACTTGTTTTTGGGCCATAATCACTTGAGGGCCGCCGCGGGGAGGAGGGCAGACGGTTGTGAACGATCTGAAGAAGCGGAGGGGTGGATGAGAATTAGCTATCGTAATCGATTACGTTCACGAATTAGCTGGCCGAATGGGTTCGAGAGGGAGAGCGAGCGGAAGAGATAGAGGGAGTGCGAGAGAGAGTGAGTGATAGTGAGAGTGATAGTGAGAGTGAGAGAGAGCCAGAAAGATGGAGAGGAGTGAGAGAGAGCGAGAGAGAGAAAGAAAGAGAGAGAGAAAAAGAGAGAAGAGCGAGAGAGTGAGAGAGAGATGGAGAGAGATGGAGAGAGATAGAGAGCGAGAGAGAGAGAGAGAGGGAGAAAGAAAGAAAGAGAGAAAAAGAGAGAGAGGGCGAGAGAGAGCGTGAGAGATTGTGAGAGGGTGAAAGAGAGAACGTACCTCAATGGATTTCCGCTAGCCATGGGTTGTTGTGGATGTCCTCCCCGTAATGTCCTGTATCCATCCTGTGGTATCATAGAAGACGGGATATTTGGTGGCATTTGGAGGGGAGGTGTTGGTGGGGGTAGTTGTCCAGCTGATCCATACGGAGAGTCCAGCTCCACCTTTGCGATTGGCTGAAAAGAGGGTAATCGATTACGCCACGAAAACAGCACGGTTTAACTGATTAGACTATGAAAATAGCTCGGATTAACCGGTTACGATATCAAATACGGGCTATAAAATCTTTTACGCGATGAAAATGACTACGACTACGACTGATGACTTCGTCCGTACCTGATGTCTTCCAATGCCAGTATAGACAACTTGTGGTGTCCTCGGCCCTCCTCTCTGCTCGAGACTCGAAGACGAGTGATGGTAGGATCGCGAGAGGGTACCGCCTACAATTCGTGTTTTCGTATTTGTCATTTTTTACGGTTTTAGAACCGATTTGGCGATATAATGCCAGGGATTCAACCGATTACGTCATTGTAATCTCAAACCTCATGAAAGGCCTCAAAAACCGGTCGAACCACATGACAATATCGAAATTCGCGCTTGCAAGCAAAACCAAAATCAAGGAGAAACTCAAAAGTGCTCTATCCACCGTATCCTGGACTCAAAAATGGACCTTTAAAGGGCCCGGCAAGGCAAATTCATAGCTGCTACCAGGCAGTTTGACTTCCTAGCTCCTTTAAGGCTAGAAAGATTCGTTTTGAAGGCACCAGGAAGACAAATCGATCAGATTTCCAGGACTTTTAGGTGCCTTTAAAATGCCCAAATTGGGCTTTAAAGGGCCCGGCAAGGCAAATCCATAGCTACTACCAGGCAGTTTGGCTTCCCAGCTCCTTTAAAACGAGAAAATTTTTTTAAGGCACCGGTAAGGCAAATCCATAGCATTCCCACACTTCCAGGTCCCTTTAAAATGGCCGAAAACCCGTAAAAAACAACTAAAAAATGCATACTATCATTGTCATCGCTGTGTGCATAGGAGCCGGGTGGAGGGCATCGCAGGGGAGGGATCAGGGCTCGATTCGTGGCAGCTGGGACGATGCCTTTAGAAGAGAGGAGGAGACGACGCTGAGACGAGCCACGACCAAGGCCTACGGTACCGTAGTGACCACCATCGTCAGTGCCGGCTAGTTCTGGAAATGTCGAGGGTGGGTGGGGACGAAACGACAGAGTGCATGCCAGACTACAGACTACAAAAATGGCACAGGCTACAAAGTACAAACCACAGGCTACAGACTACAAAAATCCAGGCTGTCCGATCGCAGCTTGTAGTCTGCCTGCCAGACTACAGACCACAAAAAATCGTAGACTTCAAAGTAAAAAAATTGCCAAAAAACTATAGACTACAAATCTGAAAAATGCCAGATTACAAACTACAAACCATGAAACGTCCAGGCTACAAACTACAAACTACGAGAACTCGAAAATACTCCAAAACAAAAAAATCTAAATAATCTGGAAGTTAAAAATATTTTGATTTTCTAGCCTGCATGCCAACTTACAAACTACAAACTACAAAAAGTATAGGCTACCGACTAGCAGCTACAAAAATTCGATAAACGAAAAGCAAGCAAATCAATCAATTTTTGGGACCTAAGAAGTGCGAATTTTGTAGTATCGACCCAGGCTACAAAGTACAGACTACAAAACTGAGGACACAGACTACAGGAAAAGCAAAAAAAACAGGAATGAGACCGAAAAAATAAACGAACTACCTTGTGCCGCCTGTAGTGCATGATATCTTGGTGGAGGGGATGGAGATCCCTGGGTTTTGATGGTGTTGTGATGATGGAGAGGATGATGGGGATGGGCGGGATGGTGCAGAACATCACCACCAAGCAGCTCCACTGAAACCGAGGATTCGTAGGGTAAAATAAAAGATAAAAAATGCAAAATTATGGTCACTACCGCCCAAAAAAATATGGTGGAAAACGAATGTATCGGAAAACGGTTTTTCGACATGGTGCGTCGGTATCCGCGTGGGAGAAATAATTTGCCTACTTGAATTATTTGGTCGTAGATGGGTTCCGTGGGATTGGTTGATCCACAAATCGCCGGATTGCCCGGGCTTGGCGCGAGGCTTCTTCGATGAGCTGAAAATGAGAAATTCGGCTCTGTACCGATATAAGGGATTTCTGCCGATATAAGGGATCACCGCCGATATAAAGGATCACCGCCGATATAAGGGATCGCTGCCGATATAAGGGATCACTGCCGATAAAAGGGATCACCGCCGATATAAGGGATCACCGCCGATATAAGGGATCGGGGAAAAAAACCCCGAAAATGGCGGGTACCGATATAAGGGATCACGAAACCGGATTTCGGGCAAAATGTCGATATAAGGGACCAGAAGAAGGATTTTGCGCGATATAATTACATTGATGCAAAGAGCTATTTATTTAGGTCGGTTTCGAAAGAAATTACAGAGAAGTTGATAAAAACTAATGTTTTACGGAAGTATTATCCGATTTTCGGTAGACTGGTGGGGGCCGGAAGGAAGCTGATTGGAACGCGGAAGAATTGATGGCAGAGGTCGTACTAAAGCAGATAGAAGTAAGGGATCGAAATAGCTGCATCACCGAGTTAGCCCATTGGTTTAAATACCAGTCCAATAAGTCCTGGCAGAGGTTAACGCGGGAGTCGCAGAAGACTAAATAAGGTGGATGAGGGAAAAGGAAAGGCCACGATCACAAACTGGCAAAGGCATCGAGTTGAACAATACTTCCGTAAAACATTAGTTTTTATCAACTTCTCTGTAATTTCTTTCGAAACCGACCTAAATAAATAGCTCTTTACATCAATGTAATAATATATCGCGCAAAATCCTTCTTCTGGTCCCTTATATCGACATTTTGCCCGAAATCCGGTTTCGTGATCCCTTATATCGGTACCCGCCATTTTCGGGTTTTTTCCCGATCCCTTATATCGGCGGTGATCCCTTATATCGGCGGTGATCCCTTTTATCGGCAGTGATCCCTTATATCGACGGTTCGAGGCCCTGATCCCTTATATCGGCGGTGATCCCTTATATCGGCAGAAATCCCTTATATCGGTACAGAGCCAGAAATTCTCTCTCACTCTCCCACTCTCTCTCTCTCTTTCTCTCTCTATCTCTCTATCTCACTCTCTTTCGCTCTCTCTGTCTCTCTCGCGCTCTCTCACTCTCTGTTGTAGAAACTGACCGTCTGAAGATGCACAAGAGGCAGAGAACAACAGCGACGATGGCCACGACAAGGCAAGTCCCAGCTATTAAGAGATGGAGCGGGTTAGAAAGCAGCGTCTGAAATGGTGTAGTTTGTATCTTGTACTTTGAAGCCGTATCGTATGTCTTAAAGGTACACTAAAATCTCGTGCAAAAAGTCAGTTCGCGGTGGGAAATCCCGGCCCTCTGCCGCGCAACGCCCGGATCCTTCTTATCCCCCTTCCCTCTCCCCTCTCCCGTCTGTCCCATGGCCTAGTGGTCTAAAGCGCTCGCCCTAGGCGAGTGGCGCGGGTTCGGTTTTGCTCCGCGGCGAGCACCTACCGTAACCCTGTTTGCTATTCCGCGGACGGTTACCGGCCGGTAACCAAACCAACGAGGCTTTAGTGTACCTTTAAGCGGCGGCTACTTCACGCACCTGAATAAAGTGATCAATCGAAAACGCGGTTCCAGCTCCTCCAAGTGGTACGCGACCTGTAGGGACAGCCAATCCTCCGATGCCTCTCCAAGTAACGACCGGGGAGAGGGGGGCCATAACCTGTCAATGGGCCATTTTACCATGAAAATGGTTCGGCTAAGCCTTGAAATAGGTAATCTGGCGCTCGGTATATCGATTACCCAGCTTTTACGCAAAAATTCCCAAATTCTCCCTGCTAGCTTGCCAAAAATTAATTGGGCCATTAAACTGGCCGCCAGTCTAGCGATTGCTACTATCAATTAATGGCAGGCTAGCAGTGGTACTTGCGGAATCGATAAACTGGCCGGCGGCTAGATTAATTTCAAAAAGGCACGCTAGCACGGACAATTTACGGTAAGCATCTGCTAAAAACGCACCCATCTCATTCCTGGCTTGTATCTTGAAGTAGTAAGTGGATGAGGGTAGTAGATCAGCGATAGAATGTGTATTACGGGCAGCAGGGATAGAGAGGAGACGCCAATCTTTGTCTTCTAGCGTAGAACGGTCCGTGTAGTAGATGAGGTATTCTGAAAAAAAATTAGTATAAACGATTAAGCCATTTTATGCAATCGAATACAACATCAAATTTCTCAGGAATTGATTTTGAAGGTACTGACAAGGCAACGACCAATTACGCCTTGTAATTCTCCATCGACGGAACCGATTACGGCATAAAATCCCTTCAAAAATCTCGTTTTAAAGCGGTCAACGAAAGATTAATCGATTATGCCCTGGAATTCCCCAAAATAGAATCGATTACGACACGAAATTTCTCCAAAAAGGTTTTTTTAAGGAGTTGGCAAACCTTGCGTCTGTTATGCCATGCAATTACTTGGAAATCAAATAGATTGCGACGCCAAATTCGACAAAAACAGATTTTTAAAGGGACCGGCAATCCACCATTCGATTACGCCATGTAATTCCGAACTTACCGAGCAATTCTCCATTGGCATATTTGGGTGGTTTCCACTCGAGAAGAACATGATGTGGATCTCCAGATGGGGATGGGGAGAGCGAGAGATCACGAGGAGCAGAGGAGGGAGGGGAGGAGAGGGTTCTGAAACGAAAATTTGGATTTTCGCTAGCAAATGGCCTCTGCTAGCCTGCCTTGACAGAATCTATCTCTCTGGCATCCAATCTACCCATTCCGCAAGCTATCTCTGCTAGCTTGCCCCTCTTACTTCCGAAATGGTCTCTGTCAGCTGTTCTGTCAAGCAACCTAGGGTAGGCCACCATTCTGGACTAAAAATTTCCACAAATGACTCCTGCTAGCTTGCCTTTGCTAAATTGGACTAACTGGCTGACAGCGGATCGTTTCCCGGCGCCAAAGTTTCCGCAAATAATCTCTGCTAACCGACCAAGAACCTGGACTCGCTAAATTGCCCGTCATTTTAGCGGTTGCAAGCATTTTGAGCTCAAATTTCCGCAAATGACCTCTGCTAGCCTACCGGGCCCGAATTCCATCTAACTGCCAGGCAGTCTACCCATTTCCCAATGATCTCTGCCAGTCTACCTATTCCTGGCAGCCATACTCCACAGTGAATGTGCCCCTCGATGTGATGTTCTGACGGAGAATTCATATTCTGTAGCCGGTCTCAGACTCTCGACAACCACAAATGGATCTGATGACTCCGCATAGTGCAGTTTGTTGCCTTCCGCTCTGAAAGGAATTTTATATCCTAACCCATTACCATTTTCACATCGTAATCCATTAACCAAACGCACTGTGTCGAGTATTTGACGGTATATTTGACGTTGAATGCCTCCTGATCGGGATCAGTCCAAATGATACGCATTGATGAGGCGGAAATGGCCTCGGCACGGACGCCGATTGGGGTTACGGTAGAATCATCGCCTGGAAAGTAGAAGAAGTATTAAAGGGACCGGGAAGTGGCAGAGAGAGAGAGAGAGGGAGAGAGAGGGAGAGGGAGGGAGAGAGATATGGGTGAGAGAGAGCGAGGAGAGAGGAGAGAGCGGGAGAGAGATATGGAAGAGAGAGAGGGAGAGAGAGGGAGATAGAGAGGAGAGAGCGGGAGAGCGGGAGAGAGACATGGAAGAGAGAGAGATAGAGAGAGAGAGAGAGAGAGAGAGAGAGAGAGTGAGAGGGGGGAAATAAACCGATTACGCAACGATATTCCACCCACCATCATCAGCATGCCCATCATCAGAATTCCCAAACGGGCTCCTTCCCTTTTCACTTCCGGTCCGGACAGTCTCATAAATCGGATACCCCAACCCGACGTTGTTCTTCGCCCGCACGCTGATCTAAAAATGACATTTTTTAACATTTTTTTTGCGGGATATCCGGATTTATTTGTGTGAATTTCTAGCGCCTGGACTGACCACATATTCCCTGCCCGGATGCAGCCCCTCAATGCGATGTTGCAGTGCTGATGGACCGACAGTCTCCATCTCCACATCCGGCACATTATTTCCCCAGCCAATCTGATAGCCACGGATTATCGTCGTGTCATCGGATGGGGGTTTCCATGTGACGATGATGTAGTCGGGGCCTGAAAATGCGGGTTTCGATTAGGCCATGAAAACCGGGTCCGGTCCGGGTAATTTTCTTGTTTGTATTCTGGCTGCCATAGAGCGCAATACTGACCTGGAATCGGCTTCAACTCGACTGGTGCTCCGAGCAGTTTCTCCTCCTTGTCAACGGAAGGGGTATCAGCGCGTAGCCAGTCGGAAAATGGACCCGTACCGTTCTGAAAATCGATCGATGGGAGAGAGAAAGAGAGAGTGAGAGAGAGGGGGGGAGAGAGATAGGGAGAGAGATAGAGAGAGAGGGAGAGAGAGTGAGAGAGAGAGAGCGAGAGAGAGACTGAGAAAACTACCGCACCTGATTGACAGCAGCAACTCGTATCTGATAATGCTGTCCAGGATCAAGATCATCCAATAACCTCTCCATTAAATGTGGATCTTCCACAGCAATCTGCTGTATTTTCGTCCCCTTCTGCTTCGTTTTGTACTTGATACGATAGCCGGTTAGCTGGAAAATATTTGGGTTATGGTAGTTCGCTGCCAAATTGCGGTATTTCAGCAAAAAAAACTAAAAAGATCTATTTTAGCCACAGTAATACTACCAAAAATCGAAAAATTCTGTTTTTAAATTTAAAAAATAAAAATTTAACGAGAAAAAGTGCCAGAAGACTCTATTCCAAAAATATTGTAAAAAATTCAATTTACGTTACCGTATTCCCAAAATTTCGAAAATTTCTATAAAAAATTGAGATTTTCCGGATTAAAAATAATTACAATTACAAACTACAGTACCTGTCCGTTATGCGAATTCTTTGGTGGTGATTTCCAAGTTACGCGAATCGCCGTAGAAGATTCCGTCTCGACGGCCACGTCTTCTGGAGCGGCTGACGGGGCGTCGGGCAGGGTACGGACCGTGACGACATCCGATGACAGCCCAGATCCATTATCCCCCTCAGCTTCAACTCGAATGGCATATTCGGTGTATTTGTCGAGACCATGGAGCGAATATTCCGTTGAGGAGACCTGGAAGAAGTAAGAGTTATATGACGTAATCACATCGAGTTTCATGGCGTAATCGATTCAGCGCCCCCCAGTTGGCCATTTTAGTGGCGTAATTAATCACCCAATTACTTTTGATGCCGTAATCGGCTAAACTGGGAGCCAAACTTCATTTTCAGGACGCAACTAAATAAAATTGTCTCCCGTAATCGGCTAAGCCATTACCAGCAACACTTTCACATGGTTTAATCGTATAAAACCTAGTCAGTTTAATGGCGTAATCGGTTAACGCTTAAAAATTAGGTGTAATCGGATGGAATTTGCTGGCGTAATCGATTAAATCATGTTTTCATGGCAAAACCGATCGAATTTGATGCCGTAACCAGTCAAACTTGAGAAAGGGTATGAGAGTGAGACATTAGGAGAAGCAGAGAGAGAGAGCGAGAATGAGAGACAGAGAGCGAGAGAGAGAGAGAGAGAGAAAGAGAGAGATCGAGAGACAGAGAGAGACAGAGAGAGACAGAGAGAGAAAGCTACCGTAACCGTACCGTAATCTGTGTTTCCGGTTCATTATGCGTAGGCGGATGCCTCCGATAGAAAAGTGAATATCTATGTGGTGATGGTTGTCCTCCATTCCCTCCCGGGGGTTCCCATCGAACATCTACACCCTCTGAACCTGTTGCCGTCGCCGCCAGGTGCGAAATTTGACCCGGAACGGCCTCTGAAAACATCAAAATTACTTGAAAATCGATAAATGGTGGCAAAAAAACCGCTTCGCGGATATTTGGCTTTGCGTGTAAAGTACAGTAACGTACGTTCTTTTGCCGTAGTGATCTTGATGTGATCAGAAGAGAGCCCGATTCCAGCCTCATTCTCCCCGGCAACTCGAATGATGTACAATTTCTCGGGAGAAAGACCGGAGAGGGTCGCCCATCGTGATGACGCATTAATAGAGCGCTCTCTGAAATTTATCGATTTTTCGAAATGTTCCTTTTTTCGTCAGTCTGTAGTTTGTATTTTCTAGTTTTAATTCGTATTTTATCAAACTGCCAGGTAGTCAGCTTCTTCCACAAATTATCTCTGCTAGATCGCCCTGACATTTAAAAAAAATAGAATTTTACGCAAAAATGGATTTTTCTGGCACTTTTTCGTAATTTATAGTTTGTATTTTCTAATTTTTCATTGTTAATCGGTCATACTGCCACTCAGATCTGCTATTCCGCAAATTATCACTGCCAAGTTGCACCGTATTTGAAAAATAAAATAAATTTAGGTAAAAAATGGTTAAATTGGGCGAATTTTTGTGAATTGTTCGATTTTGTAGTGTATAGCCTATAGTCTGTAGTCTGTAGTCTGTAGTCTGTAGTCTGTAGCCTATAGTCCACTCACCTATCCAGCCCATCCTCTCGATAGAAGATATGATAGAGGAGGAGTTTTCCGAATGTCTGAGCCGGTTGATCCCATTCAATACCCAGGCTACGAGCTCCAATCAAGGTCGTTCTCAAATTGAGAGGAGCCGAGGGGAGCTTCGGTTTTCCGGATGAACCGGCAACCATTGACGCTTCTGAAAACCGAGGGTTACGGTCAGATACGGAAGCGTATTGTAGGCGCGATTTTCTAACTTCTAAAAGACATTCCATGCTCGAAAAAATTTGGGATTACGGTAGGCTACGATATTAGTACGAAAGGATACGAAAACGTACGGTATCGTACAGCAGTTTACAAGTTAATACGGTAGGGTACGTCAGCCACATTTTTCTAAGTTTTAAGAGTCATTCCATGCTCGGAAAGTTTCATAGGATTACGGTAGGGATACGGTATTAGTACGAGGGAATACGATAGGGTAGGGGAAGATACGGTTACTGTAGCTACGACAACGTACGGGGGTACGGTACGCTACGCTAAGCTACGTTATTTTAGAATGCTTGGAAAATGTTAGGACCACGGTAGATTACGCAAGTACGAAGGATACGATGGAGTACGATAATATACGGTTACGGTAGGAATATTCTAAAGGAGTTATTCGACATGCTAGCAACCAGGGCAACTAGCAGGGATTATTGGGGGACATGCCACTAGCTATTTTCATGCCGTAATCGAACCGTTTGTCGGATCGGAGAGGTGTCGCTTTTGAGATGGGGATTTCGATGGGGAATTGACGGCTGGAAGGCAAAAAATGGATTAAAAATGGCCAAAAAATCTATGGGTTTTCGGCAGCTCAAAAGCTATAAAATTCTATTAAAAATCGTGCTAAAATTCTGTTAATATAGATTTTTCAAAAATTCGGTTTTCCTACAAACATTTTGGGGACGTTAGTAATCTGAGGTACGCACCATGACTATCGACGAGGAGTTGAGCGTAAGAGGATACGGTGCCCGCTTCGTTTCTCGCGATGCATTGGTAGACGCCTGGAAACAGAAATTTTAGCAGCCTTCTCTCTCTCGCCCTCTCTCGCTCTCTCTCTCTCTCTCTCGCTCTCTCACGCTCTCTCTCGCTCTCTCTCGCTCTCTCTCGCTCTCTGTTTCTCTCGCTCTCTATTTCTCTCGCTCTTCGCTAATCGATTACGCAAGCAAAAACAGTTTTTTTTTCGGCGTGATCGATTACGTAATCTAATTCCAAATGGCTACCTTGATCCGCCTTGACAACCCCGAGAATCCGTAGATGACCATGTTGAATTTTGATAAAATGGTTAGAAAGCAACGGGATTCCATTTTTGATCCATTCCACTTCCGAGGTGCCTTTTGTCTCGCAGCGCATCTGAAAAGGTCAAAAATGACAGTTACAGTAACCCTAACTTACCTCGACGTCCTGCCGTTCCGAGGCAATCCGATCGGCCAGTGATACGGTAAGGCGAGGGGATTCTGAAAAGGATACGGTTTAACCAATTACGCTATTGAAATATCCGGGTGTCAGCTTAACCTATTAAATAATTAAAATTAGTGCCGGCCAGTTTAAACGATTACGCAATCAAAATTCGAAAACGTACCGATGACGACGAGTTCTGCCGTTTTTTCATAGACATCACCGTGGACGGTCGTCTGGCAGGTGTAGGTGGCGGTGTCTAAAGATTAGAGGATTACGGTATCCCCAGTGCCCCAGAGTACAGATTGCACATCATGACGGTTAAAAATCAGCGCTTACCGGAGGGTAGCGTCCTTGTAAAGTGGAGTGAAGAGGAGACGAGACGGACCCGTTCACCATCAACGCGAAGGTATGAACCGTTACGGAGCCTGAAAATCCACAAATTGTCTCTGCTTGCCTGCCCTTCCTGATTTCGTCTACCTGGCTGCCAGTCGACCCATTCCCCCAAATGATCTCCACTAGCTTGCCCGTTGCCTTACCATTCAACTTGTGCTCCAGCCATCCCAGCTGGTAGGCACTCCAACAGAGCAGCTTTTCCCTCGGCTACCGTAACGCTTCGTGGCCATGAGAGGAGACCGCGGGCGATTGGCGCTGAAAAACGATCGATGATGAACTTAATTTTATCGCGTAATCGAATAATCCCATCTTGGCACTTTTCATAACGTAAGCGAATAACCCGATCCTCTAGCCTTTTCATGGCGTAATCGGTTAAATTGGGAAGCAAAACCGTTTTTCATGGCGTAATCGAATATGCCGGGGGCCGTTTTTATGCCGTAATCGATTAGGCGGCGGACAGTTTGCATTGTTACGACGTAATCGATTAAACTGGAACCCAGGGCAGCAAAATATTTGGTCAGGGAGAGAGAGAGTGACAGATACAGTGAGAGAGCGAGAGAGAGAGAGAGAGATAATTCAAAACTACCGTACCCCTCGTCTCGACCTGTAGTCGTGCAGCAGTGCTTCTCAAAGCTTCTCCCTGTCCCTCCACTTCACAACGATAGAATCCCTGATGTTTCGGGAGAACCGGATGAATCTCGAGACTTCCCGAGAGCGGGATCACTCGGGTGTCATCTGGATTGCAACGTATTTTCTACCGTATCCCTCCTTACCATTTAGTCGCAGAGGTCTGTCGTTGAACAGCCACCGCGTCGCCGTCACGTTCGCCTCTTTTCTCTGAAGAAAAAGGATTTTTACAAGAATTCTCGGTCATTTTCGTCGCGCAATCCTAAACGATCTCTGATAGTCTGTCTTTTCTTTTAACTGCCAAGCAGACAGTACTTTTCCAGTCTTTCCACAATGACCCCGCTAGTCTACGAAAAATTTTGGTGTCGTAACCGGTTTCAAAATTTGGGACCTGCGGAACAATTCAAGCGCGTAATCGATTAAACCGTTTGTATGGTATTTTTATGGCGCAATCAATGACATCCGACTGTCGGCTTTTGATGGCGTAACCTATTGAACTGACCAAATTTCGAGGCAAATTTTAGCCTCCCCTGGGCTCAATCCTTCGAAAATCGCGTTCCCCGGCTTCCGCTCTTTGGAAACGGCAGACTGGCGGCCAATTAGTCAGGGCCAATCAAAATATTGGGCTCCGGGCCACACGGACTAGGGGCCAGTGGGCCCTAAGAGAGGGGGACTGGAAGGAATTGATGTCTCTACCCCCCGGGCAGGTGGTCCTTTTCCTCTTGGCCACTAGCCTGAAAGAGGGGGGCACCTAGATTGCCCTCAAATTGTACGATTGCGGCAGGAAATCCCCAATTAAAGGAGCTCGGAAGGCAAAATCCATAGAAATATCGAAAAATCTCGAAAACTGTAAATTTCACTTAAAAATTTTTTTCTGGGGTAAGCTAGCGAAGATTCTTTGCGGAATGGATAGGTTGTCTGGCAGATAGTCGAAATGCAAATAGAGGGCTGGGAAATGCCCAATTCAAGGGACTGGGAAGTGCAATAATCCAAGGAAAACCGACAATTTAAAGATGTAGAATAACAGAAATCACTTGCGATTTTATACAACCGATTTCGCCATGAAAATCCCGAAAAACTCACGACGCGACAGTGAAAAACGGCGGTATGGCCGGGGGCCGCGTGGAAATCCTCGGGTTCCGCCTCGAAACGGAGCGGATATGGGTCGAAGATCTGAAAAATGGTATTTTGAAAGCTACGAAATTTTCCTAATTACAACATTTTGCGTTTAAAATATCTATTGTCTTGCTCACCTTTGCCCCTGTCGACGCGTAGATCCACTCATTTTTCTTGGTATCCGTGATCCGTACACGACATGAATATTCCCCTTCGATTGGACGGCCGATGTAGAGGGTACCGTTCGGGAGGACACTTCTGGAAAAGAATGATATTAGGGGTAGGCTGGCAGAGATTTTTGAGGAATGAGTGGACTGACTGGCAGCTAAGTGAATTAGCGGAGAAAATTTGGGGAAACTGGCCAGGCTAGCAGAGATCTCTAGAAATGACTACCGTGGATCCCAGCGGGGAGCACTAGCAGAGAAAATTTAGGAAATGAGGGCAGGCCAGCAGAGATTCTTTGGGAAATCGCCAGACTGGTTGCCAGATGGGTAAACTAGCGGAGAAAGTTTGAGAATTTAGGGCATACTAGCAGAGATTCGTTAGGGAATTGGGAGCGAGGGCAGGCTAGCAGAGAGTCTTTGAGGTTTTGAGTATTCTTCTACTTTCTTGGCCCCTTCAATGCCATGCAAATTTGGGTCCCCTCCTCGTCCCTTTGGCCCATTCATCCATCGGAATCTGGAGAATCCCTGGTGCTCCCCCTACGTCCCGAGGTCCGTCATTAGGGTACCCCTTTTCCGGGGACTCCTATTGACCCGTCTCTCTCTCTCTCACTCTCTCTCTCTTCTCTGACCCACCAATTAGTCTTCCCTTTTGGCATGACAAGACTGGTGGATTGTGACCTATGTACTCCGTTAGATCCTGGCTAGGGCCACAGGATAATCCGAAAATTGGGGGATCGGACGATTTCGGAATCGCCAACGATCGCTGCTAGGTTGCCATTGAGGGATTGGTCAATCTGCCAGGCAGTTAGCCCATTCCGCAAATGATCACTGCTCGATCGCTTCAGGATCTCAAAGAATCACCGCTAGCTTGCTTCCAATTTTCCGAATTTGCTCTCATAGCTGTCCTAGCCTCAAAAATGGTTTCTGCTAGTTTGCCTCTTGAAGAATCGGCTACCTGTCAGCCAGTATACCGATTCCGGAAGGAATCTCTGCGAGTTCGCCCATTCTCAGCCCCCCAAATGACCTCTGCTAGCTTGCCTTGCTGAACGGGCGGTTGATTTGTAAATTTTTCCTTTTTTTTTAGTCGAAATCATTCATCCTCAATAGCCTCTGCCAGCTTGCCCACTTTGGATTCCAGGAATCTGGCAGTCAGTTTAGCCATTCCCCAAACGATCTCTGCTAGCCTGCCCTTCCCTCGCTTGCCAGTCCCTTTAATCCGTTAATGGAATGCAGAACAAGTAGTCGTTGTGGGGGGGTCAATCCAGAAGCCTTCTCCTCCACTTACCCACCACAGACCCCATCCCCCTTAGGACCCACCACTGGGCCCTAAGGGCCAAAGGGGAAGGGCTCGGATTTCCATGCATAAAGTAGTCGTTCCCCTGGCCTCTTTCTATCTCTCTCTCTCTCTCTCCCTCTCTTTATTTATTTCCTAGCGGGGGGATGTCTCGATTCGGGACATCCAAAGGGACCTTTGATGGCACCCTGGATAAGGGAAGATTTAGGGCCCACAAAGGGCCCAAAATGGCCCATGAACAGGAACCCCTGCCCCCAAATACTAGGACCCAAATTCCAGTGGATAATTCGAGAATTGAGGGCAGGCTAGCATAGACCATTTGTGGAATGGGTAGACTGGCTGGCAGCTAGATGGAATTCGAAGTGGGCAGGCTAGCAGAGATCATTTAGGAACCCAGGCCACGTTTTCTCGATTTTCCAGGCTTTTAGCTAGCTATTTAGTCATTTCTGTTTTTTTCAAAGCAAGCTAGCAGAGATTCTTTGCGGAAAAGCTAAAATGGCTGACAGATAGCCAGAAAAAGTCCACCAAGGCAGGCTAGCAGGAACCATTTGCTAGATCCAGCATTTTTTTTCACTGATTTTTGTGGTTTTCGGGGGCAATTTTTGGAAAAATTAATTTTTTTTTCTCAATTTTTAAATAAATTTGGCTCTATTTTCAAGGTCCCCCATTTCCGGGCAGGTGTTGTCCGGGGCCGGTTGTATAGTAGCCAGGCGGAAAAACGTGGGCGGCGGGATGGGGCTTTTGCTACCCCACACCCCCTAGCATCGGGATTATGAAAGCGAGTCTCGGCGGATGACTAAACCAGGTGCAGAGAGAGAGAGAGAGAGAGAGAGAGAGAGAGAGAGAGAAATGGTATGCCATCGACCCTCTAAAAGCGTCGCCTTAATCCCCACTTGATGGCGGTAAAAATGACACGGCAACTACATGGCGCTACTTGCAACATCAAACGACCAGAGAATTTAGGGCTTAAAGGAACTTTGAAGTCAAAAACTGCAGATTTTTCGGCGTTCTGGCAGTCAGTAAAGTGATCAAGAGTATCGGCTAGCTTGCCATCGCTTTAAAGGTACTTGGAAGGCAAAAATATATGGATTTTTACGTTTTCTGGCAGCCACTAAAATCCTGAAGAGTCTCTGTTAGTCTGCCCTGGCTTTAAAGGAACTGGGAAGGCAAAAGATATGGATTTTTATGGTGGCTGGAAGCCAGTAGAGATCCTGAAGAATCTTTGCTAGTTTTCCAGGACCTTAACTTGCCGGAAGGCAAAATCTAGCTCGCGAATTACGTTGCGTAATCGAATCCCATCAGAGCCCATGATTCGGATTTTTAACGGGATTTAGAGGGGTAAAAAATCTGAAGTTCATGACGTAATTGAATGGAGGAGAAGGAGCAAGGATAAGGAGTAAAATGGTGACTAATTGAATCGAAAAACGTTGAAAAACTTACGGATTTTCAATAGGCCGTCCATCCAAAAGCCATTCCACCCGTTCTTCTATCTAAACCGAATAGATTTTTTGGGGTTTTTTACTGGGAATTTCTTAAAATTTGTATTTTTTTGGATTTTTACATTAAAAAATTCTTACCCGTCCATCATTCTTCTCAAAATTGTAGGCACAGGGGAGGAGGATTGGCGAAGAAGAAGCGGACGAAAATTGGCCGCTCGGTTCCGAGGAGAAGTGGAAACTCAGCCAGCGGTCGTCTGAAAAAAACCCACAATTTTCAATTTTTTAGCTGGATTTTGAGCTTTTGAATCCCTTTAAAAGCTTTTAAAAGCTTTCTAAAGCCCAACCAGGGGTGGTCTGAAAAAAATTTTTTGGGCCTGATTTTCATCTTAGTAGTCCCTTTAAAATCACTCAATAGCCCCAATTTTTTCGTTTCGATTTTTAGCTTCTCAGCCCCTTTAAAAGCTTTTCAGTTGCGTTGTAAGCTTAACCAGCGATCGCCCAAAAAAAACAACTTTTCAGGCTCGATTTCGCTTCCCAGCCCCTTTAAAACCGCGCCAATAGCCTCAATTTCCCCCTCGGCTTCATCTAGCCCTAAAATTAGGCTCCTCAAGGACCCGGGAAGCCAATTTCCCGGCTATTAATGCGTGGTTTATGATGGGGCATGTCAGGGATCGAGGGAAGGGGGATCTTCACAAGATCTCAAGCTCATTTAGAAAGAATGGGGAGCCAGGGAAAGAGGGCCCTAAAGGGGGGCAACCCTGACCAGCCATCTGTTATTTCAGGGGTAAGGGGAAGAGGAGGAGGAGGGACAGATGGTCTACCGATATCTCTCTCTCTCTCTCTCTCTCTCTCTCTCTCTCTCTCTCTCTCTGCCTCTCTCTCACTCTTGTCTCTCTCTCGCTCACTCTCTCGCCACAAATCGATCCCTCTCCCCTTTTTTGGCCTTCCGCAATGACCGTCTCTTCCCTCCTTGCAGCCCAGAAAAACCCCGGTCTACCAACGGACCACCCAAAACGGAGGGCTGTCCCTTGAAAAGTGACCAGCCGGCAGTGTTTTTCGGGCAAAAAACCTTTGTTAGCTCGCCTATCGATTCCCAAATGATCGCTGCTGGTTGACCTGCCAGTTAACGGAATTATAGGGTTTGGGGCCACGAATTTTGCTTGAATGGTCTCTGCTGGCTTGCCACTGTGGAATTCAACTATCTGTCAGCCAGCCTAGCGTTTCCGCAAGGGGTTTTTGCTAGCTTGCCCAAGTTTGGGATTACCAGGAGTAATCGGTTCACCGGACAGAGCGAGAGAAAGAAAGAGAGAGAGAGAGAGGGAGAGAGAGAGCGAAAGAGAGAGAGAGAGACAGACAGACAAATAGACAGACAGGCAGATAAATTTTAAAACTTACCATCTATCCGATGAGACGCTGCCTGGGTTAAAAAATTCGCGGTGAAGCCGAGGAGTAAAAGTGGAAAATATAGTGGTTCTCGCATGGTCAGTTGATAGCTTCTCGTTCATTCGGATCTCCAGTCTCACCGTCGCGTTGTCGGCATTTATTTACGGCTGGAAAAAAAGTCATCAAAAATAGTATTAAAGGGAGCGTGACAGATGAGAGCGAGAGAAAGAGAGAGAGAGAGAGCGAGAGAGAGAGCGAGCGAGCGAGAAAGAGAGAGAGCAAGAGAGAGAGAGAGAGCGAGAAAGAGAGAGCGAGAGCGAGAAAGCAAGAGAGAGAGAGAGAGAGAGAGAGAGAGAGAGAGAGAGAGAGCGAGCGAGCGAGCGAGAGTGAGAGAGAGAAGCAGACAGTAAGCCAGTTTTCGGGATTTTTCGACCCCTAAAAGCCAACCAAAAATAATAGGAGCCACATGGAGGGGAAGACGGAGTGTGTGTGCGCTGCGAGCATTTTACGACGGCTGGATGATAGATGGGGAGAAGCGGAAGGGGATTGATAGCACGGATTCTTGAGGAAAGTTTGGCAATCAGCCAGGGAACGGCCTTGAGGAGAGAGAGAAGGAGAGAGAGAGAGAAGGAGAGAGAGAGAGAGAGAGAGAGAGAGAGAGAGAGAGAGAGAGAAAGAGAGAGAGAGAGAGAAGGAGAGAGAGCGAGTGAGAGAGAGAGCCAGGGAAAGTTACATGAAATGGAATGGGAGGAAAGACATCCCATTGGATGTCCTCTTCTCCTGAAGCCCTTCCACCCGCACAACGGCCCTTTTTAATGGCTGCCTGCAACGCGAGTGGCGTCGGCAACAGGATTTTGAAAGTTTAAGGGATTGTGAAGGCAAAAAAACATAGAATTGACGTAAACCGTATCCACAATACAGATTCGATGTCTAGCCAAAATTCGGGAGATGTTCCGCTCGATTTTGGTCAAATCCAGGCCATTTCCGGCGAATTTTAGACCATTACGACCGTTTTTAAGGGATTGGCAAGGCAAAAATCTATAGAATTACAGCTTTTGCGAATTACTATTCGACGATTTTACGGAATTTGTAGCGATTGGGAAAGGAATATAGCTTCTAGATCGGCCGTATCGTCCCCCTAAACCCCGCAGAAAATGACGAACAAAATTAGGGGCATGGGTGGTTGATTGGAACGGGGCGGAACCGCTGTCTTTATCAGAGGCGAGCGGAGGAACGGAGAGGGATGGAAAGAAAAGGTAATAAAAGCAGGGAGAAACTTAGGTCCTAGCATAGCCAAAAAAAGCCTAACTTTCCATTACCTGAAAAAAACTTTATATAACTCTCCGAAAAAAATCATAGAATTTTGTTTCAAAAGCTTTACCTCTGTTTTTCTATACGATTCGAGCTTCAAAAACCCTTATTTACAAAAAAGCGATTCCAGAGTGCTAAATCAACTAAATAAGTCAAAAGAAGCACGCCAAGCTCGAAAACGGAGCCTGTGAAGCCAAAAACAAGCCAAGGAAGCTCAGAAAAGCCCAGAAAGCTTCGAAACGTCGAGTTTTAGGTCAAAAATAATAACGCCGCCCTGGCCGATCTTTCAAAAATTAAGTAATTCAGAAGCCTAGCAGCAGAAAAAAAATCAACGAAGTCAAACCAAGCAAGTCAAGCCCGAAAAACGAAGTCCGGGAAGCCAAAAACAAGCCAAGGAAGCTCAGAAAAGGTTCAAAAAGCTTCCAAAAGTGGAGCTCTGTTCGCAAATAATGCCACCGACCGAGCCGATATCCCAGAATTTAATTAAATCAGAAGCGAGGAGCAGGAAAAATCAACGAAGCCATACGAAGCACGTCTAACTCGAAAAAAGAAGCCAAAAAGGTCAAAACCAAGCCAAGGAAGCCCAGAAAAGACTCCCAGAAGTCGAGCTTTAGGTCGCAAATAATGCCGCCGACCGAGTCAATACCTCGAAAATTCATTAATTCGAGTAGTAGACAAGTCATAAAGCCAAAACAAATCAAGCAGATCTGAATCTTCTAATTAACCCCTCAAAAATGATTGATCACCAGGGTATAGACCCGGAAATTAAGAGGGGGGAAGAGCGGGAGGTGTCAGCCCAGCCAATAGTACCCAACCAAGAGATGACCTTCCAATCCAAATCTCTACCCCTCTACCCCTCTAGCCGTCTATCCAAGGGGTCAACCCCCCAGCATTGGTCAGCCTCAGCCTGCTGGGGGGTGTATTGTGGGCGTGGCTTCTCGATTTCTTGGTGCTCTCCACCTCTCTCTCACTCTCTTGCTCCTCTGCCTGTCTAGCCCCAGATTCAAATTCCCGCTTCGCGACCGCGGCGCGCGCACCAGCAACCGTGTGTGTCTGTGTGGGTGCGCGCCAGCGACCCCTTTCGAGACGCCCAGCCGGATTATGTCTACAAATGTTTAAGTAATGATTTTGAGTTATATCGATTTTAAAACACTTTAAAAAGCTTTAAAAACTAGGAAGGTACCGCTACGATTATGGAGCGTACCTTAAAACGTGTAGTTTTATCTTGAAATCCTGAAAAAAGCTAGATTTTTAGCACGTTTTAAAAATATAAAATTTTTAGACTTCGAAATTCCGCTATTGTAAAGGCCATATCAACCTGAATTTGGTGTCCATTAGTGCGGAAACGAAGCGCCATTTCATGCGGAACTTTTTCTGTAACGAAAATACTTTCGAAAATGTTGAAAATGTAATAAAACTCGGCTTTTCCTTGACATTTCCGGTCCTTTTGGTCGGTTCCGCATAGTTACGCCCTATCCCGTGGATAATGCGTCATTAGGAATTGCGCGGAACGGTCGTTCGAGATTTTGGATTTTTGCGCCAAATCCTTTCGCGCGCGTTTCGGAGTGTTTTTCGTCTCGCTAATCGATTTTTCTTTTCTTTGCTTTTCGTTTATTTTACCTTATCTTTTCTTATCGATGGAATTAACCATCTCTTTAACTCGTTAACTTAACTTTTAAAGACGTAAAAAGTGAAAACTCCAGGCCCATTTTTGGAAAACTTTCATCTCCTGGAAATTTTAACGTTTTCTTACCGCTCATCTTTTCGCCTAGATTGTATGGCTTTTTGTGTATTTTCGCTTAGGTTCTATCGAATTTAGACGTTTTCAAGCTTTTTAGTGACTCATTTTAGCATCATTTTAAAAAAAAACTATACTTCTGCATTTCCTGGGCCACCTTTTCTATTTTTCTGCTGTGTTTGTTTTATCTAAGTTTTCTGACTAGATTATTGCCATTTTCTTGCAGCAAAATAACCATTTTCGGCACTTATCAAGTTGGGGGGGGCCACTTTGGTTTTCGACTTTTTGACCCTTTCTAGGCTAGTTTTTCGTGCTGGTTTCTGATATAACAAAATCAGCGTAGTAAAACACAATTATCTAAACGTTTTTAAGGTTTAGAAATGCTTACACCCAATTTGAGCCTAAAATTAAGGCTTCGTGCCACCCGGGGCCTAGTCGCTTCGGATGGGTGCGAGCTAGTACAGGGTTTCGAAATCGGGGCGCCCGAGGAGCGCGTAGCGCCCAGGCGCCCTGATTTCGAAAGAGTGGAGCGGCAGCCCATCCGAAGCGACGGCCCACCTTGCCTGACAATGCGGCAAGCCTAAAATTGCGCATAAGTGCACCTTTTATTCATAAAGTTTTACACTGTTTTTCTGGATATACCCAACCGTTTCGCATGCTGTTGCGGCTGTATTTGCGCTCAGCGTAAAAAACTACCCCAGAAAGAGTCGAAAAAGCGACAAAAAAGTGTCTCCTAATATGTACCCAAAGTGGCCCCCCCCCCCCCAACTTGATAAGTACCCCATTTTCTCGCGATAGACATCTGTTTTTCACGTCAACCTTTCCAAATACTCATTTTCAGGAAACCACCGGATGTCATCGAATAAATCCTGGTTTTCGGCACTATTTGGTGAGTTTTTTTTTTTTGGCAGAATCCTGGAGTTTTGAACCTTTTTGTGTGTGCTTTTTTTATTTCCACTTTTTCAGGGAGCTCCTCGCGTGAGCCGGAGCCGGCCCCGTCGGCCTCTTCTACACCAGCTGCGCACAACTCACCGGAGGGCCCGGATTCGCGTTCGTTTCAACGTGGCGCACAGAATCGCGGTAAATTTTAGCAGGATTTATATGAGACTGCCAGAAAGCCTTCCAAAAACTAAGAAAAATCGAAATTTTGGCCAAACATGTCCATTTTTGATCGAAAAATGATATTTTTGTATTTTTTTTTTACTACAAAGTTTGTGATGTTTTTACGTTCAGGAATAGTAAAAACAGTTTAGAAACGCTTCCGCTCCTTGGATTTGAAAAATTGGATCCTACGAACGAGAGAAAAAGTTTACGATTTCCCGTTCCAGGCTCTCCAGCGATAACAACCACCGACCAGCCGCCGCTCCGCAGCTCGCTGAAACAACTCGGCAGCTTCACGCCGTCGGCCCGCATCATCTCCAACGGCGCCTCCTCCACGCAACGCACCCCGGGTCGCGGCCTTTTCGTCGACACCAACGGCGACACTTCCGAGAGCATTACGGTAATTTTTAGCCCATTTTTTGTATACCATTTTTTAGCGCAAGCGCCAACTCGTCACGTCTCCGGAGAACAGCCTGCTCACCTCCGACCGCATCAAACGCTTCCGCGAGAATTTGGCCAAGTCTAGGCCCGAGGATAAGGTGAATTTTTGCTTTTTTTCGAGCTATTTTTCTGATTCTGTACTACAAAAACTGCCAAAATTTCGTTATTTTTTGCCCAAAACTTCCGCTTTTGGAGCGTTTTTATTCATCCCTTTTTCAGGCAAAACTCAGCGTGTTCTCCTCGCTGGAGCCGAAACTCCCTCGCCTCGACAACAGCACGTTCACCGCCCCGTCGGCACGCCAGAATCTCTCGGCAATGGACTCGCCCGGCGGCTCGTCCAACTTCTCGCACCTCTCCCGTCGCTCGGCCGCCCCATCACTGCAGTCGAACGTCTCGTCGAAGACGCGCAACATCCTCGAGCAGCTTGAGCGATGCTCCACGCCGCAGAGTGTGCGTTTTGGTGTTGTTTCGTTTTTTTTGCAGCTAGTTGCAGGGCCATAAAGGCTGTCGTTCCAACTATTTGGTTTTCTTTCTAGCTTTTGAGGGTTTTTGGTTCTAGAAAGCCCATGTTCGCTTTGAAAGGGTCATAAAAAAGCAGAAAAACACATTTTTGTCGTCAGGATGGTTTTTCGAGCTTGAAAAAAGTTTAAATTCGTGTTAAAAATGTTGACAACGATAGAAAAAAAGTTTAAAAACTTTTTTCTATCGTTCAACCCCATTTTCGTTTTGCAATTGTCGAAAAATGTTAGAAATCGTGTTTTTAACGTCAACGAGGTTTTTTTGCAATTTTTGAAATGTTTGAAATGCCGATTCTGTTTTGAAAATGTCGAAAAAACATCAGAAACATTTTTCGATCATTTGGAAGGTTTTTTCATAGTTTAGCGCGCGCTTTTTCGGTTTATGGAACTCAAAAACCGTTAGAACCTATTTTTCGTAATTTTCTCCATAAAACCTCGATTTTTCAGAACACCCAGCGCGTGCCAGCCTTTCGCACATCCAGCGGCGTCACCGAAGTGTGGAACACGTCTTGGCAAAGCGGCAACGGCTCTATGACGCGCTCCCAGATCCAGGCCACCGGCACCCCACCACCACTCCGCCGCCAGACCATAGAGGTATCAATCGCGGTTTTCTCCAAAAAATTCGTCTAGGTGCCCTCGCGAATGCAGGTGCTGACGAGCTCGCTGTCGTCGCACTACAAGAAGCCGTACTGGAGGGATTTGTCGAGGTCGAACACGGCGCCCAGCCCGTCCGGATCGGCGGCCGCGGCGGCTTCTCCGGCTCTGCAGCGCGTTCGGGATGGAGCCGGTGTTAAGGTATAGTTTTACCGATTTTTTGGATGTCTTGATTTTGATAAATAAATCGTTTTATTGTTTGTTTATCGTGTTTTGCGCTATTCTTCTGTCGTTAAAAAGTGGAATTTGCGTCGTTTTTCCTTAGAAATCGTTTTTGTTCTTTACAAAATTGGAGTCGATTTTAATTTAAATTTTGGGTGGCATTTTGTAGATGACGCCCCTTTTTACGTGCCAAAAATACGCTCATTTTTCCTTTGGTCTGATTTATCGCTAAAAAGCGGAATTTGCGTCGTTTTTCTGTAGATGACGCCCATTTTTTGTGGCGAAATAGCAAAATTTGATATGTGAAATTATATTTATTAAGTTTTAAAAATCGCTAAGTTTTGTTTGAATTATATTTTTGCTCTTTTCCAGATCTCTCCGCTCTTCGACCTCACAGCCCACCAACCGGCCGTCACCCCGAAAGAAACCGTCACCACCGCCACCACCGCGACGCCTCCACTCAAAGGTGCAATTTTGAGCATCAGCTGAAACTCCGCTTTTTAGGACCCGACGGCAAGAAGGGCCGCAACACGTTCAGCATGCAAGACATCGAAGAGAGCGGCGATGATGATATCCAGACGCTGACCGAGGCCAATGGACTGCCCATCACCGCGTTCGCCCCGCCCAAGGGATTCCTCGACAACTGCCTCTTCTCCTTTGCCGCGCCGGTCGAACGAGGACCGCAAGTGGTAAATTTTTAGACGTTTTTGAGCTGGATGAAATCCTGGTCGCTGTAACCTATTCTACGCTTCTTTGAGCGCGTCCCTCCTACGGGCTTAAAATCCTGCTCAAAACACTGGCAATGGAGCTTAGAATATGATTGCAATTCCAAATTGCCGTTTTTTTGCTACCATCGAAATAGTTCCGGTTGTCTAATTTTTAGGCTCTTTAGCCTCAGATCGGGATTCTGGTAGCCGTATTTTAATCTACGCTTCTTTGATCGCGTTGCCAGCTCATACGGGCTTCAAATCCCGCTCAAAACGCTAGCGAAAAAGCTTAGGATCAGGGCGGGTTCAAAATTATCGCTCTTTTTGGGTGATATCCTTTTTTAAAATTCAAGTTCTATTTCTTTCAAAAATCAATTTTTTTATGCACGTCAGGCCCGAATCCTGGCTTGATTTTAATCTACGCTTCTGGTACGAAATATTTATATTTCGGCACGTAAAAGCTTCAAATTCAGCACGAAAAGCTACTTGAAAGCTTTAGAATATAACCAGGGTAAAATTTAGGCCTCAAAGATTGACGACTTCGTCGAAATCGCCAAAAATCCTCTTTTCCAGCAAGCCACCGATGAAAGTGACGACGATTCCGAGGAGAAGCAGAGCAGTGGCACCGACGAGACCGACACCGAAGAGAACCAGCCACCCGCAGTTCCGCAGGTATTTTTTGGCGATCGAATCTGTAATTTTCCTTTTTACAGAAGAAGCTGCCCGTTTTCGGGGCGCCGACCGACAGCGAGACGTCCGGCGCCGGCACGCCCAGCTCGAGCAAGAACACATCGCCCGAGAGCCTCAACAAGACGCCGACTGTCGCCACGAACACCGCCACCACGACCACGGCGCCGAAATGGGAGTGCCCGACGTGCATGATGCGCTGGGAGGTATAGAATTTTGATTTTTCTATAGCCAAAAATGTGGTAAAAGTTATCGAATCCCTTATTTGTCGCTTTCTGACGAGCATTGTTGAAAAATCTACGTTTTTGAAAGGCGTTCTCGGGCTGAAAAAATGCGCAAATTTCGTTGAATTATTATTTTTTGCTTTTTCACCTGGTTTTTCGGTTCTAGAGCGAAAAATCGCATGTTTTTGGTTTGTTTTAGGCAGAAAATACACGCAATATTTTTTTGCGGCTAATGGGCTCGTCAAAATGCAAAAAAATGTGCTAAAGCCATTATTTTTTCGCTTTTTTGACGAGGTTTGGCTATTTTTATTTGTAAAATCGACGTGCAAAATGCGCAAAATTCGTTGTATTTTTTAGATTTCACTTTCTCACGGGATTTTTCCATTCAGAGCGAAAAGTCGGAATTTTTATAGTCTTTTTGTATACAGATATTGCCACCATTTCCGTTTTTATCTCTATTTTGCAGGAATCGACCCGGAAATGCGCGTGCGGCTACGACAAGGACGGCAAATCAACATCCACCGAGTCGACCACGTTCAAGCCGACCAGCTTCACCGCCCCGCCATCTACCACCACGGTCTCCTTCGGCTTCGGCTCGAAAACTGCCAAGCCGGCTGAAGTTGCGAAGCCCGCCGCCACGACCGCCAAGCCGACGACGTGCCCGGACTGCTGGAGCTCGATCCCCGCCGAAGCAAAGTCATGCCTATCGTGTGGCCATGTCGTTGGCGCTGCTCCTGCGCCTCTTCCTCCGGCTCCTTCCACCGCCACCACAACCTCCTCTGCCACCACCGAGCGCAAGGACTGGAGCTGCCCGACGTGTTTTGTCGGTAATAAGGTAGTTTTTGATGGCTAAAATTGCTATTCGGATTTTTCGGTTCTTTCGCATTATCCGGAGGAGACGATATTTTTTTTCTGTCTTATGCCTAGAAATTCCTAGTAACGTTAGAATAAGCGTTTTAATAGTGGTTCTGGCAAAATTGAATGATATTTTAAGTGGAAAAATTTGTTAAAAATTCGGAACTTTTTTTAGGTGGGATTTTTATTTAAAAGTAATTTTTTTTGTCTTTTGCATGAAAATTTGTAAAGTTTACGCTTAGGAATAATAAAAACCTTTCTCGCTTTATAGTAGAATCCTTCGAAAAATTCACCCCCCCCCCGATAATGCAAAAGAACCTGCAAAATTCGGTATAGTAAAAATCACAAAACTAAATTTTTCTGCTCACCCTGCAAGCTAAATCTCCTTTTTTGCAGGCCGACCAATCGAAATGCCCGTGCTGTGACCACGAGATGTACAAGGAGACCGCCGGCGGCGAGCAGGACAAGCCGAAGAGCGTCTTTGGCGCCAACGCGTTCAACCCCACCGCCGCTGCCAATGCTGGTAATTTGGATTTGCCCTGTAAAATCTCGATTTTAGGTGGTTTCAAATTCGGCACGTCGGCTGCAGCTGCTTCAACGAACGGCGGTCCCTCTTTCGGCATCAAGCCCGCCGAGGAGAAGAAGGACGAGCCGCCGAAATTCGGCGTCACTTTCGGTGCCAAGCCCGACGCGGACAAGCCGGCTTGTGAGCCATTTAAGAATTTTAGCGTTGAAAATGCCAAATTTTCGGTTTTTTCGATTAATTTATGTTGTTTTTAGCTACCCCCACCTTCGGCATGCCCAAGACAACAACAACAACGGAGAGCCCAAAACCCGCCGCCGCCTCCGGAACGTCGATTTTCGGCGCCGCCGCCTCGGCCATGAAGCCGTTCACTTTCGGAGCGTCGCCTAACGCCAAGGACGCCGCTTCCGCTTCATCCACACCTGCCGCCCCGGCTTCTGGACTCGTTTTTGGCGCTACGTACGTTTATTTTATTTTTACTTTTGGATCTAGCCTTTTCAAAAAAAGTCTAAAAAAGTTATAGGCGCCTCTGATAGGCGAAAAAAATAGACGCCGAGAAAGGAGACATTTTTGATAGAAAAATTATCAAAATCTCGCATAAACATGCCAAAAAATTATAGAAATGTCTTGAATGATGTTTTAGAAAATTTTTAGTTGTTAGAAACTTTTAGAAAAATTCAATTTAGGGAAAATAAACGTCAAGAAACGCCTTTTTTGCAGAAAGCCCATGTTCGGCCAGACGCCCGCCACCACCTCGGCCACTCCATCTACCGACGCCCCGGCCAAGACACCACTTTTCGGCCAAATCGACGGCGCCACCAAGCCGCTTTTCGGGTCTAGCCTTGCTGCACCAACTACAGACAAGCCCGCCGCCGCTGCTACGCCTTTCGGGCAACTCGGGTAAGTTTTACGATCGCTTTTTTCATCATTTTTGTTTAGTGGCGATCGGCCGCTGTTCGGCATGACGACGCCGGCGTTCGGCTCCTCATCTACCGCACCGGCCGCTGCTGCCCCGACGACTGCCGCCCCGAATTTCCCCGTCTTCGGCGCTTCCGCAACTACGGCTGCTGCCACGCCCGCCCTCAAGTTTGGCGAGCCGTCTGCAAAGTAAATTCCATTCTTTACCGAATTTTTCAAGCCTAAATTAAGAAAATGGGTATTTTGCGAGCTAAACTTGTCAATTTTTACCAAAATTTCGACATTTTCAAGCTCTTTTCAGTTTTTTAATGGGTTTTGCACTTCAAATATCGCATATTTTACTGAAAAAATTTCGTCTGGTCCATAATTTGATTTTTTTAACGAATTTTTCAACAGTAGATTTCTCTACCGAAAATTGTTAATTTTTAGCCAATTTCGAAATATTGAAGCTTTTAATAGTTTCTTCACTCAAAATCACCTAATTAATTTTTAGGCCTGTCTAGATTGATCAGGAAAATTCTGTTTATTATGTATTAAATATAAAAAGACCACGAAAAGTTTGAAAATTTTGTGAAAATGCAAAATTTGACAATTTTAAATCGAAAAATCAACAATGAAAAGATTACTTTTTACTGCCTAACCGACCCTCTTTTCCAGGATCTCATTCGGCCCCTCGACCACCACCACAAAAGCCGACTCAACCACCGAAGCGGCGAAGCCGCTCTTCGCTTTCGGCTCAACATCGGCCCCTTCTGTCTTTGGCTCATCAACGGGTTCAATGTTTGGCAACGGGTCTTCTTCTACTTCTCAAGCCGACGCCCCCGAGACGAAGCGCAAGATGTTCGAGCCGTCGGCACCTGTCGCTGCTGCCGCTGCCCCATCTACTGGCTTTTCGTTTGGCCCGCTGGGAGGTGGAGCCCCCGCCCCGGCCACCAATGGATTCAACTTTGGCGCTGCGTAAGGGATTTTTGGAGTTATTTAGCGTTTTACAATTTTTTACGATTTTTAAACGTTACAATGTGCAAAAATACACAAATATTGGTTTTCCACCGAATTTCATAATTTTTTATAGTTTTCTTACAAATTTCTCTTTTTTAAAACGTTTTAATTTGCAACATAGCTAGATTTGAGATTTTTCTAATTTTATTAGCGTATTATATTTGTAATTTTGTCATTTTTGAACGAGAAAAATCGTAAAATTATGAAAAAGGGCAAAAATATGAATTTATTTTAAAGCTTGAAGTTGCCTACAGTTTCTTTGAAGCTCTCATTTTTAAAAAGTTTTCGATGTGTTTTTTTAAGTTCTGGGGTTATTTAAGGGCCTCTGAATGCTAAAAATCTACATTTTGAGTGAAAAATGGCGTAATATCGACTTTCCAGGAAAACGGCACTTTTTAAAGATTTACTTAGAAAATTCTAATTTAACAAAAAATTTCGATGAAAATGACGCTAAGTTGAACATTTCTAGACCGGCTCAACCATTCGGCAGCTCGGCCTCGGCCCCCGTCTTCGGCGCCCCCTCATCCTCCATCCAGTCGACGCCCAGCTTTGCCGCCCCCACCGCGGCCCCGACGTCGTTCAACTTCACGATGGGAGCACCGGCTGCCGCCCCCACGAATGGTGCCCCGGCCCCGTTCGTCTTCGGCTCGTCGGCCGCCCCGGCGCAGAACAGTACGTCGATTTTCGAAAGCCTGATCTACCATTTTTTTCAGATCTGAACGGCGGTTTCTCGATGGGTGCCCCGATGCCCTCGTTCAACGCGCCGCAGCAGCCGTCGTTGGATTCGCCGTTTGCCTTTTCGTGAGTTTTTTAACTTATTAAGTTTTAACTTAACTTTTTAACTTACTAATTTAAAGTGGTTTTTAATCCCTAGTGATTTTGCCACGCCCGCGCTACGCAACGCAACGCGCCGTAATTCCATTGCGTAACTGCTTTTAGTGGCGAGTTTAGCGCGTTGCATATCGCAGCGCGCACGCTCGCCTTTTGCGACGAGTGCGAGGCGTTCGCGTGGCAGCGCAGCGCGGCAAAATTCGAGGCTATCCACAGCGCGAGCATTCGGCTTTTACGACAAATTCAAGGCGTTCGGGCGGGCGTACGCGCGGGAAAAATTCTAAGAAAAATTTTCTTTAAAGCTCGTGTTATTTTTCTAATAAAATTACACCATTCAAAACAATTTTTCCAGGTCTACAACTTCATCGGGCCCGCAGCGGAAGCTCGCGGCGGCGCGGAGACGGTTGACCGGCAAGAAATGAGCGCCACCTTCTACCATCATTTTTGCGCCAATTTCCGCTCGTTCTCCTCGTTCTCCACTGTCTGCTCGTGCTCCCCGTCCCCGCAATTTTCTCTCTAAACATAGCGAATTGTGTTTGTTCGTTGGTTTGTTTGTGTGTGTGATCGTTATCCGAATCGGTGAGCCCCTCTTCCCCAATTTTTCCCCCAAAATTCTTGTTTGTTTTTTTGAAAAATTCGCCCCGTCATTCTCCTCTAAATTCTTGCCCCTCCCCATTGATTAGTATAGTCGCTAGATACGTTCCATATCGTTGCGCTGCTGCCCTCCTTCCCCTCGTTGTTCTGTTGTCTCTTTCCCCCTCGTTGTCCCTCTCCCCTCTCTGCCTGTCCTCCTTGGGGTTGTTGGGCGCGTTCCGGCGGGATCGTGTCGTCGTCGTCGGCTAGCCGGCTGCTCCCTAAAAAAGTTATTTGAGATAAAATTTATGCTGTCCTGACGTTTTATTCGCGTTTTTCAGCTTCAAATGACGGCTTTTTATCCGATTTATCGTCAAAAATCGTTTCAGAAAAAACATGTTTATTTTTAGCGTATAAAATATCGTTTTTGGACGATTTTTCGTTGCCAAATTGCCAAAAAAATTTGAAAAGGATTTTCCGATAAAAAACGAGTTTGAGCAGTTCAGAAAAATTGTCTAAATTATATAGTTTTAATCTCTGGACAGTTCGAGCTCGTCGTTTTGATGAAAAACCGGCGAAAACCGCCCAGGTTGAACTGCTCGAACTCGATTTTCTAGACAAAACGTCGACCGGAACGCGCCTCAAACCCCAAAAAATTCCCCGCCCCCCACTGACCCTCCCCGCACGGCAGCTCGCTGTTGCTCAACGGCCCCTCATCCTCCACGTCGTTCTCCCCGCCCGTTAGAAGTATATCGAATTGTTGTTGTCCTCTTAAAAATTTCTATTATTACCGCGTGACACTTGCGGCCCAAATAATTTATTTTTTAAGGTTTTTACAGGTTTTTGGATGTATTTTTCCAGATTTTTACGCTTCCGGAACGCGAACGCCGCGCCCCTCCATTACATAATCGATTACGACGTTTTATAGCGGCCAAGCGGGGCGTGCGCGTTGCGTGTCGCGATAAAACTAAATTTGGCTGTTTTGGCCTAATTTAAACGATTTTCTATCAAAATTTAGGGCCGCAAGTGTCGCCAAACTCCCCAAAATTGACTTCCAATTCGTTGCCCCCCGTTTCCGTTATTCGCCCCCCTTTCGCCCCCCAAAAAAATTCACGGACAATTGGCCGGTAAAAGTGTGTGTTTTCGCGCGAGCAAAAACTACCCGTTAGCAATTGTGATTTGATGTATTCGGCCCCTCACCCTGTTCTCTCCACTCTTTATTTCATTGATTTCCTGACCACACTTCTCTCGCAGATAAACGCGTCGCAATTATTCTATGGAAATTCGATTTCATGGATTGCAAAGTACACACGAATGTCTCGAAAAAATTTGAGAGTATTTGAGGAGTAATTGATTAGAACAATTTTTAGGGTCGGAATCGAGCGGCGAACGGGGCGATGGCCAGCGAGGCGTGGAAACGCGCTTCCACCATTATACTGTGTGGGTTTTTGGGTGGAATCGGAGGTTTAGAGGGTCAAAAAGACGGTTTTCCAGGTGTAAAAGCGTAGGAAAATGAGCCAGAGCTCCTAGAATTCGGATAAAAAGTTAGATTTGCCTGCAAATTGAGGACACGGCATGGCTGCGAGTACTTCTTTAGGATAGCTTCTTTGGGGACCTTGACGTTTTTCAACGTTAAAATCTAATCGATTGAATGGAAATGCGAATTCTGAGCAAGATGAAGCGTTTAAAAATCACCTAACTTCCTGGAAATCGATAGAATTTGGCGCATTTTGAACGTTTCCTAAGGTGCAACACTGGAAATACTCTTCGACAGACGCTCCGGGTAGCTAGCGGGTTTTCAAAAGACGCTTTTTCCAGCTTTATGAGGTTGCTAAATTCTAAAGCCCAACGAGAACACTGCTCGTCAGCCCTTACCAAAAACGCACTTTGGGGGGGCGGCGTCTCTCTCCCCGCGGATAGTGGGTTAACTCCCCGGGCGAGCCCCGCGCACCCCCCGGGTTCGGTTCCTCTCGGGTACAAATCCCTCCATTTCATGAAAATTCTTTTGCTTTTTGCTCCAATAGTATCACAAAGCCTCTGGGAGGCAGTAATCCAAATCAAACTAGCGAGTTACGGTTAGAATTCGGAAAATAGCGGCCAGAAGGATTTTTGCCCGAAAGGACCCCAAAACAGTCGCGGATTCGCTATAAAATCAGTTTTTGAAGGCGGCGGGTCAATTTTTAGCTAAATCTCAAGATGTATTACCAGTTGGGGCCTTTACTTTAGTAGATTCGGACATTATCTTACAAGCTGCCGCCTCGTTTTTTGAAAAAAAATTGGTGTTTGAACCCATTTCCTGAAACGACACATGATAATTCAGTAATTCTCGATTCACGCTCTCCGATTGGATATAATTATGTAGAAAATGGCCTTATAAAGTCCGATTATTCGAAGCTCCAAATTATCGCTTTCAAAAATTGTTTAGTTTTCCAAAAGCTTTTATATTTCAGTCAGAATAGTATATTTTTAGTTCGCACAACTCATTAACAACTTATTGAAGGTAGCTTATAGCAAGAGGACGAAACGCTCGATGTAAAACCACTTTTTCGGAAATTTGTGAAACTTTAGGCTCAAATAACTCCTTATTTCCTTGAGAACGCCCTCTGCAACCCTCACCGTTCGATAGAGAATTTTTATCTCTATCGATTCGTCAAGCCTCCCGAATTTTCGAAATCATGCCAAAAAAGTTATGGCAAGAAAACTACAAACTTTGCTTTTTCTAATATGGGCGGCGCCGCGGCACAGGGACCAGTGGCAAAAGGCGCGCCCCGTACTAAAGTGCGCTTTGACGAGCCGTGAGAAAAAGATGGAGGCTTCACTAAAAACTAGTGAAACTGATAATAACTAGTTTTTCAGTATCAAAATCGACGCGTCGTGTGTTGATGTTGGAACGTGGGGCGACGGCCCCTTTCATGCCATCTCTACATGTATTCCCGGGTGGAGTATGCGAACCCAATGACGCCAAACTCGGTGATGACGGCAAGGCGGCTGCTTTGAGGTTTGTTTTCAAAGCTTTGATCAACTTTTTGATTCAGGGAACTCTTCGAAGAAACGGGGCTCGTTCCGTTGGCAAATGGCCAGGCCCTGACTGCCGCTACTGACGAGAAACTCGCCGAATTGCAGTTGTCGACTAGGAAGGAGCCGAATGCCTTTGTCAAGGTGATTTTTAAGCGATTTTGAGGACAATCCCTTATTTCAGTACTTCTCGGGTCTCTCCTCAGCCATTCCCTTCTCTTCTATCTATCGATGGTCAAAATGGCTGACCCCGAATTATGGCAAGAAGCGATACATGACCGAATTTTTCGTGTTGCCGGTCGAGGGAGAGCCGCAGACCAAGTACGGTTTTTTACAAATTTTCTACGCTTTCCTTTTGCAGGATTTGCACTCGTGAGATGACGTCGGCGGTGTGGATCGAGCCGCTCGACGCGCTGCCCCTCGCCTTCAGGGGTACCCTCGATTTGCCACCGCCTCAAATATACGAATTGACACGACTCGCACAGGTTGGTTTTCTCTCGCTCTCTCTCTCTCTCTCTCTCTCTCTCTCTCTCTCTCTCTCTCTCTCTCTCTCTCGCTCTCTCACGCTCTCTCTCTCTCTCTCTCCATCTTTCACTCTCTCGCTCGCGCGCTATCTCTCTGTCTGTCTGTCTGTCTCTCTCTCTCTCTCTCTCTCTCTCTCTCTCTCTCTGCCTTCATAGAGCTCACAGCTATCCGATTACGCCATGAAAATAAGATTTGGGTTTCGCCAGAATCGATTACGACATAAAAAATGGTTTAATCAATTACCCTATGAAATTTCGGGATTTTTTTCGTTCTAATTTGGTGTAATTTAGACGCCAACCGATCAGCTCGACAAAGCCGAAAACAAGACGATTATTTGCCCCCAACAGGTCGTTTTTAGGCGCCATAATTTCAATATTTGTTTTAGTTGACGGGCAAGGCGAGCGGTGCCGTGGCGTTCATTTACCCGGGCGATCGATTGTATAAAGATGACGATCAATCATATCTCTATCCACCCGAAATTGTCGATGATGTCAAGGTATCGGTTTACTTGTTTTGCCCGATATACCTATTTTTTTTTCAGCTAGCCGCCGGCGCAGAAGATGCTCCCCTTCATCGTTGTGTCTTCCCCACTCGGCCATCAACAAAGGGATGTCGACTATATTTGCAGAAGATCCCCAAGCAGTACAGGTAGCAGTTTGGAATATAGGGGCTACCAGAGATTATTTTTGAAATCCGGAGCAGGTTATGCCTTCCGAAGTTCCTAAAATTTGTAATTCGGGTAGGCTAACGAAGTGGGAGGGCTTGCAGAGACCGTTTCGGAGATCAGGGGCCGGCTAGCAGAAATTATTTGGGAATTGAGATTAGAAATCGCATAGCAGAGATTGTTTAGGAAAACAGGGGGACAAGCTAACAAAGATCCTTTGGGAAAATCGGCGGGCTAGCAGAGATTATTTAGGAGAACAGGGTTAGATAGCAGTGACGCTTTAGGAATTTGGTAATCAGGCAGCCTAGCAGAGATTCTTTGCGGAATGCAGAGGGGCAGGCTAGCAGGCATCATTTGGGAATCCGAGGCCGTCTAGTAGCTATTTTTTTAGCATTCTTGAAAATTTTAGGGCAGGCTAGCAGGGACAATTTGAGGAATTTTTTGCCAATTTTTCCCAATTTATCTCTACTTCTTCAGATTCCACCGTTTCGACACGCGCAACAAGGAACTCGACGAGATCAAGCTCGACGCCTGCAAAATGTGACAAAAATTGCACAAAGTCGAATTTAAAGAATTTTTATGTACCGAAATTTACTTGCCTTTTTCACGCGAATTTTATGTAATTATTTAACGAAAATTAATACAATTTAATTAGATGTAAAATCCTGGATTTTCCCCAATTAAAAAAATGTATTTTTTTGCGTCTTTTTGTGATCTGATAGAGTTATTATAGCTGGTTTTTCGTGCCTTTTTGTATGATTTTATTACTGTAATAATAGTGTAATTTGTACCGTATTTACTGTTAAAATAAATCTCATTTTATTGTACTAAAAATACGCTGGAATGTCTCATTTCTTCGCCTTCCTCTCGGCCAAATGTTTCTCAGCGTACCGCGCGTCGGCCACCAACATTTCGGCGATGTTCTTGCTGAGTACCTGGAAACGAGAGAGTGGTGAGAGGGAAAGAGGGAGAGAGAGAGTGCAAGAAGGATAAAATCAAGAAATCTTAAAAATTAAATTTCCGAGTAAATTCAGGTTTAGTTTTTTGCGATTATTTCGATTTTCCGACCGATTTCTATCGACACCCAGGGGTAATGTAAAGGAGTACATTATACCATAGGAAAGAGGAAAACGAGCTCTATCAAACGGTATACTGTAAGCTACCGTACACCATTGCAATTTGATTTTATGGGGGCCTCAAATGTGGAAAAATTTCAAAATCGTCTACTTTCCGGCCAATTTATCTTGACGCCTAGAGGTACTCTAGCCAGGTATAATATACCATTCGAAAGAGGAGAACGAGCTCTATCTAATGGTGGACTGTAGACTACCGTACCCCACCGGAATATCATTTTATGGCGCCACAAAGTAGAGATTCGACATTTTCTTTTTTCGAAATTTTTCACTTCCAAGCCGATTTTTGTAAAAACCATTTTTTAGTTTCTCGAATCCGAATCGAACTGACCGCTTTTGGGATGGAAGTGCCTGGGAAATCGACGGAGACCAAATAATCGACAATGGCCGTCTCCGGATCCCCTTTCTTCTGACGGAAACAACCGGCCACGATGTTCGCTTGGCCTCTGCAGAAAGTTGCGGATTATTGATTAGTTAGCTCAGTTTTATTTCATTTAACTTTTATCGAAATTTACAAGGAAAATACGCTGCGAAACCCCACTAAAAATGAATTTGTAAGTTTTTGGACACTAAAGTTAGAAATCAGATTGTTTATGGCGCCTCTTTATGGCCTGAAAAAAAATACCTCTTCTTCTTTGGCCAAACGGGGATATCATTCTCGAAGCTGGCGGCCACCACAAACCATTCATCCTCGATACGACGCCACATACGGCACACCACGAAATCACGGCCTTTTACGACCACCACATCTGAGGTCGAGTACTAGAATAGTTATCAGTGATCACCACGATTCCCAAATGGTCTATGCTAGTTGCCTGCCTGCCAGCTAGCCGAATCGTGCAAACTTTGGACCCTTTTTTCAACAAAATTCTCGGCTAACCTGCCCCTTCAAAACTTACATGAATGATGTCGGCCGTAGGGGAAAGACTGACCACTTTTTCCACCGCGTGAACCTGAAATTGGGTGATTTTTAGTTGCGGTACCGTATCCCATTTTCCGCTCCACTTACCTGCCCGTCCTTGACCTAATTAGGGACAGCCGTTTGGCGCGCGCCCCTACCGTAACCCCAGCCTCTCATTCTCTCTCTCTCTCTCTCTCTCTCTCTCTCTCTCTCTCTCTCTCTCTCTCTCTCTCTCTCTCTCTCTCGCCCTCTCATTCTCTCTCGCTCCTCTCTCTCGCGCTCTCTCTCTCACTCTCTCTTTCTCTCTCTCCCTCGCTCTCTCTCTCGATCTCTTGCTCTCCCTCTCTCTCGCTCTCTCTCTCGCCCTCTTACTCTCTCTCGCTCCTCTATCTCTCACCTGTGGATTCCAGCTAGGCGTATCCTCAATCTCATTCCAATGATGCTGAAAAATGTCTTCAGCCGCAGCGTTGAACGTTTTCTAAAACTAGCCAAAATTTTGATAATCCTCTCTCTCTCTCTCTCCCTCTCTCTCCCCCCTCTCTCGCTCCCTCACCGTCAATAAATAGCATTTCCCAATAGGTAGATGTCTATTGTAGCAAATGTCTCCTTTTGATTCGCATTTCTTTTTCCATTCCTAAAACTGAGAGTTGGATTTTGTAGTTTAATGCTAGAGTAAGCTTTTTTATTATTTTTCTACAATACCTTCCTCTCAGCGGTCTCTGGACTATGAAAGATAGAGATGGCTTCAGGAAATAGACGAGCTGTCTGACGAAGGGCTGTTGAATACTGTAATGAGATTGTATTTTGTACTCCATGCTAGAAAAAGTAATTCTCTAACTCTGTAAACGACCGACCCTGGGATTATCGGATTGCTCGACGATTCCAAGCAGTTCGACGCTGCCCATTTTTCTTGAGGTTGCTCGGCAAGCTAAATCCCGGTTTTCGAGCAGAAATACATCTAGAGAGAGAGACAGGGAGAGCGGGAGCGAGCGAGAGGGAGAGAGAGTTCCAAATTCGCAAAAATTTTGTCTCATTAATTCCGTTGGGAGCTTTTGAAAAATCAATACACAATCGTGGAGAAAACAGGCGGAAAATGTTTGTTGTTCGCCGAAAAAAACGGGCATCGGAAAGGGGGCGTGGAAATTGAGTCAAGGTCATTTGAAAAGCGGGGAGGAGGAGAATGATATGTGATTCGACAACACGAAAAACCCAGGAAATTCGAGTCTTCGAATCGCCCTTCTCAGAAATGTAGAAAACAAATAAAAAACCGCGAATGGGAAGTGAGAAATGACGACGGGGAAGAGTAGTGTTGCGTAGTGTTGACTTAGTAGACTGCAGGACCCTAAATGGTTCCTAAATGGTCTCTGCTAGTTGTCCGACTGTCAGTTTGTCTATTACTAAAATCTAGGGTCTAATTTTTCGCAAATGACCTCTGCTAGACGGCTTTTTTGGAATTCGACTATCTGTCAAGCCGTCTACCGATTTCTCAAAGAATCTTTGCTAGCCTGCCCCACTGCATTCCCAAAGGGTCGCTGCTAGTTGTCTGTCTGTCAGTTCATCTAATTTTTCGAAGGTTTGACTAGTTTCCCCAAATTATCTCTGCTATCTTGCCCTTGATTCGTCAAATTGAACTGCAAAGAACCCGTAATATTTATCGATCAAAATTTATCACAAAACCGAGGAATGAAACACAGAAAAATCAGGCAAATGGTCACGATTCCGGTTCCGTTTTTTCCGGTTGCCGTTCGTAGGCATCGATTCTTTTTGCAGCACGGTCGAGTTCTGAAAGTCCGCTTTTTATTGTTGTCACCACCCCTTTAAAATCTTGGAAAATTGACATTTTAAGCTTTTTAAAACTCTAAAATTCTAAAAAATCTTCTACCGGTCAATAGGAACGAGAAAAGGGGCGGGGCCATCTTTAAAGTCCGTTTTTCTGTCTTCCCATCCACCGTAGACTCCAGATTTACATGGCTTCCATCTTCATAGACGCGATCGATATGGAGGGATGGTTCTGAAAGGTTCTTTTCGACCCAGTTCCTCTTTCTCTATCACTCTCTCTCACTCTCTCTCGCTCTCTCTCTCTCTCTCTCTCTCTCTCTCCCTCTCTCTGTCTCTCCCCCTCTCTCTCGCTCTCTAACTCTCCCTCTGTCTCTCTCTCTCTTCCCCCCCTCTGTCTCTTCCTCTCTCTCTCGCTCCCTAACTCGCTCGCTCTCTCTCTCTGCCTCGCTCTCTCTCTCACTCTCTCTCGCTCTCTCTCTCTCTTCCTCTCTCTCATACCTTTTGGAGCCTCAGCTAGCAGTTTAGCCCGTAGCTTCTCGTAGCATCCAGCGTAGACCTTGGAGAGTTGATTGGCGTGTTCTGGAAAAGGGAAAGCTAGCAGATACAATTTGCGGAATCGATAGACTGACTGTCAGATAGACAGCCATCTAGATTGGCTGGCTAGCAAAGATCATTTGCGGAATTCCCGGACTGACCGGCAGCTAGACAATTTTCGAGTGGGGCATGCTAGCAGAGACAATTTGTGGAAAGCTCTGGGCAAATTCTCGAAAATAACCGATCTAGAAAATGCAATTTTCGGCCAACTGACAAACAGTCAACTAGCAGAGATCATTTTGGAATTTCTAGACAGGCTAGCAGAGACCATTTGCGCCAATTTGCATACCTGAAGGCACTCCCAGCTGTTCCAATTCCATGCCCAGATCCTTTGATGAACATCCTGCTTTGGCCGCTTTCTCCAAAACGAGTCGGACCGTGAAAAAGAGGCGCAGGGCGGCTTCTTTTGCTTAAAAAACCCTCGGGTTACGGTAGACTGGATGGCAGTTTAGATAATAGAATGCATTAATACTTACCAACTCCTCCCTGTCCGGTATATTTCGCCGTTTCCGCTTCGTTCATCTCCTTTCTTCCCTCTTGAAGTGAGAGAGAGGCAATCGTGCAGAGAGTCTTGAATTTCAGGGCGCTCTGAAATCAATGGTGTTTGCTAGCTTGCCTTCGCTTGCTATCGGCCTCAAAAAATCTCTGCTAGCCTGCCCTGGATTCCCAAAAAATCTCAGCTAGCCTGCTCCAAGCGGCTAAAAAAAATCCCAAAATATGGAATTTAGACTGTAAATCTCCTCAAATGGTCTCTGCAAGCTTGCCCTTCTAGAATTCATCTATCTGCCATCCATCTACCCGGTCCTCAAAAAATCTTTGCTAGCCTGCCCGAAATTCCCAAAAAAGCCCCGCTAGCCTCCTGTTTTTTTTTAATTCTAGCTGCTATTCGGTCTAGCGATTCCCAAATAACCTCTGCTAGCCTGCCAGTATGGAATCCATCTATCTGCCATCTATTCTACCCATTCCACAAATTTCCTCTACCAGCCTGCCCCCAATTCCCCAAAAAATCGACTCACCAAATGCGAAAATTCGGCCATTTCTGCCAGCAGCCAATCCGGGCAGTCCATGCCATTCAAAAAGCGGAAATGCTGAAAATAGCTGTACTGTATGACAGTTTAACTAAATCATACCATAGCTAATTTATTTCGTAGATTTTTAGAAGGTTTTGGTGGTTATTTTGGCCTGGAGCCGACTTTTTGGGGTCTCTCTCGGGGATGGGTTGCTAAAACGCGCCCCTCCCCCTCCTCTCTGTCTGCCCCCTCTCTCTTCTCCCAATCCCTCCCCCACCCCGCCAAGGGGCTACCGTTCGAATTTCCGGCCCCCGGGGCCCAGCCAGGCGAGTTGTTCGAGGACTGGCTTTTTTTTGCAAGTTTTTTGCGTCTATTAATGCGAATAATTTTTGGAAAAGAAGCAAACTAGCAGAGATCTTTGAGGAATCGATAAACTGACTGGCAGATAAAGTTTTGGGGCCGGGAGAGTTAGCAGAAACGATTTATGAATTAAGGGCAGGCTGGCAGAGGCCTTTAGCGAATTTTTGACTAATTCTTGGGGTTCTATTAGTGCGGAATGAGGCAGGCTAGCGGAGGTCTTTGAGGAATCGATAGCCTGACTGGCAGTTGACAGAACCGAGACCATTTGGGAATCCCCGGGTAGCTAGCAGAGTTGCTTTGAGAAGCAGCAAACTAGCAGAGACAGTTTGAGAAGTGAGGGCAAGCTAGCAAAGACCATTTGGGAGTCCCGGGGTAGCTAGCAGGGTTTCTTTGCTAGCAGAGACAATTTGGGGGATTTCCGCTTCTCCCCCTCCTCTTTTTGGCCATCCATCTTCGTGGGAACGACCTCTTCTTCTTCCCTTTTTTGAGTGAAGAGGTTGTCACTGGCTGGGGGTTTTGATGTCCTCTGGGTATTCTGAAGGAAAAGAGGGTAAAGGAAGAGTATGGGAAATGACTCCCCAGGGGAAATGGAACAACTCAAGTACGATGGATCGACTCGAAACACTTCTTAGGCTTTGTAAAAGTATCTGTACTTCCGCAAATGGTCTCTGCTGGTTGGCTGCCAGTCAGTTAGCCTAAAAATTTACTTTATAGCCTGTACTTTTTCGCGAATGGTCTCTGCTAGCTTGCTCTTTCCGGAATTCATCAATCTGCCAGTCACTCCATCGATTCCGCAAGTTGTCTCTGCTAGTTTGCTCTGGATTCTCAAATCCCATAGATGGCGGAGAAATCCTAAATTGTCTCTGTATCCTGCCCATATATCTTAAATTATCTTTGCTAGAATGCGTATCACTCCTCAATTGTCTCTGCTAGCCTGTCTCGCTAAACAAACATTTTATTTTCCGAGTTTCATTAGCATTCTCCGGTTTTTTATGGCTGGCCTCCCGCTTCGGAGCCAAATTTTTCCGGCGTAATTGGATTAAATGGCCACGAAGGGGAGGAGGAGCAGCCGAAAAATTGGACTCAAATGGTCAATGCTCTATATTTCGAGTTTGGCTGCTTGTCGCTCCATTTTGCTTGACATTTCTTTAAGCGCCGCTGCGGGTTCGCCTCAATAGCCCTGGCTTCACGGTACCTTTAAAGCCGTAAATTCCTGCTTACTGTCGGTCCGTTGGCTACAGTAACGAGGTAAAAGAGCGAGAGAGAGGGAGAGAGAGAGGGAGAGAGGGAGAGAGAGAGAGAGAGGGAGGGAGAGAGAGCGAGAGAGAAAAGGGAGAGAGTGCTAGAGAGAGAGGGAAAGCGAGAGAGAGAGAGAGAGAGAGAGAGAGAGGAGGAGAGAGGGAGAAAGAGCGAGAGAGAGATGAAAAAGGTCCAGGTTGTTGTGAGTGGCTGTTGGGGCGATAGGGCGGCATGGAGTAATGGCGTTGTTTTTGAGTATCGGTAGAGGGAGGCTCTTCTTCCTTACGACCCTTTATCCCTACCCAACTAGTGGGGGAAAGAGAGACACGCAGGCAAAACGAACGCTTCTGTTTTCAATCCCCCGCCGGCATATGATACAACCGGTGGATCGAAAGCCAAGCCCGTATTTTCAAGAAGGGCAGGCTAGCAGAGGCCATTTGTGGAATTTTAGGTCGGAAATGATGAAACTGGGCGGTCTGACTGCCAGTTAGAACGATCTCTCTCTCTCTCTCTCTCTCTCTCTCTCTCTCTCTCTATCTCTCACTCATTCTCTCTCTCTCCTCTCATTATTTCGGAACCTAAAAGCGTGTCCCCTGCCTAGTCCATGCTAGACATCGATTCCCCCCTCTTCTCTCCCTCCCTCCACGAAACGCGCCTTTCTGAGCAACAGCCAGTGAGAGAGATAGGGAGAGAGGGGCCCAGGGCCCTCCCTTCCCTCTCATTCCTTCCTTCCTCTTCCCTCCAATGCCACAACAACCCCGCTATACACAACCCACCCACCTCACACCCCCCTTTACCCATCTCCCGAAAGACGAAAATACTCATTCCGTTCCGTAGGATTACTAATTACATACCTCTTTTTAGTGGTTTTCTCTTTACAGCCTGCCAGATTGACCAAAAAACGAATAATTTTCTCAGATTGCTAATTGCACGTTCAAGTTCGATGCTTTTTGGCTTTACTGGATGACAGACAGCAGAAAAAATCACTCTACTCCACAGTAAACCTAATTACACCGCTATTTTTAGTGGAATTCTCCTTGCTGCCTGCCAGACTGACTAAAAAAACGAATAATTTTCTCAGACTGCTAATTGCACGTTCAAGTTCGATGCTTTTTGTTTTTCTGGATGACAGCCAGCCGGGGAAATATCTAAAAATCGCTTCAGTTTCGCCACATTACTAATGACACATCTCTTTTTGTGAAATTCGCTTTTCTGCCTGCCAGGTTGACTAAAAATTCGCGTAGATTTGCCAGATTGCTAATTACAAACTGAAATTCGATAGTTTTCACTTTTCTGGACGACAAGTAACCGGAAAAGTTGCTCTAATTCCGCCGCATTACTAATTACACAGCTGTTTTTAGTGCAATTCTCCTTATTGCCCGTCAGATTGACTAAAAAGTTGGATAATCTTGCCAGATTGCCGATTACATTTTGAAATTCCACATTCTTGCGTTAGCTGGATGGCAGCGTGCTGAAATAATGCCTAAAAATCGCTCTAATTCCGCCGGACTACTGACAACAGGCCTCTTTTTAGTGGGATTCTCTTTACTGCTGCCAGTTTGTCACAAAAAAAACGCTACTAATCGTACCCTTGATTTTGCTCATTTTTTGCGCCCCTTCCCCCCGAAACTTTCCCAATCCAATCGCTCAGTGTTTTTGAATGTTTTTGAGATGGGGAGGGGGTGCGGTCGGTCAGTGGTTGGGGGCAGGTTGTATTTCTGCACCCGATTTTCGTATCTCTCTCACTCTCTCGCTTTCTCTCGCTCTTTCTAAGCGAAAAAGAGGATATTTATGGGTGTTGCTGGGTGGAAAGGTGAAAAGATAGCAAATGCTCTGTGATCTCCCTCTCTCTCACGCTCGCTCTCTCCACCCCCAAATAACCCCTCTACAATCCCCCCGTATCAGCTCCCGCCTATCCCCCCATTCAATCCCATGTTTGTGTGTATTTTTTGCGTATCGGCCTTTCATGTTGCCATCCAGAAAAGCGTTTCCTAAATTGTCATTGCTGGTTTGCCCTGGATTCCCCAAGGAATTCTGCAAGGTGCCCCTTTCTCTTCATTCCTCAAGGAATCTCTGCTAGCTAGCCCAAATTCTCCAATTGTCTCTGCTAGCCATCCCCTGTGTATCCGATTCCACTCATTTGTTTTGTGTGTACATCCACACGGACTGCAAAGAAACCGCCGGAGGGGCGAGGCTTTACACTTTCCCGGCTCATTTCCAAATCTTGGCTCTCTCTCTCTCTCTCTCTCTCTCTCTCTCTCTCTCTCGCTTGCTAGAGGCCTGTTTTCTGCCCCTCCCAAGTCCGTTGCTTTCGAAATTGTCCACCCTAAATCTTGTGCCGAATTGGCCAAGCTGCATCTTGCGATTAGTCAGCATTTTTGGCAAAGTTCCAGAAATCTGTCTTTTTCTGGGTATTTCTATGAATTTTGCCTTGCCGGTCCCTTTAAAACGAATCTGTAACTAATTTCCGAGACTCTGAGCAAAAAGCAAAAAGTTTTGCCGCGGCCGGGGCTCGAACCCGGGTAGTGTGCGTGGGAGGCGAGAGCTTTACCAATCGGCTACGCGGTCTTTGACGGTTTTTTGCTTTTTTTTTGCTTTCTAGCTATAGATTTTTGCCTTGCTGGTCTCTTTAAAGTGCTAACTGCCTGCCTGTCCAGTAGCTTACCTATCTGCCCTGAATTCTGTGTGTAGTGAGTCTGTCTGTCACTCGATTTGTATGTTTCCCTCTGTCTGTCTGTTTCTCTGTCTGTCCGTTTGTCACTCTCTCTCACTCTCTCGCCCTCCATCCCATTCCATGAAAGGCGAATGTTTGCGCAATCACCCGCCACTCGCGCCCCTTTTTCCACGCATTTCCAAAAAATAGCCACCCCCACCCGCCGAGTCGACTGCAACCCAATCACATCACAATTCTAGACGCCCGGAATCGTGTTTCTTTTCTGTCTGTCTGTCTGTCTTTCTCTCTCGCTCTCTCTCTTTCTCTAACTCTCTCTTTCTCGTCTCGCCTAGCTTTCTGAACAACTTTTTAAGCATTATTCTCGAAATTTTTGCTATTACGGGCTAGCTAACAGTGATCATTGGCGGAAAGACTAGACTGGCTGCCAGAAAATCCAAATCGATAACGGCAGGCTAGCAAAGGAAATTTGATTGGATTTCCAATCCTAAAACCAGATTTTCGACCGAGCGGCCAGGCAGCCAACTAGCAGAGGCCAATTGGGATATCCGAGGGCCAACTATCAGAGACACTTTGCGGAATCGGTAAACTGAATAGCACAGATCATTTTAGAGGAAGGCTAGCAGAGATTCTTTGCGGAAATCCGGCTGCCTTGTCCAGATTGGCCCAGTTTACATAGTCGTGTGGGCGTTTCGCCCCGTAGCCTTGGAACCAGTTGTGCCCTCAGGGGGAGAGAGGAAGGGATCGGACAAATTGCGCCATCTGGATCGAGGTGGAGGAGGGGGATCTGGCGGGAATTGTGGATCGATGTTTTGAGGAGCAGGAGGTGGGGGAGCAAGAGACCCTTCACAATACTCCAAGGACGCCGCGGGGATCAGCGTTTTGACAGGCTGGGCAAACTTTGGAGACGTTTCCCCAAGAAATACTGCTAGGCTGTCAGTCAGTTAAGCGATTCCCCAAAGATCTTTGCTAGGTTGCCTCAGGTTCGCTAATAATCTCTGCTAACCCGCTAGCTGCCTGCCAGTTTAGCGATTCCGCAAATGATCTTTGCTAGCTTGCCCTGAATTCAGGATTTCCAGGACCATAACCATTGTATTGTGCGGGGCAGTGAAGTCCTCCTCCCCCTCCAAGGACGCTTTTGTATGAGCATTCAAGACCCCTCCCCCTTCCTTCCCTGCTATTTCTTTCCGCTTCTTTCTTCCTTACGCTTCTTCCGCTCCCGTGCCCAAATTGCCCCCCACCCCCTCCGCCAATGCCATCCAAGAAATCGCGCCATCCCAAGGAAGGCGGAATTGTTGCAAGTTGGAAGCAGCGTTTGAGCCGTTTTTCGATACTAAAGGGTCAATGCCAGCTTGCCTCTTTGAATTTGGGTAAACTGCCAGGCAGGTTAGCTTTTACGCAATTCGTCTTTGCTAGCTGGCCCCAAGGTTTCCTAAATCGTCTCTGCTGGTCCGCTTTCTGCCAGTCAGTCTATCGATTGTGCAAATGATCTTTGCCAGTTAACACCAGAATTTCCTAAACGGTCACTGCTAGTTTCCTGCCTGTCAGTTGACGTTTTTCGGCCTGAAATTTCCACAAATAATCTCTGCTAGCCCGCCCTTCCAAAAATCGCCTAATTGCCACCCCGTCAACCGATTCCTCAAACGCCCTCTGCTCGTTTGCCTGGCGTTCCCGAATTGTAATCCGATGACAACATTCGGGGGTTTATATTTGTCGTTACGCGTCCGGGGGTGCCCGATTTCCGCCTAAACATGGTAATCCTCGACGGGGTATTTGCGTGTTTGTCTGCCAGTCTGTCCCTCTATCTGTCAGCTTGTCATATAGTGCGTCTAACTGACTGGCTTGTAGTTTTCCTGCACGCCAATCTTTCTCTGCAAGGTTTTGTCTTCCAAGCTCCTTTAAAACGACTTTGGAACCGATTTCCCAGTTTCTGAGCAAAAAGCAAAAGTTTTGCAGCGGCCGTGGGTCGAACCCAGACCCTGTGGGTGAAAAGCGAGATCTTTACCAATTGGCCACAGGTCATCGGCCGGTTTTTTTGAAGAAACAATTTTTCCAGCTTTTGCACTCAATTTTCAGTAATCTGGGTGGCTTCTTGGGTTGCCAGTCCCTTTAGAATGGCTTTAATGCTAGAATTACTTAGCTGACTGCCAGTTTGCACCTTTTTGGGCAAATCTGACCTGTAATCCAGCAATTTCTCAAGTTAGCAGCTATTCTGTCCTCTGGTTCGTCGATTTTCACCCTAACTGTCTACCCCTCTCTACTCTCCACCCATTTTGAGCATTATTGACGGCCAGTTTGTCCAACGGTAGTGTGAGGTGGGGACCGACTAGTTGGCACTTCCCGCTCACTGCCGATTGAAAATCGAAATTTTGCGGGGAGTGTCAGCGTACAAATAGGGGGCCCATGAATGCCTAGATTGCCGGTATTTCGATAGAGTTCTCCCCCCCTCTCTCTCTCCCTCTCTCTCTCTCCCTTCCAAAATGGCTAGTATGCCCTTGAATACCCACTCTCCTCCTCCTCATGCTCCCCATTTCTTTTGATGCAATCCCTCTCTTTCTCCCCCATTTCCAATCATCATACCTACCCCATTCCCACCACAACCCATTTATCCAACTGCCATCCACAGAACAAGGATTATCGATTTTTAAAGGGACCTGGAAGGCTTAATCCGGGAATTTCCACAAATTACCTCTGCTAGCTTTCCCCGGATTTAACCCCCCCAAATGGTTGCGGCTCTGGCGCGATTCATTACTCATTGCTCCCGAATCCAGATCATCCCCGATTTTCGGCTGGCTATTAGTCACCGAATTAGGTTATTTTCACATTTTTCGGTTTGTATTGGCCCAGGTCTATCTCGTGAATCATTCTCCATTTCCACCGTTTTCCAAATCCAGACACCCACATATCAAAAGGCGTCAATAGGTCCGGTGCGGAATTCCAAGTAGCACTCGCCGGTTGAAATACGTTTTCGATTCTCGTTTGATCCCGTTTTTTCCTTTGAGAGAACCCTATATTTGTCTGGTTGTCTGTATTACTCGTGTCTCCCTCTCTCCCTCTTCCTCTCTCACTCTCTCGCTCTCTCTTTCTCGCTCGCTCTTCCTCTCTCGCTCTCTCTGTCTCTTTCTCTCTTTCTCTCTCACTCACTCCCTCACTCTCTCTCCCACGGACTTCACCATCCCTTTAAAGGGACTGGGAAGGCATGCGCTCTCCGCTTTTTTGCCATAAAAGTGTCGTAATCGGTTACGCAACCGAACCCAAAAAATCCATCAGAATTCCATTGCCAAAAATCCATCGGCTATGCCTTTCTAGTCCCTTTAAAACTCCAGATACCATACTTTTCGGTCCCTTGAATCCGATGCCCATAGCTTTTCTGACTGCTGCAAGTCATTCCTCCTCCGAATTCGCTCTCTTCTAGGGCTGCGTGTGCCACATTGTTTGTTCGTATTTGATTCTGTCGAGTGGATCCACAAACACTGTCTCTCTCTCCCGCTCTATCCCTCCACTATCCCCATTCCATGATCCCCCACCATCCCAGTCGTAAACAATTACTAGTCGCATTTTTGGACCGGATTTTGGAGGTTTCCGCAAATTGTCTCTGCTGGCTGACCCTGAGCCTGAGAAATTTCCTAAAAGACCTTTGCTGGCTTACCCTGAGCCGTAGAAAGTTCCCAAATTTCCTCTGCTCGTTTGCCTTGACGTTCCAATTCCAAAACCGTTCCTGCCAGCCTGCCATGAATTTTTCAAATTTTCTCTGCTAGTCGTCGTTCGCTATCTCTCTCTCGCACTCTCCAACCTAAAACTTTTACCCGCGAATTTTGCAGAAAATGGGGAAAGAGGGCGTGGGCGGCCACACCGCCGTCGTTCGGGCCCCCGACGGCGAATTCAGGACGTTTCCCCTCTCGGTGAGCCATTCTGATAGTTTTAAAGGGGCGCTAATAACGTCCCGAAATTATTACCCAAAAAGCAAAAAGTTTTGCCGCGGACGGGGTCGAACCCGGACCTTGTGGGCGAGAGGCGAGAGCTTAACCAATTGACCACACTGTCGTCGTGTCAATTTTAGTGGTTTAAAAAATCGCGTCAAAAGTGAGCGGTAAGATAGAGAAAAATTGGCATCGCGTCATCGAATATCTATATCCAACTTTCTTTCAGAAAAAAGACAAGGGCGAGGCGCTGTTCTGCCAGGTGACAAAGGACCTGTCGATCGAGGAGAAGGAGTACTTTTCCCTTTGCTTCTACGACAGGACTGGCGTCAGGGTATGGTAGTTTACGCCGTTTTTAAGTTGTCAAAAATTAAAAATTACATTTACCTGATTTTCTAAAAATAAAAATTTTCAAAAATTCAAAAAAATGAATTTTCGCGTTTTTTTTATTTCTGGACCTAAATTCGCGATAATTATCAGAAAACTATTCTAATTTTTTTTCAAAAATAGCTGTTTCAAAAAAATCGAAAAAATTGATTTTTCGAAATTTTCGATTTTTTGCACCTACAGTACCCAAAAATTACCGTAATTTACCCATTTTTTAGCACTGGCTGTACAACGACAAGGCAATTGGAAAACAGCTAAAGGACTTGCCGTGGGAGTTCAGCTATGAGGTCAAATTCTTCCCCACACAGCCGACGGCACTCACCGATGAGAGCGCCAGGTTCAACTTGTATCAGCAGCTGAAGAAGGATATCCTTGTTGGAAGGTAGGGAATACAGGGCGAGCGAGAGAGAGAGATAGAGAGAGAGAGCGAGAGAGAGAGAGAAAGAGAGAGCGAAAGAAAGAGGGAGAGCGAGAGAGAGCGGGAGAGCGAGAGAGAGAGAGAGAACGAGAGAGAGAGAGAGAGAGAGAGAGAGAGAGAGAGAACAAAAAACCGTCCGTTTCTTCAGGCTGGCCGCATCCTCAGAAGCCTACACGGTCCTTGGTGGTCTTCAGGTCCAAGCGGAGATTGGCGACGTCCAGGTAAGCTAGCAGAAAAATCTAGCGAAACCAGGGCAAGCAAGCAGAGATCATTGACCACCAAAGATACCCAAAAACCCGCCTCCTTCCAGCAAAGCGCCGAGTACGAGAACTACCTGCAGACGACCCAATTCTCGCCCAGCCCCGAGCCCGGCCAGATCGACAAGATCCGCCAGGAACATCACAAGCACAAGTAGGCGCGGATTAGATGTCGTAATGCTTTTTCTAGGGGCCAGACGCAAGACGACGCGATTTTGGGGTACCTGGACGCGTGCAAACAGTTGCCGATGTATGGCGTGTTTTTGTTCCCCGCAAAGGTGAGTGAATCTGGCAATAAAAAATGGATGGTTTTTCTGTGTAGATAGTAAGGTTCTGAGTAGCGCATCGTACTCTTTGTAGTCGAAAACCTAGGGGTAGCCGTGAGGATATTACGCCTTAAGCTATCTTCGTGGTACAACCGATACCCACCAAGAAGCAAGTCACAAAAACCAAGCAGTTCCCAGACACTTGCTACCGTTTGGAGTAGCGCATTGTACTAGCTGTAGTCAAAAACTTAGGGGTCGCCGCGAGGATTTAAGATTTCAAGGGCGCCTAACGCCTAGGCGATTCCTCCCCCAAACCCCGGGAAGTCCCAACCTTTCCAGGACAACAAGAACCACCCGGTGACTGTCGGCATCTCCTCGTTCGGCATCAACATCTACCGCGAGCAGGCCCGTCTTCACAGCTTTGCCTGGCAGTACATTGTCAAGATTCGCTTCCGGAATCACGGTTTCCACATTGACGTCAAGCCCGGGCAGGTGGGTACTTGTGACTGGCACTACGAACTATACCTCAAGTACCGTTTTACGATGCCTTTTTCAGGTGCACCCGAAAAAGGTGTCCACGGTCAGCTACACGATGGCCACCCACCATGACACGAAGCGGTGCTGGAAGTGTGGCGTGGAACATCACACCTTTTTCCGGTGAGTTCGGGACTTCACTAGTTCCTGTGTGTATCTCGGGGCAGGAACATCGAATTCGAGTGATTTTTGCAGCATTCAAAAGCTCTGGAAAAGGCGATGCGTTACTACTACGTTTCAGTACGTAATGTACTGAAAATTGTGAAGAATTCGAAACTTTTTTGAGCGCTTTCGAACGGTATAAACATCATGACGATCTGATGCTCCAATGCCGAGATATAGAGGATTTTCTGAACCGATTTTGCTACCCAGAGAACCGAAATCGAAAACCCCCATTTTCAGCTTGATCCAACCGGAAGAGACCCCCAGCGGTGTCCACTTCAGCTTCGGCTCCTCCCGTTTCGGCTACCACGGCCGCACGCAGTTCCAGACAAAGATGGCCAGCCAGGTGACACAAAAAACGAAACGGCTTTTCATACCTTCTTAACTTTGCCTAAACTTCAGAACCCCCCATCTTTCGCTCGATTTTTCTGTTCTCTATGATGTTGTAAATGCCCGAGATACCTAGGATAATTTTAACGTCCCCATTAACGTATCAGACCCCATTTTGAACCCCGTAAAATAAGAACGATTGGTTGTCAGCTATTCGATCGGCCCGGCTCGGCCACCGTCACGCGCAGCGGGCAGCCGCTGGCAGCTAGAGGCACGCAGTCTATGGAGAACGGTAGGTGGTGCCGTTTTGAGCATCGCATCGTGCTCGTTGTAGTCGAGAACCTAGAAAAATCGATTAGGCCATGAAAATTCAGGGCGTTTTAGCCAGCCAGTGATCTTAGCGAACCAATTTTTCACCCACTAGCTCAATGGGCAAAAATGTAAATTATTTTATAGTGTTTTAGTGGCTTTTGATTCCTAAAAGTTGCAAAAACCCAAAAATAAACCTTTCAAAAATGCAAATTTTTGCAGATTTTAAACATTTTTGACCAAAAATCATTTTTTTCTAACTTTGATAGTTTTCACGAAATTTCGATCCCGAGGAAAGAGAACAAAGCCATGAAAAATCGCAGCCCAAACCCATCCTTTTCAGTGAACGCCGCCGACGACGCAGTGCACCACCAAGCTGAGGTACCTTTTTGAAACATTCCAAAATCCGGGAATTGGTTACGCCATATAAATGAGCTGTGATAAAACGAGAACACAAGACTTTGTAATCCCATGTAAAGTGCCACTGGAATGAGGAGGGCCTGGAGAGTACGAAGCCGTAGGATTAGCTGCAAATTAACGGGGTGTGGCAGAACTTAACGAAACGCTAAAGCAAGATGCGTTAAGTTAAGGCCCTCAACGATCTGCTTAAGCTAGCTTTAGTTGCGTAGAAAATAATGGCTGTTGTTTCACGTATCAGTGATACGCACCATGACTAGGACTTTGGTTTTGCTTCGTACTCTCTCGGTAACCTCCAGTGACTTGCCAAAAACGGAATGCTTCGCTGCCTGCCGCCTTGACCCCCGCATTGCCTCGCTCTCAGCGAATGCGCCTTGGCTTAGTTCCAATTTCGACGTTTTTTCGCATGTAGGTCACTGCCAAGTACGAGATTCAAATCCCTAAGCACTCCATCCTTCACTTCCTTTTCCGAGACGAAAGAGCTGAGAAATCGGAATCCTCTCTCACCCGCGTGTTCACTCGCCTCCAAAACGGAGTGAAAATCTCGTACTTGCCTGGAACCTACATGCGCAAAACCATCCAAAGCTCTACCCTGGGAATGGGGCTGCTCCTCCCCCCTTTTACTAGGCATATAACCTCCGGCCTGCGCCTCGCTCACCCCCAGCCCCCTCACTAATCCCTCGCCTTTTCAGCATGCCCACCGCTCATTCACCGCCCCAGATGCCCGGCAGCGGAAGCGCGACATCAAGGTTGGTGAGCTGATGTCGGATGAGGAGCTCGTCTACCTGCCCGTCCAGTCGCCCCTCTCGGCCGCATACTACACGCAGGAGCCGCTAACTGTCTCCGCTGCTGCCGCTTCCCGTGGTGGCGCCGCTGTTCGCTTTGCGCAGGAGGAGACGCCTAGAGGGACCGGGACCAGAAAGAGACCGAGGCGACTGTTTGGGCGGGACAAGGCTGAGGGCAGTGGAGCAGTGCTGCTCTCTGCTCATCTGCCAGCTAACCCAGAGAAGACGGAGAGTCTGGAGCGTCAGGACGAGATCCCTGACGTGCCGATTGGGTCGATCTCGGCTGTGTACAGCAAGGGATACTATGCCACTCTACCTACGCAGACCACTGCCAAGCCATCCCCGGATGAACTGGGCAGACAGGGAGAGTTGGCTGGCTACCCTATCCGCTACTTTGTGGATGTGCAGCACTCCGGGAGCTCGGAACGGTACCGCACCTCGCGACTGCGACACACCGGCTCTGAGGATACCAACGAGACCCTTGACTACGCCAACTATCTATTTCCTACCATCGAGAAAGAACCGGTGGGGAGACTCGAGAAGTCTTCGGACCTCCCCGCTACCCATCTAGCCGAACATGTCGCCCTCAAAAAACCCCAGCCCACCGTACCCCGAAAGGCACACAAGAGAAAGGCCACCAAGAGGGGATCCATCGACTCGGATAGCAGCTCCAATTCTATTAGTAGTGACTCGAAGGAGCGTCAAGTTAGAAAACCGGATTCCCGCCTTCTCGCCTTTCTACGTAATATTAGCCCCCGAAAAAGCCGTGACTCTACAACCCAATCCTCTCAATACCACTATATCTCAACCGATCGATATGACGGGCCAATGCAATCCATTCCTAGACATCTTGATATTGGTCACATACCCATTCCTGCTGTTGAACATGTAGAATATCCACTTGACCACCAACAATCAAAACCACAAAAAGAAGCGCGACAGAAGGCTTTCGTCGTCATCGAAGAAGAGACCAAGACCACGAAACGCTTCTTCTTGTTCGGAAGGACAAGGCATGAGGGCGAAGAAGAGGTCGCAGACATCGTCGATCCATACAATCTCGACACGACTGCTCATGAAGGACCTCTTGACGATCTGGCCCATGAGAAAGACCTCGAGGGAGCCCCACTTGCCGAACACGCGACTGCCTATCATCATGGCGAGTCGTGGCGGAAGTCGAAGAAGGAGGCATCGCCTGTCCTGGCTGTGGAAACACCTGAAGAGACCCAGAGGACAGCCGTTGTCTACCTGAAGGAGGTACCACAAGACGAACAACCCGAAGTGGCCGAGACCTCGATCGACGAGAAGAAGAAGCGTGGCTTCGGATTCCACTTGCCTTCTCTCAAGTTCGGAAGCAAGAAGGGATCCAAGGACATCAGCCATGAGGAGCCCTATCCCTCGACTTCCGACAAGTACGAAGGACCTCTTGATGAGGTGGATCGTGAGAACGACCTCGAGAAGTTGCCCCTTGAAGCTCAACCCAGCGAGCACAAGGAAACCAAGACAACGAAACGCTTCTTCTTGTTCGGAAGGACGAGACACGAGGGCGAAGAAGAGGTCGCAGACATCGTCGATCCATACAATCTCGACACGACTGCTCATCAAGGACCTCTCGACGATCTGGCCCATGAGAAAGACCTCGAGGGAGCCCCACTTGCCGAACACGCGACTGCTTATCATCATGGCGAGTCCTGGCGGAAGTCGAAGAAGGAGGCATCGCCTGTCCTGGCTGTGGAAACACCTGAAGAGACCCAGAGGACAGCCGTTGTCTACCTGAAGGAGGTACCACAAGACGGACACCCCGAAGTGGCCGAGGCCTCGATCGACGAGAAGAAGAAGCGTGGCTTCGGATTCCACTTGCCGTCCTTCAAAATCGGAGGAAAGAAGGGATCCAAGGACATCAGCCATGAGGAGCCCTATCCCTCGACTTCTGACAAGTACGAAGGACCTCTTGATGAGGTGGATCGTGAGCACGACCTCGAGAAGTTGCCCCTTGAAGCTCAACCCAGCGAGCACAAGGAAACCAAGACAACGAAACGCTTCTTCTTGTTCGGAAGGACGAGACACGAGGGCGAAGAAGAGGTCGCAGACATCGTCGATCCATACAATCTCGACACGACTGCTCATCAAGGACCTCTCGACGATCTGGCCCATGAGAAAGACCTCGAGGGAGCCCCACTTGCCGAACACGCGACTGCTTATCATCATGGCGAGTCCTGGCGGAAGTCGAAGAAGGAGGCATCGCCTGTCCTGGCTGTGGAAACACCTGAAGAGACCCAGAGGACAGCCGTTGTCTACCTGAAGGAGGTACCACAAGACGGACACCCCGAAGTGGCCGAGGCCTCGATCGACGAGAAGAAGAAGCGTGGCTTCGGATTCCACTTGCCGTCCTTCAAAATCGGAGGAAAGAAGGGATCCAAGGACATCAGCCATGAGGAGCCCTATCCCTCGACTTCTGACAAGTACGAAGGACCTCTTGATGAGGTGGATCGTGAGCACGACCTCGAGAAGTTGCCCCTTGAAGCTCAACCCAGCGAGCACAAGGAAACCAAGACAACGAAACGCTTCTTCTTGTTCGGAAGGACGAGACACGAGGGCGAAGAAGAGGTCGCAGACGTCGTCGATCCTTACAATCTTGACACGACTGCTCATGAAGGACCTCTGGACGATCTGGCCCATGAGAAAGACCTCGAGGGAGCCCCACTTGCCGAACACGCGACTGCTTATCATCATGGGGAGTCCTGGCGGAAGTCGAAGAAGGAGGCATCGCCTGTCCTGGCTGTGGAAACACCTGAAGAGACCCAGAGGACAGCCGTTGTCTACCTGAAGGAGATACCACAAGACGAACAACCCGAAGTGGCCGAGACCTCGATCGACGAGAAGAAGAAGCGTGGCTTCGGATTCCACTTGCCTTCTCTCAAGTTCGGAAGCAAGAAGGGATCCAAAGACATCAGCCATGAGGAGCCCTATCCCTCGACTTCTGACAAGTACGAAGGACCTCTTGATGAGGTGGATCGTGAGAACGACCTCGAGAAGTTGCCCCTTGAAGCTCAACCCAGCGAGCACAAGGAAACCACGACAACGAAACGCTTCTTCTTGTTCGGAAGGACGAGACACGAGGGCGAAGAAGAGGTCGCAGACATCGTCGATCCATACAATCTCGACACGACTGCTCATGAAGGCCCTCTTGCTGACCTTCCACGAGAACAAGATCTGGAAGGAGCCCCACTTGCCGAACACGCGACTGCTTATCATCGTGGCGAGTCCTGGCGGAAGTCGAAGAAGGAGGCATCGCCTGTCCTGGCTGTGGAAACACCTGGAGAGACCCAGAGGACAGCCGTTGTCTACCTGAAGGAGGTACCACAAGACGAACAACCCGAAGTGGCCGAGACCTCGATCGACGAGAAAAAGAAGCGTGGCTTCGGATTCCACTTGCCGTCCTTCAAAATCGGAGGAAAGAAGGGATCCAAGGACATCAACCATGAGGAGCCTTATCCCTCGACTTCTGACAAGTACGAAGGACCTCTTGATGAGGTGGATCGTGAGAACGACCTTGAGAAGTTGCCCCTTGAAGCTCAATCCAGCGAGCACAAGGAAACCAAGACAACGAAACGCTTCTTCTTGTTCGGAAGGACAAGACACGAGGGCGAAGAAGAGGTCGCAGACATCGTCGATCCATACAATCTGGACACGACTGCTCATGAAGGACCTCTTGACGATCTGTCTCATGAGAAAGACCTGGAAGGAGCCCCGCTTGCCGAACACGCGACTGCTTATCATCATGGCGAGTCCTGGCGGAAGTCGAAGAAGGAGGCATCGCCTGTCCTGGCTGTGGAAACACCTGAAGAGACCCAGAGGACAGCCGTTGTCTACCTGAAGGAGGTACCACAAGACGAACAACCCGAAGTGGCCGAGACCTCGATCGACGAGAAAAAGAAGCGTGGCTTCGGATTCGACTTGCCCTCCTTCAAAATCGGAGGAAAGAAGGGATCCAAGGACATCAGCCATGAGGAGCCCTATCCCACGACTTCTGACAAGTACGAAGGACCTCTTGATGAGGTGGATCGTGAGAACGACCTCGAGAAGTTGCCCCTTGAAGCTCAACCCAGCGAGCACAAGGAAACCAAGACAACGAAACGCTTCTTCTTGTTCGGAAGGACAAGACACGAGGGCGAAGAAGAGGTCGCAGACATCGTCGATCCATACAATCTCGACACGACTGCTCATGAAGGCCCTCTTGCTGACCTTCCACGAGAACAAGATCTGGAAGGAGCCCCGCTTGCCGAACACGCGACTGCTTATCATCATGGCGAGTCCTGGCGGAAGTCGAAGAAGGAGGCATCGCCTGTCCTGGCTGTGGAAACACCTGAAGAGACCCAGAGGACAGCCGTTGTCTACCTGAAGGAGGTACCACAAGACGGACACCCCGAAGTGGCCGAGACCTCGATCGACGAGAAGAAGAAGCGTGGCTTCGGATTCCACTTGCCGTCCTTCAAAATCGGAGGAAAGAAGGGATCCAAGGACATCAGCAATGAGGAGCCCTATCCCTCGACTTCTGACAAGTCCGAAGGACCTCTTGATGAGGTGGATCGTGAGAACGACCTCGAGAAGTTGCCCCTTGAAGCTCAACCCAGCGAGCACAAGGAAACCAAGACAACCACACGCTTCTTCTTGTTCGGAAGGACAAGACACGAGGGCGAAGAAGAGGTCGCAGACATCGTCGATCCATACAATCTCGACACGACTGCTCATGAAGGCCCTCTTGCTGACCTTCCACGAGAACAAGATCTGGAAGGAGCCCCACTTGCCGAACACGCGACTGCTTATCATCATGGCGAGTCCTGGCGAAAGTCGAAGAAGGAGGCATCGCCTGTCCTGGCTGTGGAAACACCTGAAGAGACCCAGAGGACAGCCGTTGTCTACCTGAAGGAGGTACCACAAGACGAACAACCCGAAGTGGCCGAGACCTCGATCGACGAGAAGAAGAAGCGTGGCTTCGGATTCCACTTGCCTTCTCTCAAGTTCGGAAGCAAGAAGGGATCCAAGGACATCAACCATGAGGAGCCTTATCCCTCGACTTCTGACAAGTACGAAGGACCTCTTGATGAGGTGGATCGTGAGAACGACCTCGAGAAGTTGCCCCTTGAAGCTCAACCCAGCGAGCACAAGGAAACCAAGACAACGAAACGCTTCTTCTTGTTCGGAAGGACGAGACACGAGGGCGAAGAAGAGGTCGCAGACATCGTCGATCCATACAATCTCGACACGACTGCTCATGAAGGCCCTCTTGCTGACCTTCCACGAGAACAAGATCTGGAAGGAGCCCCGCTTGCCGAACACGCGACTGCTTATCATCATGGCGAGTCCTGGCGGAAGTCGAAGAAGGAGGCATCGCCTGTCCTGGCTGTGGAAACACCTGAAGAGACCCAGAGGACAGCCGTTGTCTACCTGAAGGAGGTACCACAAGACGGACACCCCGAAGTGGCCGAGACCTCGATCGACGAGAAGAAGAAGCGTGGCTTCGGATTCCACTTGCCGTCCTTCAAAATCGGAGGAAAGAAGGGATCCAAGGACATCAGCAATGAGGAGCCCTATCCCTCGACTTCTGACAAGTCCGAAGGACCTCTTGATGAGGTGGATCGTGAGAACGACCTCGAGAAGTTGCCCCTTGAAGCTCAACCCAGCGAGCACAAGGAAACCAAGACAACCACACGCTTCTTCTTGTTCGGAAGGACAAGACACGAGGGCGAAGAAGAGGTCGCAGACATCGTCGATCCATACAATCTCGACACGACTGCTCATGAAGGCCCTCTTGCTGACCTTCCACGAGAACAAGATCTGGAAGGAGCCCCACTTGCCGAACACGCGACTGCTTATCATCATGGCGAGTCCTGGCGAAAGTCGAAGAAGGAGGCATCGCCTGTCCTGGCTGTGGAAACACCTGAAGAGACCCAGAGGACAGCCGTTGTCTACCTGAAGGAGGTACCACAAGACGAACAACCCGAAGTGGCCGAGACCTCGATCGACGAGAAGAAGAAGCGTGGCTTCGGATTCCACTTGCCTTCTCTCAAGTTCGGAAGCAAGAAGGGATCCAAGGACATCAACCATGAGGAGCCTTATCCCTCGACTTCTGACAAGTACGAAGGACCTCTTGATGAGGTGGATCGTGAGAACGACCTTGAGAAGTTGCCCCTTGAAGCTCAATCCAGCGAGCACAAGGAAACCAAGACAACGAAACGCTTCTTCTTGTTCGGAAGGACAAGACACGAGGGCGAAGAAGAGGTCGCAGACATCGTCGATCCATACAATCTGGACACGACTGCTCATGAAGGACCTCTTGACGATCTGTCTCATGAGAAAGACCTGGAAGGAGCCCCGCTTGCCGAACACGCGACTGCTTATCATCATGGCGAGTCCTGGCGGAAGTCGAAGAAGGAGGCATCGCCTGTCCTGGCTGTGGAAACACCTGAAGAGACCCAGAGGACAGCCGTTGTCTACCTGAAGGAGGTACCACAAGACGAACAACCCGAAGTGGCCGAGACCTCGATCGACGAGAAGAAGAAGCGTGGCTTCGGATTCCACTTGCCTTCTCTCAAGTTCGGAAGCAAGAAGGGATCCAAGGACATCAGCAATGAGGAGCCCTATCCCTCGACTTCTGACAAGTACGAAGGACCTCTTGATGAGGTGGATCGTGAGAACGACCTCGAGAAGTTGCCCCTTGAAGCTCAACCCAGCGAGCACAAGGAAACCAAGACAACGAAACGCTTCTTCTTGTTCGGAAGGACGAGACACGAGGGCGAAGAAGAGGTCGCAGACATCGTCGATCCATACAATCTCGACACGACTGCTCATGAAGGCCCTCTTGCTGACCTTCCACGAGAACAAGATCTGGAAGGAGCCCCACTTGCCGAACACGCGACTGCTTATCATCATGGCGAGTCCTGGCGGAAGTCGAAGAAGGAGGCATCGCCTGTCCTGGCTGTGGAAACACCTGAAGAGACCCAGAGGACAGCCGTTGTCTACCTGAAGGAGGTACCACAAGACGAACAACCCGAAGTGGCCGAGACCTCGATCGACGAGAAGAAGAAGCGTGGCTTCGGATTCCACTTGCCTTCTCTCAAGTTCGGAAGCAAGAAGGGATCCAAGGACATCAACCATGAGGAGCCTTATCCCTCGACTTCTGACAAGTACGAAGGACCTCTTGATGAGGTGGATCGTGAGAACGACCTTGAGAAGTTGCCCCTTGAAGCTCAATCCAGCGAGCACAAGGAAACCAAGACAACGAAACGCTTCTTCTTGTTCGGAAGGACAAGACACGAGGGCGAAGAAGAGGTCGCAGACATCGTCGATCCATACAATCTGGACACGACTGCTCATGAAGGACCTCTTGACGATCTGTCTCATGAGAAAGACCTGGAAGGAGCCCCGCTGGCCGAACACGCGACTGCTTATCATCATGGCGAGTCCTGGCGGAAGTCGAAGAAGGAGGCATCGCCTGTCCTGGCTGTGGAAACACCTGAAGAGACCCAGAGGACAGCCGTTGTCTACCTGAAGGAGGTACCACAAGACGAACAACCCGAAGTGGCCGAGACCTCGATCGACGAGAAGAAGAAGCGTGGCTTCGGATTCCACTTGCCTTCTCTCAAGTTCGGAAGCAAGAAGGGATCCAAGGACATCAGCAATGAGGAGCCCTATCCCTCGACTTCTGACAAGTACGAAGGACCTCTTGATGAGGTGGATCGTGAGAACGACCTCGAGAAGTTGCCCCTTGAAGCTCAACCCAGCGAGCACAAGGAAACCAAGACAACGAAACGCTTCTTCTTGTTCGGAAGGACGAGACACGAGGGCGAAGAAGAGGTCGCAGACATCGTCGATCCATACAATCTCGACACGACTGCTCATGAAGGCCCTCTTGCTGACCTTCCACGAGAACAAGATCTGGAAGGAGCCCCACTTGCCGAACACGCGACTGCTTATCATCATGGCGAGTCCTGGCTGAAGTCGAAGAAGGAGGCATCGCCTGTCCTGGCTGTGGAAACACCTGAAGAGACCCAGAGGACAGCCGTTGTCTACCTGAAGGAGGTACCACAAGACGAACAACCCGAAGTGGCCGAGACCTCGATCGACGAGAAGAAGAAGCGTGGCTTCGGATTCCGCTTGCCTTCTCTCAAGTTCGGAAGCAAGAAGGGATCCACGGACATCAACCATGAGGAGCCTTATCCTTCGACTTCTGACAAGTACGAAGGACCTCTTGATGAGGTGGATCGTGAGAACGACCTTGAGAAGTTGCCCCTTGAAGCTCAATCCAGCGAGCACAAGGAAACCAAGACAACGAAACGCTTCTTCTTGTTCGGAAGGACAAGACACGAGGGCGAAGAAGAGGTCGCAGACATCGTCGATCCATACAATCTGGACACGACTGCTCATGAAGGACCTCTTGACGATCTGTCTCATGAGAAAGACCTGGAAGGAGCCCCGCTTGCCGAACACGCGACTGCTTATCATCATGGCGAGTCCTGGCGGAAGTCGAAGAAGGAGGCATCGCCTGTCCTGGCTGTGGAAACACCTGAAGAGACCCAGAGGACAGCCGTTGTCTACCTGAAGGAGGTACCACAAGACGAACAACCCGAAGTGGCCGAGACCTCGATCGACGAGAAGAAGAAGCGTGGCTTCGGATTCCACTTGCCTTCTCTCAAGTTCGGAAGCAAGAAGGGATCCAAGGACATCAGCCATGAGGAGCCCTATCCCTCGACTTCTGACAAGTACGAAGGACCTCTTGATGAGGTCGATCGCGAGAACGACCTTGAGAAGTTGCCCCTTGAAGCTCAATCCAGCGAGCACAAGGAAACCAAGACAACGAAACGCTTCTTCTTGTTCGGAAGGACAAGACACGAGGGCGAAGAAGAGGTCGCAGACATCGTCGATCCATACAATCTGGACACGACTGCTCATGAAGGACCTCTTGACGATCTGTCTCATGAGAAAGACCTGGAAGGAGCCCCGCTTGCCGAACACGCGACTGCTTATCATCATGGCGAGTCCTGGCGGAAGTCGAAGAAGGAGGCATCGCCTGTCCTGGCTGTGGAAACACCTGAAGAGACCCAGAGGACAGCCGTTGTCTACCTGAAGGAGGTACCACAAGACGAACAACCCGAAGTGGCCCAGACCTCGATCGACGAGAAGAAGAAGCGTGGCTTCGGATTCCACTTGCCTTCTCTCAAGTTCGGAAGCAAGAAGGGATCCAAGGACATCAGCAATGAGGAGCCCTATCCCTCGACTTCTGACAAGTACGAAGGACCTCTTGATGAGGTGGATCGTGAGAACGACCTCGAGAAGTTGCCCCTTGAAGCTCAACCCAGCGAGCACAAGGAAACCAAGACAACGAAACGCTTCTTCTTGTTCGGAAGGACGAGACACGAGGGCGAAGAAGAGGTCGCAGACATCGTCGATCCATACAATCTCGACACGACTGCTCATGAAGGCCCTCTTGCTGACCTTCCACGAGAACAAGATCTGGAAGGAGCCCCACTTGCCGAACACGCGACTGCTTATCATCATGGCGAGTCCTGGCGGAAGTCGAAGAAGGAGGCATCGCCTGTCCTGGCTGTGGAAACACCTGAAGAGACCCAGAGGACAGCCGTTGTCTACCTGAAGGAGGTACCACAAGACGAACAACCCGAAGTGGCCGAGACCTCGATCGACGAGAAGAAGAAGCGTGGCTTCGGATTCCACTTGCCTTCTCTCAAGTTCGGAAGCAAGAAGGGATCCAAGGACATCAACCATGAGGAGCCTTATCCCTCGACTTCTGACAAGTACGAAGGATCTCTTGATGAGGTGGATCGTGAGAACGACCTTGAGAAGTTGCCCCTTGAAGCTCAATCCAGCGAGCACAAGGGAAACCAAGACAACGAAACGCTTCTTCTTGTTCGGAAGGACAAGACACGAGGGCGAAGAAGAGGTCGCAGACATCGTCGATCCATACAATCTGGACACGACTGCTCATGAAGGACCTCTTGACGATCTGTCTCATGAGAAAGACCTGGAAGGAGCCCCGCTGGCCGAACACGCGACTGCTTATCATCATGGCGAGTCCTGGCGGAAGTCGAAGAAGGAGGCATCGCCTGTCCTGGCTGTGGAAACACCTGAAGAGACCCAGAGGACAGCCGTTGTCTACCTGAAGGGAGGTACCACAAGACGAACAACCCGAAGTGGCCGAGACCTCGATCGACGAGAAGAAGAAGCGTGGCTTCGGATTCCACTTGCCTTCTCTCAAGTTCGGAAGCAAGAAGGGATCCAAGGACATCAGCAATGAGGAGCCCTATCCCTCGACTTCTGACAAGTACGAAGGACCTCTTGATGAGGTGGATCGTGAGAACGACCTCGAGAAGTTGCCCCTTGAAGCTCAACCCAGCGAGCACAAGGAAACCAAGACAACGAAACGCTTCTTCTTGTTCGGAAGGACGAGACACGAGGGCGAAGAAGAGGTCGCAGACATCGTCGATCCATACAATCTCGACACGACTGCTCATGAAGGCCCTCTTGCTGACCTTCCACGAGAACAAGATCTGGAAGGAGCCCCACTTGCCGAACACGCGACTGCTTATCATCATGGCGAGTCCTGGCTGAAGTCGAAGAAGGAGGCATCGCCTGTCCTGGCTGTGGAAACACCTGAAGAGACCCAGAGGACAGCCGTTGTCTACCTGAAGGAGGTACCACAAGACGAACAACCCGAAGTGGCCGAGACCTCGATCGACGAGAAGAAGAAGCGTGGCTTCGGATTCCACTTGCCTTCTCTCAATTTCGGAAGCAAGAAGGGATCCAAGGACATCAACCATGAGGAGCCTTATCCCTCGACTTCTGACAAGTACGAAGGACCTCTTGATGAGGTGGATCGTGAGAACGACCTTGAGAAGTTGCCCCTTGAAGCTCAATCCAGCGAGCACAAGGAAACCAAGACAACGAAACGCTTCTTCTTGTTCGGAAGGACAAGACACGAGGGCGAAGAAGAGGTCGCAGACATCGTCGATCCATACAATCTGGACACGACTGCTCATGAAGGACCTCTTGACGATCTGTCTCATGAGAAAGACCTGGAAGGAGCCCCGCTGGCCGAACACGCGACTGCTTATCATCATGGCGAGTCCTGGCGGAAGTCGAAGAAGGAGGCATCGCCTGTCCTGGCTGTGGAAACACCTGAAGAGACCCAGAGGACAGCCGTTGTCTACCTGAAGGAGGTACCACAAGACGAACAACCCGAAGTGGCCGAGACCTCGATCGACGAGAAGAAGAAGCGTGGCTTCGGATTCCGCTTGCCTTCTCTCAAGTTCGGAAGCAAGAAGGGATCCACGGACATCAACCATGAGGAGCCTTATCCCTCGACTTCTGACAAGTACGAAGGACCTCTTGATGAGGTGGATCGTGAGAACGACCTTGAGAAGTTGCCCCTTGAAGCTCAATCCAGCGAGCACAAGGAAACCAAGACAACGAAACGCTTCTTCTTGTTCGGAAGGACAAGACACGAGGGCGAAGAAGAGGTCGCAGACATCGTCGATCCATACAATCTGGACACGACTGCTCATGAAGGACCTCTTGACGATCTGTCTCATGAGAAAGACCTGGAAGGAGCCCCGCTTGCCGAACACGCGACTGCTTATCATCCTGGCGAGTCCTGGCGGAAGTCGAAGAAGGAGGCATCGCCTGTCCTGGCTGTGGAAACACCTGAAGAGACCCAGAGGACAGCCGTTGTCTACCTGAAGGAGGTACCACAAGACGAACAACCCGAAGTGGCCGAGACCTCGATCGACGAGAAGAAGAAGCGTGGCTTCGGATTCCACTTGCCTTCTCTCAATTTCGGAAGCAAGAAGGGATCCAAGGACATCAACCATGAGGAGCCTTATCCCTCGACTTCTGACAAGTACGAAGGACCTCTTGATGAGGTGGATCGTGAGAACGACCTTGAGAAGTTGCCCCTTGAAGCTCAATCCAGCGAGCACAAGGAAACCAAGACAACGAAACGCTTCTTCTTGTTCGGAAGGACAAGACACGAGGGCGAAGAAGAGGTCGCAGACATCGTCGATCCATACAATCTGGACACGACTGCTCATGAAGGACCTCTTGACGATCTGTCTCATGAGAAAGACCTGGAAGGAGCCCCGCTTGCCGAACACGCGACTGCTTATCATCATGGCGAGTCCTGGCGGAAGTCGAAGAAGGAGGCATCGCCTGTCCTGGCTGTGGAAACACCTGAAGAGACCCAGAGGACAGCCGTTGTCTACCTGAAGGAGGTACCACAAGACGAACAACCCGAAGTGGCCGAGACCTCGATCGACGAGAAGAAGAAGCGTGGCTTCGGATTCCACTTGCCTTCTCTCAAGTTCGGAAGCAAGAAGGGATCCAAGGACATCAGCCATGAGGAGCCCTATCCCTCGACTTCTGACAAGTACGAAGGACCTCTTGATGAGGTCGATCGCGAGAACGACCTTGAGAAGTTGCCCTTGAAGCTCAATCCAGCGAGCACAAGGAAACCAAGACAACGAAACGCTTCTTCTTGTTCGGAAGGACAAGACACGAGGGCGAAGAAGAGGTCGCAGACATCGTCGATCCATACAATCTGGACACGACTGCTCATGAAGGACCTCTTGACGATCTGTCTCATGAGAAAGACCTGGAAGGAGCCCCGCTGGCCGAACACGCGACTGCTTATCATCATGGCGAGTCCTGGCGGAAGTCGAAGAAGGAGGCATCGCCTGTCCTGGCTGTGGAAACACCTGAAGAGACCCAGAGGACAGCCGTTGTCTACCTGAAGGAGGTACCACAAGACGAACAACCCGAAGTGGCCGAGACCTCGATCGACGAGAAGAAGAAGCGTGGCTTCGGATTCCACTTGCCTTCTCTCAAGTTCGGAAGCAAGAAGGGATCCAAGGACATCAGCAATGAGGAGCCCTATCCCTCGACTTCTGACAAGTACGAAGGACCTCTTGATGAGGTGGATCGTGAGAACGACCTCGAGAAGTTGCCCCTTGAAGCTCAACCCAGCGAGCACAAGGAAACCAAGACAACGAAACGCTTCTTCTTGTTCGGAAGGACGAGACACGAGGGCGAAGAAGAGGTCGCAGACATCGTCGATCCATACAATCTCGACACGACTGCTCATGAAGGCCCTCTTGCTGACCTTCCACGAGAACAAGATCTGGAAGGAGCCCCACTTGCCGAACACGCGACTGCTTATCATCATGGCGAGTCCTGGCGGAAGTCGAAGAAGGAGGCATCGCCTGTCCTGGCTGTGGAAACACCTGAAGAGACCCAGAGGACAGCCGTTGTCTACCTGAAGGAGGTACCACAAGACGAACAACCCGAAGTGGCCGAGACCTCGATCGACGAGAAGAAGAAGCGTGGCTTCGGATTCCGCTTGCCTTCTCTCAAGTTCGGAAGCAAGAAGGGATCCACGGACATCAACCATGAGGAGCCTTATCCTTCGACTTCTGACAAGTACGAAGGACCTCTTGATGAGGTGGATCGTGAGAACGACCTTGAGAAGTTGCCCCTTGAAGCTCAATCCAGCGAGCACAAGGAAACCAAGACAACGAAACGCTTCTTCTTGTTCGGAAGGACAAGACACGAGGGCGAAGAAGAGGTCGCAGACATCGTCGATCCATACAATCTGGACACGACTGCTCATGAAGGACCTCTTGACGATCTGTCTCATGAGAAAGACCTGGAAGGAGCCCCGCTTGCCGAACACGCGACTGCTTATCATCATGGCGAGTCCTGGCGGAAGTCGAAGAAGGAGGCATCGCCTGTCCTGGCTGTGGAAACACCTGAAGAGACCCAGAGGACAGCCGTTGTCTACCTGAAGGAGGTACCACAAGACGAACAACCCGAAGTGGCCGAGACCTCGATCGACGAGAAGAAGAAGCGTGGCTTCGGATTCCACTTGCCTTCTCTCAAGTTCGGAAGCAAGAAGGGATCCAAGGACATCAGCAATGAGGAGCCCTATCCCTCGACTTCTGACAAGTACGAAGGACCTCTTGATGAGGTGGATCGTGAGAACGACCTCGAGAAGTTGCCCCTTGAAGCTCAACCCAGCGAGCACAAGGAAACCAAGACAACGAAACGCTTCTTCTTGTTCGGAAGGACGAGACACGAGGGCGAAGAAGAGGTCGCAGACATCGTCGATCCATACAATCTCGACACGACTGCTCATGAAGGCCCTCTTGCTGACCTTCCACGAGAACAAGATCTGGAAGGAGCCCCACTTGCCGAACACGCGACTGCTTATCATCATGGCGAGTCCTGGCGGAAGTCGAAGAAGGAGGCATCGCCTGTCCTGGCTGTGGAAACACCTGAAGAGACCCAGAGGACAGCCGTTGTCTACCTGAAGGAGGTACCACAAGACGAACAACCCGAAGTGGCCGAGACCTCGATCGACGAGAAGAAGAAGCGTGGCTTCGGATTCCACTTGCCTTCTCTCAAGTTCGGAAGCAAGAAGGGATCCAAGGACATCAACCATGAGGAGCCTTATCCCTCGACTTCCTGACAAGTACGAAGGACCTCTTGATGAGGTGGATCGTGAGAACGACCTTGAGAAGTTGCCCCTTGAAGCTCAATCCAGCGAGCACAAGGAAACCAAGACAACGAAACGCTTCTTCTTGTTCGGAAGGACAAGACACGAGGGCGAAGAAGAGGTCGCAGACATCGTCGATCCATACAATCTGGACACGACTGCTCATGAAGGACCTCTTGACGATCTGTCTCATGAGAAAGACCTGGAAGGAGCCCCGCTGGCCGAACACGCGACTGCTTATCATCATGGCGAGTCCTGGCGGAAGTCGAAGAAGGAGGCATCGCCTGTCCTGGCTGTGGAAACACCTGAAGAGACCCAGAGGACAGCCGTTGTCTACCTGAAGGAGGTACCACAAGACGAACAACCCGAAGTGGCCGAGACCTCGATCGACGAGAAGAAGAAGCGTGGCTTCGGATTCCACTTGCCTTCTCTCAAGTTCGGAAGCAAGAAGGGATCCAAGGACATCAGCAATGAGGAGCCCTATCCCTCGACTTCTGACAAGTACGAAGGACCTCTTGATGAGGTGGATCGTGAGAACGACCTCGAGAAGTTGCCCCTTGAAGCTCAACCCAGCGAGCACAAGGAAACCAAGACAACGAAACGCTTCTTCTTGTTCGGAAGGACAAGACACGAGGGCGAAGAAGAGGTCGCAGACATCGTCGATCCATACAATCTCGACACGACTGCTCATGAAGGCCCTCTTGCTGACCTTCCACGAGAACAAGATCTGGAAGGAGCCCCACTTGCCGAACACGCGACTGCTTATCATCATGGCGAGTCCTGGCGGAAGTCGAAGAAGGAGGCATCGCCTGTCCTGGCTGTGGAAACACCTGAAGAGACCCAGAGGACAGCCGTTGTCTACCTGAAGGAGGTACCACAAGACGAACAACCCGAAGTGGCCGAGACCTCGATCGACGAGAAGAAGAAGCGTGGCTTCGGATTCCACTTGCCTTCTCTCAAGTTCGGAAGCAAGAAGGGATCCAAGGACATCAACCATGAGGAGCCTTATCCCTCGACTTCTGACAAGTACGAAGGACCTCTTGATGAGGTGGATCGTGAGAACGACCTTGAGAAGTTGCCCCTTGAAGCTCAATCCAGCGAGCACAAGGAAACCAAGACAACGAAACGCTTCTTCTTGTTCGGAAGGACAAGACACGAGGGCGAAGAAGAGGTCGCAGACATCGTCGATCCATACAATCTGGACACGACTGCTCATGAAGGACCTCTTGACGATCTGTCTCATGAGAAAGACCTGGAGGGAGCCCCACTTGCCGAACACGCGACTGCCTACCATCATGGCGAGTCGTGGCGGAAGTCGAAGAAGGAGGAATCGCCTGTCCTGGCTGTGGAAACACCTGAAGAGCCCCAGCGGACAGCCGTTGTCTACCTGAAGGAGGTACCACAAGACGAACAACCCGAAGTGGCCGAGATCTCGATCGACGAGAAAAAGAAGCGTAGCTTCGGATTCCACTTGCCTTCTCTCAAGTTCGGAAGCAAGAAGGGATCCAAGGACATCAGCCATGAGGAGCCCTATCCCTCGACTTCTGACAAGTACGACGGACCTCTTGATGAGGTGGATCGTGAAAATGACCTCGAGAAGTTGCCGATTGGTGCTGAAACATCCGCCGAACAATCGAAGCAAGAACGAGGCAAGGAGGGGCGCCGAATCCGGTGGTCTGTCAGTCTGCCAACAAAGTCGCTGCGGATCTTTGAGCGACTGCGACACGGCGGCGAAGAAGAAGTGGCGGACCCGGTGGCGCAAAGCTATCAGGTCCCAGTCATTGATGAGAGCGTCGACACACAACTTGGATATTCCAACATGCCACACTCCGAGTTGGCCGTGTTCCCAAAACTACCAAGCGAGAGACCTGTCTTACCTTTGGTACAGCGATTGAGAACATTCGCGCGTTTGACCCACGCCGGGCACGTTGAGTTCGTAGAACGAGAACAAATCGACTGGTCATCGTATCCAGGAACAACCATCTACGAAGGCGAGTACGACCTGACAGCTCTAAATCCGGATCTCTCGCACTCCGTCCTCAACACAACATGCTCTCCCTACCACCCAGGAGAGTACCAGCGGCTCCCCTCGCTCCCAAAGTACACCCCAACAAAATCCTACCAGCCACAGCTCAGCACCGAGGCTGACAAATCCCCAGTCTTGGCCCTCGAACCACTAGCCGAGCTCGAAAGTCGACTCTGGAACCTGCAAGACCAGTTCGAGGGTACCGAAATTGTCGAGGTGCGCATCGAAAAGAGATGCGAGATCGAGCTGCACCCGCAGTACACGCTAGAGAAGCGACTGCGGGGCGGGGCTGGAGGGGGCGTGGCCTGGGTGCCGGTCAGCAGCCCGGGGAAGAACCCAGAAAAGCAGGGAACTGACGCCGCCGCCGCCACAACCGCCATGCCAGCCGGCAAGTCGCTGCTGCAGCGGCTCGGTTTAGCCAAGGTGGGGCCCGCAATCGAATGTTATGCGATACTAATTGGCACGCTAGGAGTCCTTAGTTTGTTATAGTTTTGTGGTCTGTAGTCTTGGTTATCAGCTTTGGTTGTGTCGCCCTTTCTTTGGTTTTGCGGCGTGTTTTGCGGTCAAATGTCTTGGAAAAAACGTGGTTTATTCAAGTTAACGAGTTAGCCGCTATCGACTATCGTTTTGTTAGCTTATTTGGGTAATTTAAAATCGTAAGCGATTATCTTTATTTGTCTAAAGTACCGTTTTTGTGCGCTAAAACTTGGAGTAGACTTTATCTTTGATTTTTGCATTAGTTATCGTGTAATTTAACGGATTGGAAACGTTTTTTATAGGTTAGTAACATTTTTATTAATACAAAAAAGGGCAAGTTTTACGAAATAGAATGAAATGAAAAACCTTCAAATTTGGCCGCTTTTCGCTGCCCAACACGGTCCTCGCTCGCTTCTTTTCTGGCCATAGAAACTTTCTGCAAACGTATTATTGTTGAGGAATGACGTTAGGAAGCAAGAAACATGTTCTAAATTGGGTTTTCCCAGTTTTACTGCGCCAAAACTGAAGAAAAACGTTATAAAAACGGTTAATAGGCCGAAATTTTGGGGCAAGACTTGTAATTTCTGTTTTAAACATAACTTATAGTTTTGTATATCTACAAAAAGAACAGGAAAAGGTTTTTGCAAACTAATTTAGCGCGCAAAGATATTAAATAACCCGAAAAGGCAGTTTCCAGAGGGGAAAAGGGCCTGGGAGAGCGGGGAAAAGGCCTTTCTGCCCGCCCTGTCCCGCCCTGCCCCGCCCTGCCGTAGTCTACTGCGTTTTTGTTCATAAAAACGTTCTAAACACGTTTTTTACTTGTGAATATTCGATTATAGGGGCTTTTTAGTCTTTTTGGCTCATTGCTTATTTTGAATGCTTGAAAACCATCGATTCTTAGCGCCAAACTTTAAATTTTAAGAATTTGATCAGCATTTCAGTTTGTTAATGTGATAAGCCATTAAGAACCATGTTTTTTATCAGCTAACGCTCTTAGCTGACTAAAAAGCCAATTTCCAAGTGTTTTGACCGCGAAACACGCGCGTAATGGCCTTTCGTTTCCTCACCCGGCCGTCATGCGCTTTCGTCGTGTTCACACTGCCTATTTTCTGTTGTGCCCCTGTACCCCAGCTTTTTTCGTGGTTCAGCTCGCCGAAGACACTCGGTAATCTTTTATATGGATTTTAAGCTAAAAATTAAGCCTTTTCAAGCTTTTTTTTAGTCGATCAACCATCATTTTTTAGCTTTTCTAGTCTAGTTTATAGATTTTCGGCGCGCTGAACCGTTCTTTATTTTCTGTGCCATTTTCGTTTTCCATTGCCTTTCAGTTCCGCTAACCCACCTGTGTTTTGTGCGTTTTGTGGTGTCGTGTGGCCGCCGTTTTTTGTTGTACTTTGTAGTCTTGGACCGGGCGATCTATTTTCTTTTAGGGCAGAGAAATTTTTCGAGGTTTTTTGGTAGTTATAGTCGGTTCCTGATCAGTTTTTGGTGATGCGAATATTGGCTAGAAGTTGGGCAGGGTGACTACGCTTGTTTTATTTTCTTTTAGGGTAACTAGCAAAGACATTTTCGGAGGTTTTTTGGTACTTCGAGTAATTTCCGGATCAGTTTTTTGATGCCAATATTGCCCATAGGTGGGGAGAATGTCCACCCTTTGCCCCCAGCCGTTACAAATTCGATTCGTAGCCCCCCGATGGGCAGCGGATGGCCGTTTCTTGCGCTTTTTTGTTTGACAAACAGCAGGGACACCGGGCGGCTCTTATCTTATAGAGATGCTGCCCCCTCTTTTTCGTTTCTTTCTGCTCTTGCGAAGCCCCGCATCTGATTGCCAGGGGACCCCAGCGGCGGGGTGGACCCCGGGGTCAATTGCCCGGGTTTTAATTAGATCGCGGAATGGCTGGGCGGATTGCGGGGGGCTTTTGGGGGGAATTTTTTGAGGTTAGATTTTGGTAGCGGGACGTTTTTCGCAAATGATCGTTGCTAGACAGTCTTAGGCGGAGGTCTGCGAGGGCAGGCTAGCAGTAAGCATTTCCGCAAGGTTGGAGTCCGACAGTTTAGCAGATGGTTTGCGGAACATCATGTCTCTGGGCAGCTTGGCAGTACTTTGAGTAAACAAAAAGTCGTGCAAACGGGCAAGTTTTCTAGGTTTTTCTCAGAAGTTTTAGTCTTTCGTCTAGCCTCTTCGAGACCGAATTTTGCGAAAATGTTCTTCGCTAGCTTACCTGGATTCTGAATTCCCCAAGAATTGCTGGTAGTCGGCCATTTCGATTTCTCTAAAAATCTCTGCTAGCTCACCCCTCACCCTTTATCCCCCCAGACAATCGCCCGTTTTCCCCTGTGTATCCCTTTCGGTCTATTTGTTTGCCCGGCCACTATGCCAAAGGTAGATCCAGGAGAAGCATCTCTCCCCCCCTTTCTGCCCCCTTGAGTGCCTTCTGGGCCAGGGGTCGCAAAAAAACTCGCCGGGCTGGTTGGGGCCCAGGGTCCGGCCCTAGCAGTTCTTTTGTGGCCCACAGGGGTCGGTCGGGGAAGGGGGGGAAGTCCCCCGGGGAATTGAGGGCTAGAAGGAGGAGGAGAACCACACATACGGGTCACGCAATGCTTCCCCCCCTGCCGCAAATGGATGGAATGAACAACGTTGGGACCAAATTTAGACCCTAGAGGGAGCAGCAGTGATTCGTATCAAAATTTTTGCGTTAGGGCTGGCTAGCAGAGATTTTTGGCGGAAAACTGCGTTTATGGGTGGCTAGCAGACGTTTTTAGGGAGGCTTAGAGAGGAGAGCTTACTATTAGAAGGGCAGGCTAGCAGTCTTTCTTGATGACAGCTGGGGTCATAGCAAGCTAGCAAAGCGTATTTGCGGATGAGATATTGTAGGATTCCTAGGGGCAAAGAGAGCGAGAGCGAGAGAGAGAGAGAGATAGAGAGAGACAGAGAGAGACAGTTAGAGAGAGAGAGAGAGAGAGAGAGAGAGAGAGAGCGAGGCGAGAGAGAACCGGACAAACTTCCCCCAGAGCCATAAATGTCCCTAGGCTATCAAGGGCAGAGGATGGGCGGTTGGTTCACTAATTGAATACAAGCCCTCTCTCTTTCTCTCTCTCTCTCTCTCTCTCTCTCTCTCTCTCTCTCTCATCTCTCTCTAGTCCTCTATCTAGCTCTCCCCTCTCTCCCTAATGATCTCTGCTAGTTCCTTACCCCCTAAGAAAAGATCGCCCGGTCCACCCTCCCCAATCATCTCCGCTAGTTACCCCCTGTGTCTCTGCACCCTCTCTATCCATCACCCACTCTATCCCTAACCCTTTGTGTCTAGTAAAACAGCTTATACCTATAGTTTGGCCGGCACGGAATAGCAATAGAAAAATCCAAGAAAACCCGTGTAATTTTTGCTCATTTTCAGGCTGGCGCCGGGTCGACGAAGGATGGAAAGCAGAAGAAATCGAAGAAAGGGCACAAGGGACAGGAGAATACGGTAGACACGTCATCAACGAGTTCGGACAGCGAGGAGGAGAAGGTGAGTGAATTTTTGAGGGGGAACTGGGTTTTGCCTGACGCTCCATGCCTCTTTAAGCACTAGCCTAGCGTAATCGTTTGTACCGAAGCGCAATAATTAAATGGCGTAATCGATTCCCCGATTGACTCTCTAGCCGTTACCTAGCCTAATCGGTTAGACTCTTACCTTTTCGCATAGCGTAATCGGTTTTCTTCAGCCGTGCTAATTATCTGGCGTAATCGATAGACCGACGCATGTCCCGGTCCCTTTAAAACAACCCCAAACCCGTTCTCTGTTTTCCCCCCACACCCCGACCCTACAAATTGATATGATGGGGTTGGGGGTGACACACAGCCCACCCCCATCAATCTGCTCTGCTTTTTGGGGCCCACAAAAAAAGTGGGGAAAGGGCCAGGGGGGGCAGATTTTGAAGAATTATTTCGCTGAAAGTCTCGCCCGACCCTGGGGGATTTCCGGAGAGGGCCAACACCCCGCAAAAAGTGAGGTCTTTATGGCCTACACCTTTTGAAGGGATTGGGAAGTGTGGATTTTGAGAACGGGGGAGAGATGGGACTGATTTAGATCCTAAAACTTCTGCAAATTGTCTTTGCTAGCTGGCTGACTTGGGATACCATCTAGCTGCCATGCAGGTTACCCATTCCCCAAAGATCTCTGCTGGCTTACCACAGGGTTTGGGAATTACCAGTCCTAATCGAATCGACTCGTTCTATGCGCCTCTGAAATTTTCCGCAAATGGACGTTGCTAGCATGCCCCTCCGAATTCCATTTCGCTGCCATGCAGACTACCCATTCCCCCAAAAATCACAACTAGTTTTTCACATGGTTTCGGAACTACCAGTCGTAATCGATTCAACTCGATCTGGGCGGCTCTAGAAATTTCCGCAAATGAACTCTGCTAGCCTGCCACTCAGGATCTAATCTAGCTGCCACCCAGGCTACCCATTCCCCAATTGACCTCTGCTAGATAGCTGTCATTCTCGGGATTACCAGTCGTAATCTGTTCGTTTTCAGGCCCTCGTCGTTGTCCGCCAGACTACCAACACCCATGCTTCGAGTCGTCCGGGTGCCGAAGTACCACCACAGGTCCGTTTTTGACTGATTAGCAAGTGTAAATCCAAGAATACACTCGTTTCTAAAAGGCGTGTCGACAGAATGGAATTTCTCCTTTTCCCCCACCATCACCCTTGATTTTAGTGGCGTAATCGATTGCAAAAATCCAATTTTGGTTGTTGCTCTTTGCCTAGGTTTTTAGTGGCGTAATCGATTAGTTTCGAATCCGTTTTAGGCATTTCATGGCGTAATCGATTGATTTAATCCGTTTTTTTGGAATTTCATAGGGTAATCGTTTTATCATCCCGACGCTTTTTAATGGCGTAACCGATTACGTATTAAGTTTTCTCTGTGTTGTCGGCACGGAAAACTGGCTTTTTCTATATTTTTATTTTTAAGGTTTCCTGGACGAAAAAATAAAAATTTAATGAGTTTTAAGCGCAAAAATCGTCCAGTAAAATTAAGGCTAAGGGAAAATTAGTACCCTTTGTAAAATGCGGTAATTTTATCGTTGGCCTGTAGACGATGCACTACACGCCAGCGGATGCGTCGTGTGGGGTGGTGATCAGAGAGGAGAAAGATCAGACGACGTATCGGTTGACCGGAAAGGGGTTGACGCCACATGTTGATCCGAAAGACCCGGTACGCGCCCGCGTGTAGATTTGTAGTCTGTAGGCTGTAGTCTTGCGCGATTTCTTTCCGCTTTTGTGGTCATGGATTGTTTGTAGTATGTAGTCTCTGGGTCTATTTGGTTCTGAAGCTTTTGTACGTTATAAAAAGTTGTAGTTTATAGCTCTTCTTGTAGTCTGTGGCCTGTATTTTGTAGTCTCTAGCCTAGAACTGTAGTTGTTCTATTCGCTGCTCTATAAGGTTTAATTTTTCGCCTTTGTGCCTAGAATCTGTAGCCTGTAGTTCATAGCTACGGGTTGTATTTTGTAGCTTGATTTTTATTCTGCGATATTTGTGTGCGGCTGCTCTATCCTATCATTAATGCGTCAATTTCCCCCCTATCTTCACTTGCATGAACCTCTAAAGGCGTGTCCTCCTGTCCCTTCTCGTACACCTACTGCATGCTGCATGCAATTCCGGCTTACAGATACCATATTTGCAAAATTGGTTCTTTCGCATTATCGGGGGGGCGGAAATTTTTGGATTAATCTAGAAATGCCTAGGAGCTTATTAGGAGGTATTTTGATAATGTTTTTGGTAAAACGAGACTGTATTTTAACTAGAAAAACTATCCAAAAACTTGGAAAATGTTTCAAAAATTCGAAAATTTGGGCAAAAAAGGCCTTTTCGGTCGAAAAATCGATATTTTTTGTATTTTTTTGATAAATAGGATTTTTACGTTTATGACTACAATTTTCTCCCCCCGATAATGCAAAAGAACCTGAAAATCCGCTCCCGCACGCCGTTTTGGGTCCTTTTAAGAGTCTGGTGGTAAAAGGATTAAGCGGCCTGCTAGCAGAGATCATTGAGGAAAAGAGAGAGAGAGAGAGAGAGAGAGAGAGAGAGAGAAGGGAGAGCGAAAGTTAGCGAGAGAGAGAGCGAGAGAGAGAGAGAATGAGCGAGAGAGCGAGGAAGACCTCTTTTCCTCAACGTTCTCTGCTAGCCTCCCCGCTGCCTTGCCGGTCCCTTTAAAAGCATGCGCCTGTGCGTGTCCCTATTTCCCTGATAAAATCCATTGGGTAAAGGTACGTTATCCCCCTCCCACTGCAGTCACTGCCGTCGACAATGGCGCGTGCGGAACGGCTGAATCTGACGTCGCCACGGATCACGCACGCTGAGCGTACACATACCGTACGCGGTGCTGATGTTCTGCCGGTCTCCCTCGCGGTACTGATTGTATTTTGAAACAGAGGTTTTGCGAGTAGCGCAGGCCATTTATGTTCCCCTGCTTTCGCTTCGACTAACCGGCTTCCGCAGGGGGTTTCTGCTAGCCTGCCCGGCCAGGGTTTTTCTCTAATAATCTCTGCTAACTTGCCTAGGCCTGAAATCCGCAAATGGCCTCTGCTCGTTGCCCCAGCGGTCCCGGTTTTCCTAAAGGGCTTCTGCTAGCCTGCCCGGGCACGGAGTATCCTTAATAATCTCTGCTAGTTTGCCTCTGGGAGGTAGGGTTTCCTTAAGAATCTCTGCTAGCTTGCCTAGCCCTTGAATTTCACAAAGAATCTCTCTGGTTTTCCCTAATTCTCTCTGCTAGCCTGTCCGGGTTCGAGATTTCGCCAAGGTCTCTGCTTGCCTGCCCGGGCTTGCTTTTTCTCTAATTGTCTCTGCTGACTTGCCTAGCTTTGAAATCCGCAAGTTGTCGCTGCTAGCTACCCTCGAGGGTCCGATTGTCCGCAAAAGTCTCTGCTAGTTTGCCTCTGGGAGGTAGGATTTCTTTAACAACCTCTGCTAGCTTGCCTATCCCTTAAATTTCCGCAAAGGAGCGCTGCTCGTTAGCCTTTTGCGGATTCGGTTTTCCCTAATTCTCTCTGCCAACCCGTCCCGCATGGATTTTCCCCAATAAACTCTGCTAGCTAGCCCCTTGCGGGTCAAATTTCCCCTAATGCTCTCTGCTAGTTTGCCCGGACCGAAATTCCTCAATGTTCTTTGCTCGCCCGCATTTTGCCATGGAAATCCTCAAATTCTCTTTGCTCGTTGCCCCGGATCGGATTTCTCAAAAGATCTCTGTTATCTGACTCTAGAGCTTCCTAATTCCAAAATTTCCCTGGAGATCTTTGCTAGCCCGCCTATCCCTCCGGAGCTCCTCAAAAATCTCTGCTAGCTAGCCCCTTGTAGGTCAGATTTTCCGTAATTCTCTGTGCTAGTTTGCCTCTGGGAGATCGGATTTCCACAAGAATCTCTGCTAGCCTCCCTTTTTCGTGAGAATTTTCCCCAAAGTCTCTCTGCGCGTTGTCCCCCCCACTAACCCTCTCTCGCGTGTGCTGTGTGCCGTGTCTGCGATGCGTTGCGTGTGCCGTGTGCGTTTTCGGCAATTTGCCCGTCTTAAAGGGGCCGGCAAGGCAGGAATCCATAACCAAAAAAATTTATGGATTTTTGCCTTGCCGCTCCCTTTAAAATCAATTTACCAGTTTAAATTTTCAAAATTTCCAATTCTAATCAATCAAAAAAACCTAGAAAAACAGTTAAAAATAAAAATTCAATGGTTTGTGGGGCTTTCGGGTTTTTAAGGGCCGTTGAAGGCAAAAACTTTTAAATTCGAGGAGCTTATGTTCAGCTTTTGTAGAGCTTATTCGATTACGGTATGTAAACATGCAAAAATGGGATTTTGTTTAGGAGAGCGGCCAGCCACACACTACGGTACAGAGGTGGCAGGAGACGAATATCATGCCCGATCAGGTGGTACAAGAAGTTGATGATGATGGACATACCGTAACGTATGTTTTCGCTGTGGATTTTGGTCTTTAGGGTGCCTTTAAAATGGGGCAGAACTTAAATTTGTTCTCTATCTCTCTCTCTGTCTCGCTATAGCTCTCTCTCGCTCTCTCTCTGTCTCTCTCACTCTCTCTCACCTACTCTCTTGCTCTCTCTCACTCTCTCACTCTCTCTCTCCATCTCTCTCTCCATCCGTCTCTCTCTCTCACTCACTCTCACTCTCTCACTCTCTCTCTCTCTCTCTCTCTCTCTCTCTCACTCTCTCACTCTCTCACTCTCCCTCAGCTCCCATTAACGCAAATATTTTCAGTCGAACCATCAAGACCTCCCAAGTGAAATCTACCGTCCAGAAGCAGACCTTCCAGAACTTTACGATACCCGAGGACGAGAATGTAGGTCGAAAAACTATATTAGAGGCACGCGGGCTAGCCGAGATCTTTGAGGAAAAATTTCCGCAAAAATCGTTGCTATCTCTTTGCTACTTTAAAGGAACTGTCAAGGCTTTCCTATGGATTTTTAGCCGTTTCTAAATTGTTTCTACTCTTAATAATTTCTATTAAATTGATAGGCATTTCTAGATTAGCACAAAAAATTCGTTCCCCCCCCCGATAATGCAGAAGAACCTTAAAATATCTGATTTGCAGGGTGTCTCGACAGTGGAGCGAGTACACGAACAAGTCGTCCCGCGGGTATCACCCAGTAAACAGGGAAAAGTATACGAGACACACACAAGGACTGTCGCTTATGAGAATGGATCACAAAAGGAACAGGAGGTACGGGCAAGCTGGCAGGGATCATTGAGGAATCTTTGTTTCAGCTACCCGGAGAGTTCGTTTCGTCAAAGACGGTCACTTCCGGAAATCGAACTGTTGAGACGGTCACGTATAAGACGGAGAGGGATGGAGTGGTGGGTGGAGAGAGAGAGAGAGAGAGAGAGAGAGAGAGAGAGAGGGTGAGAGAAGGGAGAAAATCAAGAATTTCAGGTAGAGACGCACGTGGAGCATCGAGTGACCATCCATTCCGATGATGCCATCGACCATGACGCGGTGGGTGCATGGCAGAGATTCTTGTGGAAAATCCGGGAATCGAATAGCAGAGATTATTGGGGGAAAATCAGGGGAACTAGCAGCGATTATTAACGAAATTAGAAAGCTAGCTAGCAGAGATCTTTGAGGAATTTTTGGGCCATCGAGCAGCAATAATTTGCGGAATTTTCAGGAGCTGTCTCGTGCCATCATGGAGGCGACACAGTCAAACCCGGAGATGACCGTCGAGAAGATAGAGGTCGTCCAGGAGGCAAAGCAGTGAGATGAGCAAGAGAAAGCGAGGAGCAAGAGATGCAAAAAGGAGCGGGTTCCCCAATCGAGGACCCCCAAATACCCCCAATTGAAATCCCTTCCTCTCCCTGAATATGATGGCGTAATCGGTTATTTTCTGGGCCTTGAAGATCGGGAATTAAATAGCGTAACCTATTCTGAAAACCGAATTACATACCGTAATCGATTAATTTGAGCTCAATTTCACTGCGTAATCGATTAGGAACAAACCGAATTACATACCGTAATCGATTAAACTTAGCGCTATTTCATGGCATAATCTATTGGCATAGCTTCAATTTCATTGCGTAATCGATTAAGCTGGCTTGCAATTAAATGCCCTAATCGATTTTTACCACCTAATTTCATCGCTTAATCGATTTGCCAAAACCGAATTACCTCGTGTAATCGATTCGCTGACTTCAATAGCCCTTTAAAAGCCACCGATTCCGCCCAAATTCCTCCCCTTGCTTCGAAGCCTCTCGTTATGATTTGCGTTACCCCCTGGCTGCCACCCTGCCCTCCCTAACATTTCGACGACCCCGTAACAAGTAGCCCCTCGTACTGCCCTGTTTTCGTGAATGCGTACATTACCGTATATTGAATTTTCCAATTTTTCAATTGCCTGCCCTCCAGAATCATTCAAAACTCCATCAGCGACCCCCGCATCGAATCGACGACTGTTTTGCCGTGAAGCCTGAGTTTTTGTTAGTGGGGCAATTTTTGGCCGGAAGTGGGGGCCCTATCTTTCAAAAAAAATCCGAATTTTTCTGAAATTATCGTACGGATGGATAGACTGACAGCCAGTTTAACGGAAACGCAAAAAAATTAGGAACTTTACCGCGAAAATTCGCTAAAAATCGTGTTTTCGAGCAATTTCGACCGGAAGCGCCGGCTCAATCCTCGAAAATTTGAATTTTTTTTTGAAATCGAGCGTATCATCAGATACCTTTACTGTCAGTTTAACAAAATACCGCAAAAATGCGCAATTTTCAAGCAAAAACCTGCAATTTTAAGTTTTTTCGAAATTTTGAATTTTATGAATTTTTGAAAAACCCTGATTTCTTTAGATTTCGGAATTTTTCGAAACTTAGGGTACCTTCAGATACCTTTGCTGTCAATTTACCGAAATACCCAAAAAATGCGCCACTTCCCCGCCAAAAATCGCCCCAGCTACCGTAATTATGTGTGTGTGCGTGTGGTGCAAAGAGTTGCGCGTCGTAGTTCCCGCCACGGCGAGCGCGACCATGCCCGCACCCCTTTAAAAAACGCCCCGAGTTCCGTAGGAATACGGGAATGCTACTTTTCATTTTATTAATGTTTTAATTTTTAATTTTTTTATTTTTCATATTTTCGCCACTTATCTCGCTAATTATTATCTCAAAAAATGCCGCTTTTTCAGTTTTTTTCAATGCCTCCCTTTTCCTCCCACCAATTTGATGCGTGTGTTTTTCTCCTACCAATTTTTGCGATGCTTTGAATAAATTTGTAGCCATTTAAAATTGAACAAAATGCGCGAATATTAACTCGAAAAATTACATGGCGTAATCGATGAAAATTCACAAAAAAAGCACGCAATTAAAGCTCGCGAAATACGTGGCGTAATCAATGAAAATCAGCGCCAAAATTGCCAAACAGTTGAATTGCCTAGCGTAATCGATTCGCGATAAATTGACGAATTGCCGAGCGTCACTTAGGTTCTTTTGCATTATCGGGGGGGGGGGCAACTTTTTCCTTAGGAGCTAATTTTTCAAATATAAATAGTGGAGGCGTTTCTAATGGTTTTCCTATTCCTGAGTGTAAAATATTTAGCAAATTTTATTAATTTAATTGTCAAAAACATCGATTTTTCGACGAAAAATGGCCGATTTCTGAGCAAAATTAAAACAGGACCCCCTTTTGTGTATTAATTTATAAATGCCTGGTAACTTAATAAGAGATATTTTCATCATGTTCTTACTAGGGAGGTATCTGAACTCGGCATCGAACTTTGAGAAGTCAGATACACCATTCGACGCGCCTTGTCGAGGCGATTCCAAATATGTAATAAAATCAACCAGAGCCTATAACCGTAAAAAGTTATGAGCATTCGAAGTCGACAAAATGGTGAAAAACAGTATCTTTGAGACCCTGTATCATCCCGCGGAATGGAATTTAGCCTAAACTGATTAGTGCTCCTTATTCAACAAAGAAAGCTCTTTCAAATGAGCTATGTTACATACGGCTGCCAAAAATTTCCGTAAAAAAATATTTTTGGAATGCGGCGTAAGGGTAGGGTATGGCCAGCTTGCCGAAGACGTTTCGAGAATTTCGCGTAAAGTCTATGTAAGATAGCCCATTCGAAAGATAATTTTCTGCTGAATAAGATGTACTGTTCTATTTTCGAAAAATTACATTCTTCGAATTCGTACAGAGTCTTAAAGGGGCGGTTTTTGATGATTTTGTCAACTTTGATATAGAGAGCGTCCATTCCTGGTCTTGTTACCCGAGGTTATTTTACCATCGCCGGTGCCTTTTAGGGGTCACATAGTCAAAAAAACTCATCCCGAGTTTGGAAATGCAAAAAGTAGGAACTAGTCAAAAAGCAAAAAATAAAAATCGTGAGTGGATCCTAACCCTGGTCGTACAGACCGGAGACCCATGGGCACACCACTAGGCCACGGGGCCGATGAACAGGGTGCGCTGGGAGGGGCTCATATCCCCGCGGCATTCTTCGCTGCAAAACTTAAAATGCTCATAACTTTTTATCGTTATAGACTCTGGTTGATTTTATTATATATTTGGAATCCCCTCGAAAAGCCGCGTCGAATGGTGTATCTGACTTCTTGAAGTTCGATGCCGAGTTCAGATACCTCCCTAGTTAGTAAAATAAAACTATATTTTTAATCGAAAACTAACTAAAGCTTTAAAAGATTTTTCAAAAAAGCCGAGATTTCGGCCAAAAACGGCCATTTTGATCGAAAAATCTATTTTTTTTTGTTTCTTAGTAAAAATTTGTAACGGTTTTACGTTAGGATCAGTAAAAAAAACGGTTTAGCAACATTTCCGCCATTTATATCTAAAAAATGGGTTTCTAATAAAAGAAAGAGAAGAAAACAATAGAAAACTTGTAGGGAACCCCCCCTGATAATGCAAAAGAACCCATATTGATTAAGCTTCCGTAGCATGGCGTAAAAATTTAATGGTGTCGCATTTCACTAAAAATCTAAAACTTGAAAGATTCTTCAAAAAAAGCCGAAATTTCGGCCAAAAACGGCCATTTTGATCGAAAATCCGTTTTTTTGCAGTTTGTTAATAAAAATTTGTAACGGTTTTACGGTCAAGAATAGTGCAAAAAATTTCTCAATCGTAATGCGCACAAAACACTGTAATAAAATTTGAATGGTGTCGAATTTTCACTAAAAAACGCTGATATCAATCGCTCCTCAATCACTTTATTCATCACCGGGAGATCACACAAAAATTCACAAGCGAAAAAATACGACAAATTCAAAATGTGGATTGACGGCGGAAAAGTGAGAAAAGTACATGCAAAAATGACAATTTTGTAATTAAAATTGTAAATTTTGCATTGAAAAAGTGGGCAAAATCGGTGCAAAATAGAGCGACAAAATTGGATGGATTATTTGGAAGTAGGGTGGTCGAGGATCGCGTCAATGATTTCGTCCTTCTTTTTCGCTTTTCTGAAAAAAAAACGATAAAATAATTGGCACAGATTCTGCCAAAAATCCCTGCTAGCTTGCCTCGAATTTCCGCACATTTCCTCTGCTAGATTGCCCTCAAATTCCCCAAAGTTCTCTGCTAGCCTGCCCTCAATTTTCCGCAATCGTCTCTGCTAGCCGATCCCGATTCCCTAAAAATCTCTGCTCGCCTGCCCCTAGCCCGATTCTACAAATCGCCTCTGCTAGCCTGCACCCAATTTCCACACATTTCCTCCGCTAGATTGCCCTGAATTTTCCAAAATTGCTTCTGCTAGCCTGCCCCAAATTCCACAAAGTTCTCTGCTGGCCTGCCTCGAATTTTCGCAAATTGTCCCTGAAATTCTCCAGTCATCTCAACTAGCGGATCCCGATTCCCTAAAAATCTCGGCTCGCCTGCCCCTCGCCCGATTCTACAATTGTTTCTGCTAGCCTGCCATTCCCTAAATGGTCTCTGCTAGCCTGCCCCAGGGTCCTCGATTTCCTCAGCCAGCCAGCCTCCAATTTCCCCAGACTTCTCGGCAAGCCTGCCTCGAATTTCCCCAAATTGCGTCTGCTGGCCTGCCCTAATTTCAGAAAAAAAACGCACTTTATATCGACGTTCATCTGCGCGGCTTTTTCCTTCAAATCGGCGACAGTCATCTTCATCAAAACAGATCGACTCGGCAATTGTTCCTGTTTCTCCTTGAATTCGTCCTCATCATCCACATCATTCTCCATTTTCACACCTCGTCCTCGTTTTTTTGGAGCCGCAGCTTCATCTGAAATTCACAACAAATTAGCAAGCTAGCAGAGGATTTTGGGGAATTTCGGGGGTCTAGCAGAGATCTTTGCGGAAAATCAGGGTCAACTTGCACTAATTTCCTGAAAATTTCGAGGCAAACTAGCAGAGATTCTTGGCGAAAACCGGGGCTAGCTAGCCGAGACGATTGGGGGATTTCGAAGCAAACTAGCAAAGATTAGTATGGCAAACCTCGATTTTTTCGGAATTTAGCGGACTGGCTGGCGGAGATTTTTGAGGATGCGCCTGCAAAAGAAACGAACCTTTCTTAGCAGTTGCCCGCTTCGCGGTTGTCGCTTTTGGGTCGAGCTCTGGAATTCAAACAAATTCAACCAATCAATAATCCAAAAAATACCGTAAGTGCCCGTCAATTTGCCCATTTCATCGGCCGCTTCTGCCGCTTTTCCCGCCCTCGATGCCGGCATCGCGTCGTTGTCGAACCACGGCTCTGCAAAATCATGGAAAATCTCGATTATTCGGAAGGCTACAAACTACGAATCGCAAAAATAAGATTATTAGCTACAAACCTAAATTTTTTTAGCAAAAATCGACTTTGTTAAGGCCAAATGACAAACTACACGATCGAAAATCGCCTGAAATAATCATTTGGCAGTTAGACTACAAGCTACAATCCCTAAAAACAGCGTTTTACGCCCGGATACAGACTACAATCTTAATTTGAAGCAAAATCAGACTACAAACTACAATATCGAACATAGCCTGAACAAACCGTATTCCAGTCAAACTACAGAATACAAAACGCAAAAAAAAACAAGAATAGTTGCAGACTACAGACTACCAAAATTTGCTTTTTTAGCCACCAGATTCGTATCGGCAACAAAATCGACGATTTGGCTGGGCTACAAACTACAAATCCTGGAATGACACAAGAAATTCGGCCCTTCGAGGGACAGACTACAAACCACAGAGTCGGAAAAGCTCGTTTTTAGGCGAAGAAAAGAGCGTATCGAAACGTACTGATGTGATCCCATTTGGTACGCATGGCCTCCGTCCATTCTTCAGTCTCATTGTCTGGAGTATCCAGGTTCGCCTCTCGTTTCAACATCGTGTAGAAGGCTTGCAGATCTGAAAATGTAGATATGGAGGGGATGGGATGAGAGAGCGAGAGATAGAGAGATAGCGAGGGTGAGCGAGAGCGAGAGAGCGAGAGAGAGAGAGAGAACGTACGTGGATTTGGATATGCCGTGGGTGTGAAGCGTTTCTTGAGCAGCGCCGTGCACAGCGTCTTCGCCGCGTCGACCGCCTTTGCAGAGCCTAAAATAAAAAATTGATCTGATTCGATTACGCTTTGGAATTCGCTCCATGGAAAGAACCAATTACGAAATGAAATTCGCCAACATTCGGGCCGGATTTTCCGCGCGTTTTGCGTGTTCAAACAGGCAAGTTGAGCCGGTTACGACACGGAATTCGAACCGAGGTGAGATGCCATATAACCCAAAAAACGTACCAGTGGGCCACTTTGCCATTCCTTCAGGGGGCTTCATCTTTTCCTCAAATGCCGCTGCGATGTCCATTTTGTCGTCGGGATCGTGGAGTTCGACGAGGAGAAAACCTGGATGGACGGCAGCCTGGAAAAGAGGAATTAGAGAGAGAGAAAGAGAGAGAGAGAGAGAGAGAGAGATAGAGAGAAATCGGTACTCAACTCTTAACGGGGGGCAATTTTATAGCCTTTTTTAAGCAATTTTCCGCGCCAGAATCTTTTGTCGTTTGACAGAAATCTACTAAATAAATTTTTCTGTGCCTTTTATATCTTACAAAAATCACAAAATGGTATAAAATTTCGTTTTCGTTTAAGGGCCGCATGGAGTCACTGGCGAAAGAATGCCCCCCCGTTAAGAGCACAACACCGGTGAGTCGACAAACCTCCTGATCCTCCTGTGTATTCGGGATAAGGGCCACGATACGGGGCTTCTGATTGGCACGACCCACATATTCACAGATGGCCACCACCTGGAAATGGAAAATAATCTTAGCGGGATCTCGGGAAGGCATCCATTTTGGGGGTCTGGATTCGCGGCGGCGACACCCGAAAGGTGTCGTAATCGATTACGCGATGGAAAGGCGGGGCGTGCGCGTTGAGTCGATTTGCTATCAGAATCTCGAAAATCAAGACCAAAATACACTTTTTTAGGCAGACAGCTGTTGACCGACGAATTCCTAACTTTTATTGATAGGCAAATAGTAAAGATTCTAATCCTAATTTTCGAGATTCTGAAATAGGAAGAAAAGGAAAAGGAAAAAATACCTGGCGATGGTCCATCCGATCCAACAAATGAGAGTAGAGCGATGTGGCGCCAAGATGAGAATTGTCGTGTGGACGGATGGTGAGGGAAGGGCTCACGTGTTCCCACAGATCAATTTCACTCACAGCACGGAATTCCAGTAGACGGAGGCCTGAAATCGGGGGAAATTAGCGGAAATACGGCGCTAGCTAGCAGAGATTCTTGTGGAAAATAAACCCCTATTCTAGCTACCCGGAAAGCTAAACGAAATCATTGCGGGTAGTATCGCCAATTAGCAGCGATTTTTGGCGGAAAATTTGGGCCGTCTAGCAGGGCTTCTCGTGGAAAATCGGGGGCCAACGAGCAGCGACAATTTGCGGAATTTCAGGGCGTTAGGTAGAGAAGGCTAGAATTACCCCACGTAATCGAATTTTTTTAAAGGGATGGGCAAGGCAGGGTTTATATATTGCCTCCAGCTTTCTCCACGCAACGCACCAGCCTCGCAATTCCGTTGCGTAACCGATTACGGCATATTTTTCCGAAGGATCGTAAAGGCAAAACTCCACATGTTTTCCTGACCCTTTAAAAGTGCATACCTTTCTTGTATCGATGATGAACGTCTCGATCCCCTTGGGTGATCAGTATTCGTTCTCCTCCAACATTTCTCATTTGAGCCAATTGGTGTCGTTGGAAGGATTGTTTCGGAATGTCCTCCTTCGTCTCGTCCCTTTCCATCCGTCGTTGCTCATCATCAGCGTCAGGTGGTGTCTTCTGGAATCCAGAGATGAGAAATGAAGAATTTCTGCGAATTTGCAACGACGAAATCACCTATTTCGAATCATATTTCCAGAGAATCATCTTTTCAAAAATCGGAATTTGAAAATTTTGCCCATTTTCGGGTGTATTTTTGGCAAACGACGGACCTGAGTGGTAGACGAGTATGTGGTGATGGATTTGAGTGCTGCCCCAGTCTTTGCATGGATGGAGAATGGCGTCGGCTTCGTCTTTGTCGCCACCAGCGAATATCTAAAAGGATTTTCTTTCCAAAAACCCAAAAAATGGCACTTACGCGGCAACGTTGAACTCGAGACCGTTGCCCAGGGAGAACGGGATGACGGCATGCGTACGGACGGCACCCGTGCGACGGATCAGGCTGAAAAATTGAGATGAATCAGGGGAAATACAGCGCGTAATTGATTGGCCGGCCAATTTCCTATCGTAAATGCCGATTTTCATAGCGTAATCTATCGAAAACGCCTTTTCAATGGCGTAATCGAATATTGTCGATTTTCGTGGCGTAATTGATTGACAAGATTCCTCTCGTAATCGATGGCACACGAATTTCAGCGCGGTCGATTGCTCTTTGGCCATTTTTCTTGCTGAGAATTTGATGAAGGCAGTACCTTTCTTCAAGATCGTTGTCGTATACGCCAGCCTCCTCATCTACCGTCCGCCACATGGCCAGCGCCGCGTCGTCGATCAGCTTCTCGTCGCCGAGCACAAACACCGTGCATCTGAAACATCGTTTTTTCGAGCAATTTTTCTGAAAATAACCGCGCGTCAAAACCAGCTTGTTTAAAAAGTATAGCTGCTTTTTTCTGACGACTTTCCCGGTCAAAACTTGCAAACGCAAAGTTTTTAGCCATTTCAAGCGAATTTGATGATGATAGTCACCCTTAAAATGCTTTCCACGCCCCGCAAGTCAAATTTGGGCCAAAAATCGGGTCAAAATAGCGTGCTCAAAACTACAAAATCCATTTCACGGGTCAGAAAAGCTTCGGCCCAGTTTTTTGAGTGTTTCTGTCGCTGCGTTTTTCTGTCTTTCGCCTAGGCTGACGGTTAAACATGCCCTGGAAAACTAAAAGACCAAGCAACAAGGCAAAATTTCGCAGAATCGATTAAAACAAAGTTTTAAAAACCTAAAAACTACATTTCACGATCCAGGAAAGTAAAACGACGCGGCGAAAACCCAAAATTCAGCCAAAAACGCCAGGCAGCTTTTCGCCAGCCCTTTTCAAGCCTAAAATCGGCAATCGAAAAGTTTTGTGGGCATTTCCCGGCCATTTCCGAGATGATCAACGGTCGAAAGTGGTTCTACAAGCTTTATAAGCCAAAATCACGCCGAGACAGGTGAAAGCGGAGTTTTAAAGACTAAAAACTGCATTTTCCATTTCGGAAAAGTAAAACCGGGCCTCGGGAACATGCCAAAAACGTAGAAGTCCAAGCAATGAAAAGCGTGAAGCTTTGCCGTGCTTTTTCGAGCCAAAATTCGAACGAAAACATCAAAACCGAAGAGGTTTTTAGGTCTTTTTGGCCAAATTTGGACTGGAAAAAGTTTTCTTTATATTTTCCGGCCTCACCTTCCTCTCAGAGGCCTCCTCGGCGCATCATCATCTTTCTGCGTGGCGCTTCTTCCCTCGATATCCCTCAAATTCCGCAGCATTCTTGCGTATTCATCATCTGTCTGCCATCTCTTCCCAAATGGTGCCACATCATTCGTAAACAGCACCCACGACGTGAAGCGACGCGAGGTGCTGCTGGAAATGGAAGAATTTAGAATTCTCTCGAATTATCATACCTGTATGAAATGTTCAGCTTGCTATAACTGGCCACTTTTTGCCAATTTGCGCGCGTGTGGCCGCCGAAAGTTTCGATGAACAGCGACTGGAGATCGTCTAAAAAGGCTATACTTGTAAAAAAACGTGGAAACTACCTGTTTGGAGGAATTCCTCAAGCATCAACACACGCTCCTTGTTGAGGCAGCCAATCGGGAAAAGATGTTTCATGTTCTCCGCACCCATCGTCATCTCAGGATCCGTTTCGGTGAATGTCTGAAACGAAAATCGTTTCAAAGTCTTGTTTTTCAATTTTGAAGACCTTTTGCATTATCGGTGGTTGTTTTTCGCCATTTTTGAACGCAAAAGTCGCTAATTGCTGTTAAAAATATTAAACATATCACTTTTTTGGCCAAAGCACCGACTTTTTTACTTTTCTAAGCTTTCTAGCGAGTTTTCCGTTTTAAATTGAGCTCAATTTTGCCAAAAATACTGAAAAAACACCAGAAATTGCGGGCTTTCTGTTCGTTAGCGCGAAAAGATATTTCCATACCGTGTTGATGATGAGCACGCCGACGTAATGGCGAAGGGCTTCTTCCGTGGCACACATCCGGGCGCATTGCGTGTAGATGGCCTAAAAACGATGAAATAATCGAAATTGAAAGCTATACCTTGATGGCCTTCACGAACGAGCAGCCGGGACCGAAGGCGCCCCCTTCGACGTCATCTTCAAACATCGCCTTCGCGCCATCAACGACAAAGTAGGTCGTCTAAAATAAACAAATTGATATTAGCGACAAAAACCCACTTTTTTATTCGTGTTCTCAGCACTCAAGTCGACGACACCATCAGCCGCATCTTCACTCATTTTTGCGCCGATTTGCCTGGAAAAAAAATTGTTTCTTAGAAAAATATAAATATTAGAAGAAGGAAGGGGAAATTAGAAAAAAAGAATGTTTGAAAAATTGCATTTTGCTAATGAACCTTGCAGACATGTTTTTAGGCTAGTTTTTGCAGAAGGGGGTGTCGATTCACCACTTTTTGTGAGCTGCAAGTGCCAAAAAGGCTTGATCTAGTCGCAACTTATCTTTATTATCCTTTATACTAGATTTAACAACGGCCAGTATCGAAACTACTCTAAGACCAGCTTCAGAACAAGGAAAACCACTAATTCAAGAGATTTTCCAACGAAAACAGACCGCGACAAGGACAAGAAACAAGCAGTTTCACGGCGTTTCACACGCGGCAAGCGTCAGTACGACTGAATCTAAGCTATCCTTGAATCTACAAAACGATCGACATCGGATCTACTCGAAAGCTAGCTATATAGCCCCCAAAAGCGGGCATTTGAGCGAAATTTGCAACGCAAACAGGTGGAAACAGGGCAATCTCTCGGCCCTCCCCTGGCAAAACGATCTCTAACCGGGGGCCTGGTCACCCTCTTCAGCCCTCACAAACAACACAAAAAGGGCTAGCCGACTAGCGAGGCTCGTCGTCACTTTGGGCAACCATCTAGCACCAAAAGAACGTGAAATCCAAATCTATATATGAATGGTTTCTTCAACCGGTTGGGTCAAAAGTGTAAAATGACGAAAAAACCAAAAAAAAAACAAAAGAATTTGATTTCAGAACGTTTTTTGAACATTTACTTTTTCGAACATTCAGGAATTTGAAAGCGGATTTCCTAAACGTTTTCTTTTTCTCTATCTTTTTTCCCGTCGGGAGCGAATTCTGCCCGACTTGGGCTTCTTCGCTTCGTCTTGCCTGTCCATAAAAAGTTAAAAATCAACATTTCAAAAGTTTTGTGCATTATACAGAGCGTAATAAACACGTTTTTCACGTCCAGTCCACGCCATGGGAAGGGGCTGAGCCGTCGTCGTCTGGCCATAGTCCGGCCTATCGCTCGGTGATTTGCACCATTTTGTCTGGCTGATCGAATTCCGAATCAGCGCTGTTATGCGCCATCTGCCGATATGGATTTTTCGGCTCGATTCTACCCCCCAGGTGCCTCCAGATACGCAGATGGGCGTTTATCTCGTGATCTACTCATTAATTTGGTCATTATCGTCGGCGAGGTCTAATCACAATGCCTTCATCCATTTTATGACGATCCCGCCTCTTACATAAAACCCAAAGGAAATCTCAAAATAACCCCCGAAACAATTTTCAGAGTGAAATCGGGGGCTGAATGGGGCGAAAAGAGCGTGTTCCTCGCCGTTCTCAACCCAAATCCCCGCTGCCATTCCTGTCATTCCGCTACGAATTACAACAAGCTGTCTACGGACATCTCGGCTTTTGGGAGAAACACCGTCTTCGAGCCACCACCAAACAGGTACGCATCGCGGATTCTGAGGCAATTTGACAAAACAATTTCCAATCGGATTCCTGAAATAAATTTTTTTATATATTTTTAAATATTGTATCTATTTCAATACAAAGTTTTATATACATTTTTAAATATTGTTTTTTCCGGCTATCAAAAACCGTTCAAACATTTTTGGGTTCTCTATCCAATGGCATTTTCAAAATATCGAAATTGTTCAAAATGCCGAAGTTTTTAGGCTATAAAACTTCTATATAGCATTTTCCGCGTTGTAAAGAAGTCTCTTAGTATAATTTATGACGTTCTATCGATTGGTGTTTTAAAAATATCGAAAATCTCAAAAATTTGTTTCCCCCCGTGTTTTCTTACGGTATTTGTTAACAGTTGGCGTGCAACGTGAGCGGCATCGCCGACAACCCGTATTGGCCGGTGAGCAAATATGTCGACGACATCCTCATCTCCGTTAAACCAGCGGTATGGCTTTTACAGAAAAAAGAATGCTTCTGGACTGTTAGCGGGGGGGCTTTTTGGCAGGCAGGTTTTTTTCGGCTTTTAATCAAAATTTTCGAAATTTTGACATTTTTTGATCAAAAATGAATGAAAAATTGCCAACATTTTCGAATTTTCAGATTTTTTAAAATTATAGCTTATAGCTTTTTTAGGCTTCCTGGTAGGACCCAAATTTTCTCGGCCCAAGCCTCCATTTTTTTTATATATAGTGGATGCGTTTTTAAATTGTTTTTAACCATTCCAAAGCATAAAAGCTACACAGATTTTTATTCTAAAAAAATTCGAAAAATTGATTTTTCGACCGAAAATGACCAAATTTTCGACTTTTTGTGACTTTTTGAAACTTGTGCTGTTTAATATATAGTTAAAACTTACTAACAACCATTTAAAAACACTTTATCTTTGATTACGAGGTCAACCGGGGCCGTCAGGAGAAAATGGGTCTATTATGAACAGGTGGGAATCGCAACCAATAACCTAGAATACGTGGAAAAAACAAACGTCGTCCCCCCCCCGGCCGCCCTATCAGAATCTCTCAATTTCAGAATCTCTAAAAATCAGAATCTCTAAAAATCGGAATCTCTAAAAATAAAAATCGGTTCAGGAAGCCATACAGTTTTTGGCGCAAATTGAAACTGTATGGCGCTTTTACTCAACGTCGCCTGTGAAAACTTTTTTTGGGGTAGTTTTTTGCCCTGATCACGAAAAACGTAACCACGAATCACAAAAATTCAAAATGAATTGCTTATAGCAAAACCAAGTTTTGGGCTTTGTAGACAACAGTTGTAACCAAGCACGGAAAAATGGCGCTATGGAAATGCATCTACGGTTTTCGTGATTAGCGCAAAAAACTACCCCAGAAAAAGTTTTCAGAGGCGTCTTTGGGTAGAAGCGCATCACAGTTTCAATTTGCGCCAAACTCTGTATGGGCTCCTATACAAAGAAATTTAGAGATTCCGACATTTAGAGATTCTGATTTTTAGAGATTCTGATTTTTAGAGATTCTGAAAGTCCACCCCCCCGCTATCAGTCCAGAACCAAAAGAATGATAGCCAAATTGATGAGTGAAATGGTGAGGTGCTAGCAGGCCCAGAAAAAGCCCATCAATTCCATAATCAACTGCGCAAGAAACGTATTCTAGTTTTTGCAAATTTTGTGCGAGACCCGTTGCGGCGAGCTGCAAATCCGTTGGATGGATTTTGGCGTGCAAGCGTACATCGAATTCTACCATGACACCTATCGCACATGGAATAGGGATATTGGACCGAATCGGGACCATGGACGAAGGGAATTGAGGTACGCCGATCGATCGGCACGTCGGCTTTGACAATACACAGGTCCTCGGATCCACCCAAAATCCGATTGTATTCCACCTGGATTTGGGGTGGAACGCATGGAAATCGGCTGGATTTCGGGTGGACGCACAGGGAATCGAGTGGAAACACGACGCAACGCGTGCCGCACGCGACGCGGCAAGTGGAAATCGAGTGGAAACCGGGCGGATCCGGTCGATTTCCAACTGATTTACCGTGCATCCACCCGCAATCCGGTCGATTTCCCCGTGGAATCCGGTCGTGTCCGCTACTGGAACTCCGATCGATTTCGCGAGCAGATGCCGACCGGATTTCGGGTGGACCCGAGGACATGAGTAGGTTTGCCCCTTTCACCCGCTTTTCGGTCCTCCCCCCCGCGATAATCTATCTATCTATCTACTATAATAATTTTGTTGTGGTCTCTGTCCGTCCGTCCGGTCCCGCATTCAACTCGAAGGGAAAGGAGCTAGAGCTTAGGTCTCTTCGGATTCGGATAGAGCGACGTCAGAAACCCCCAAATTCACAAAAAAAAATTATGAAAAACTTTTAGTTTAAATTATTAAAATTAACTTTGAAAGTTTTTCCTTCGTAAAAGGCGTGGGGGACGGAGGTTGGGGTGGATTTGGACATAGTGAGCCAGGTCGCGCGCTTTCGGCAAGGGGGAAGGAGCGCAGAGGGGGCAGCCCGAAATCCAGCCACTTGCAGCGGCGAAGACGCTGGTACAAGCGAATGGATCATTAATTTGGATGTTTAGTGCGCGCGGAAGACAATCGTACATTTGCTTTGACAGATGCGATGAGGGCACGGCTATCAGGGTAATCAATAGGTTTCTTTGCCGAGTGACGTCCGGTGCTGTCGGATTGTATGTATGGCCGGACGTTGATTATGAGGTGGGAATATTTCGTGTAGAGTGAAAAAGAGAGAGTGAGAGAGAGAGTGAGAGAGTGCGAGAGAGTGAGAGAGAGTGAGAGAGTGAGAGAGGGTGAGAGAGTTAGAGAGAAAGTGAGAGAGTGAGCGAGTGACAGAGTGAGAGAGTGAGAGAGTGAGTGAGAGAGAGCGAGTGAGTAAGTGAGAGAGTGAGAGAGTGCGAGAGAGTGAGAGAGAGTGAGAGAGTGAGAGAGGGTGAGAGAGTTAGAGAGAAAGTGAGAGAGTGAGCGAGTGACAGAGTGAGAGAGTGAGAGAGTGAGTGAGAGAGAGCGAGGTGAGTAAGTGAGAGAGTGAGAGAGTGCGAGAGAGTGAGAGAGAGTGAGAGAGTGAGAGAGGGTGAGAGAGTTAGAGAGAAAGTGAGAGAGTGAGCGAGTGACAGAGTGAGAGAGTGAGAGAGTGAGTGAGAGAGAGCGAGTGAGTAAGTGAGAGAGTGAGAGAGTGCGAGAGAGTGAGAGAGAGTGAGAGAGTGAGAGAGGGTGAGAGAGTGAGAGAGAGTGAGAGAGTGCGAGAGAGTGAGAGAGTGAGAGAGAGTGAGGGAGTGCGAGAGAGTGAGAGAGAGTGAGGGAGTGAGAGAGAGTGGGAGAGTGAGAGAGTGAGAGAGTTAGAGAGAAAGTGAGAGAGTGAGCGAGTGACAGAGTGAGAGAGTGAGAGAGTGAGTGAGTGAGTGAGAGAGAGCGAGTGAGTGAGTGAGAGAGTGAGAGAGAGTTCGTGCGTGAGCGAGTGACAGAGTGAGAGAATGAGAGAGAGAGGGAGAGAGAGAGAGAGAGAGAGAGAGAGAGAGAGAGAGAGAGAGATAGCTCATAACGATACTTTTCAGGGTGAGATGCCTCAACTAAAACAACTGGCACTACTCCAAAGTCCGTTCTCCGTTGTGCTGAAGATATGCCCAGAATTGGCAGAAACCCAGATCGGTTGGCTAAGAAATCATCATTTGCGGCTGGATGCCGTGGTTTGTCTCCTTCTAGTAAAAATCACGTTTCTCGGGGCAAAATGAGGATTGAAGCGCCCAAGTCCAGCCAATCGGATAGTGCACGCTCGTACACTCTGCCAAACAACTTTAGAACCAGAGCCCCCTCCCCCCGCTAAGGGACCAGAATCGGAAACCCGATCGAATACCTTGTTAAAACCGACTTTGGACGTACCTACACTCAAGAACTGCGTTAATATGTTCGTATAGAATGCCATAAATTTAGGCAATCGTCGCTGCATTCCATTGTCCACATGATACCCATGGAACGCAAACGCTATGGGGTCGCGATTTCGGCATTTTGTTTGATCGCGTATGTGACAGGGGCAGAGCGAGCGAGAGAGAGAAAGAGAGAAAGAGAGACAGAGAGAGAGAGAGAGAGAGAGAGAGAGTGAATGTAAATTAGAAAACATTTTAGATGACGGATACGTCGGATATCCTCATCCAATTCGACGGTATCTTCCACTCGGCCCGTTCTCTATATTTAATTAAAGTTGTCGAGCAATGGGCCACACAGGTAATCCACTATAATAATTTTGTTGTGGTCTCTGTCTGTGTGAAGCCGAATTCAACTCGAAGGGGAAAGGAGCTAGAGCTTAGGTCTCTTCGGATTCGGATAGAGCGTGGTCAGAAACCCCCAAACTGATAAAAAACTTATGAAAAAGTCTTCGTTTAAATTACTAAATTTAACTTTGAAAGTTTTCCTTAGTAAAAGGAGTGGGGGGCATAGTGAGCAAGGTCGCGCGCGTTTCGGCGAAGGGGAGGGAGCGTACAAGGGGTATCTAAGGATTGAATGTGTTGAATTGAAATTGTTCTTATTTGAATGAATGTTATTAAATGATATTAAAATTAAATGTTATTAATAATTTAAATTGAATGTTCAAAAACTGTCGCCAAGCCCTCTCTGAAAGTGATTATAAAAAGATCTAAATGTCTGGAAGTTCCGCTTCATTTGTGGCTTACTCGCTAGTTAATCGCAAGTAAAACGTGGGCAATCGAACATCCTGAATATTTTCGTCAGAATCCGCCCCTCGAAAATCGTCGCCGAGTCATTCTCGTCACATTCACCAATATACTCCAGAAAAAAGCCGTAAGTCTTGGCAAACCGCCCTTTTCCGGTTCTGGTTCGTTAGCGGGGGGGATGTGACATCGCGGAGAAACTCCCGATAGCCCTCCCAATAAGCTGATTCGGAATGGGAAGACGCGGGGGAGTGGCTTCCCCCCCCCGCTAACGAACCAGAATCCCCTTTCCTGTAATAATACATCGATCGTTGTATTCAGGATATGGAAGAATTGCGTCGATTCCTTCTCCGTCATCTGCCAAAAGTCTCATCACCCGAGATGAAAATCGGACTATCTGTGGTGCGTCGTCGTCGTGCTGAATGGCTATTCACATTCTGTTTGGCCCAAAATTCCGATCTATTCTTCCCCTACACAACATTAAATACCCCCCGTATCTTCCCCACCGGGTTCCGGATGTACTACGCAGGTGAAGCCGCCGAATAAATCGATGTCCTTCTGCAACAAACGACCACACAAAGGGCCGTAGGAGTGGGGGCTCTCTCTCTCACACACACACACACACACACACACACACACACACACACACACACACACACACACACACACACACACACACACACACACACACACACACACACACACACACACACACACACACACACACACACACACACACACACACACACACACACACACACACACACACACACACACACACACACACACACACACACACACACACACACACACACACACACACACACACACACACACACACACACACACACACACACACACACACACACACACACACACACACACACACACACACACACACACACACACACACACACACACACACACACACACACACACACACACACACACACACACACACACACACACACACACACACACGAGACACAGCGAAAAGTGTCAAGTTTCACGGGTGTCGACCATCGGCTTTCAGTGCTGTAGACCGCGTGCCGTTCGATGACGTCAGACGGCAAAAGTCTGGGCGGCGAAGGCGTTCTCACCTCCTAGCGGGGCGGATCCAGGCTTTGATCGTTTCACTCGGGCAACCAAGGAATCGCAGCTGTGTTTTCTGCAATGAAACCGATGTATTTTCTGCAATTTCCCAGCTCTTTACAAGGACTTCCCTTTTTTCCTTAATCTAACTTAATACTGAAAAATATTATACCAAAACCACTTAATATTGTTCAGAAAACATCAATAAACATTTATAAATCGATTACGAACATTAATTAGTAGGAAACGCGCCAAAAAAACGGTTATTTTCAAAACCACCTCCCCGACACCTCTCCACCTCCCAACTCCCCACCTCGAACTTTACTAATTGCCTGGCTGGAGTTTCGGCCGCCTCCTGCGTGTCGGGAGGAACAAGGAAATTGTTTGTGCCCAGCGGACCAGGGAAGCACAACCAGCCCACAACAAGAAGAATGTCAAGGCGCGTGGGAAATCTCAGATACTCAACATTATGGGCAATTATCATGTACAAATTTATATGTAAAAAGAACAAAAAAGACGTAAAAAAGACAAAGGTAAAGACATAACGAACGAACGCGGGGAATGTACAAATTTATATGTAAAAAGAACAAAAAGGACGTAAAAAGGACAAAGGTAAAGACATAACGAACGAACGCGGGGAATGTACAAATCTATATGTAAAAAGAACAAAAAGGACGTAAAAAGGACAAAGGTAAAGACATAACGAACGAACGCGGGGACAATCAATTATTGCAATGGCGCTGAGGGGGGCTTAAATTGCGTCAATTGATATTCGATGCTTGGGGTGGCGTGGTCGACGTCTTTTATCAGCTCCTCGAGCCCACGAGCGATGCGGGCATGCTGAGCGTAAGCACGCCGCAGCTAAAAAAAACATTGGTTACTGACTCCGCCACCCAAAACTTCATCAATAACAGCTAATGTTTAAATTTGTAAGATACCTCTCTGTTGTCTACGTTGGACACATTTAACTCGACTCGCTGGACGTCGGTTTGAGCTCGGGCTGCACGCTGACGGAGCTGTGTAGCGTCCTGATGAAGCTGTCGAAGACGAGCATTTCGTTCTGTTACTGAAAGCAAAAAATCTTAAGTCGCCTGGCTCAAAAAATACCTATGAACACCCGAAGATTCTGTACTTCCAGCAGACTTCTTTCGAGACGCGCGAAGTGCTGGCTCATCTCGTTGAAGTCTTGTTCCCATTGGTCAAGCCGGTCCGCTTCTGGGTGTCTCTGAAAATCAAGGGGATCAAACTGGAGTTAACATAGTGTACAATGTCGAAAGGTGTAAGCAACACGAAATCCCCCTAGCGGGATTTAAATCAAAATGTTAAAGCTTACCGATTGCATCACCGGACGATTTGCTCCTAGGTTTGGCTCACTGCCCGATCCACCAGCGCCAGCGTTCTGCATTTCTAAAATAATAAAATTAAAAAAGACACTGAAAGCAATTGGAACCTCTGAGAACAATGTAATAAATCAAGGAGTGTGTCACTAAACTGGAAAAGGGCAAATTTTGAGATGAGAATGTTCTAAAAATTACTAGTTACGTTAAGTTAGTAGGTAAGTTAAGTTAATAGCTAGTTACCGGTTACGGGACTGAAACGTATGCACGAAAAATTTGCTAAAAACAAGAGAATTTCTAAAACGTCGAAATTTTTTGAAAAGGTGGCACCGCGGAATTACGCGAAAAGTTGCCTCCTTATGGAATTTCCCCAGCAAAAAAGCTGCTGCGCCGCTGTGTGGATGGTATGGCGCCGGAAACGCTTTCGGTTTTTATGCCCTAGCAAGTGTTGGGTAATTCGTCCATTTCTAGAAAAAGGCCCGTGGGGGCTAAACCATTGTCATACCATAACTGCTTCCAGCCAATTTTGAACGGTCACCCAATTGCTGAAAATTTCTAAAATTTTCAATTTCTAGACCAAAAATTGAGTTTTCGCCTAGGATCTGAGGTTTTTTGTGGCGCGTAGAAAGAGTAATTTTGCTGACCAACACGCGCCTATCAAGATCCCTTTTAGTTTTGCTGCGGAACCGGGCAACTGCAGGGCAGCTGTCCCGATACTTTCCGAATCTTTCAATTTTATGCTTTCGTGCTCCATTTTTGCCGAAAAAACGTCGCCAAAAAGACGTGTATCCTTTCGCTTTTTGCTGGACTCGGCGGTAAATTCACACTTTTTTGTTTGCACCGCGGTGTTTAAGCCTTTCTTTTCTTCTTTGGGTTTATTCAGATTTATCGTGCCTGAAAAGATCCTATTCTTTCAGAATTTGGGAAGAGATGGCAGACGGACGATGCATACGCAAGAATGCTGAGGAATTTGAGGGATGTCGAGGGAAGAAGCGCCACACAGAAAGATGATGATGCGCCGAGGAGGCCTCTGCGAGGAAGGTGAGGCCGGAAAATATAAAGAAAACTTTTTCCAGTCTAAATTTTGCCAAAAAGACCTAAAAACTTCTTCGGTTTTGATGTTTTCGTTCTAACTTTGGCTCGAAAAAGCGCGGGAAGGCTTGACGCTTTTATTGCTCGGTTTTCTAGGTTTTTGGCATCTTTCAGCGGCCTAGTTTTGCTTTTCCGAAATGGAAAATGTAGTTTTAAGGTTTTAAAATGCAGGTTTGGTGTGTCTCGGCGTGATTTTGACCTATTAGCTGTATAAGAAAGCAGGCGACCGACGATGGTCTCGGAAATGGCCGGGAAATGCCCACAAAACTTTTCTATTGCTAATTTTAGGCTTGAAAAGGGCTCGCGAAAAGCTGCCTGGCGTTTTTGGCTGAATTTTGGTGTTTTCGCCGCTTCGTTTTACTTTCCTGGATCGTGAAATGTAGTTTTTAGGTTTTTGAAACTTTGATTTGAGCGATTCTGCGAAATTTTGGATTTTTGCTTGCTTTTTGCGGTTTCGGCATGTTTTAGCCGCCAGGTTTGGCCAGATTTTGGTCAAAATTTGGCTTGCGGGAATTTGAAAGCATTTTACGGGCGCCAAATTGACTTGAAAGTCTAAAAACTTTGCGTTTACAAGTTTATTTCTCTAAAAAGCAATTTTTTTCAGACAATTCGGTGCAAGAATGGGCGACGATGCGGCTGATGGTGTCGTCGACATGAGTGCTGAGAACACGAATAAAAAGTGGGTTTTTGTCTCTAACATCAATTTGTTTATTTTAGACGACCTACTTTGTCGTTGATGGCGCGAATGCAATGTTTGAAGATGACGTCGAAGGACGCGCCTACGGTCCCGGCTGCTCGTTCGTGAAGGCCATCAAGGTATAGCTTTCAATTTCGATTATTTCACCGGTTTTAGGCAATCTACACGCAATGCGCGCGGATGTGTGCCACGGAAGAAGCGCTTCGCCATTACGTCGGCGTGCTCATCATCAACACGGTATGGAAATGTCGTGTCGCGCTAACGAACAGAAAACCCGCAATTTCCGGTATTTTGTTCAGTATTTCTGGCAAAATTGAGCTCAATTTAAAACGGAAAATTCGTTAGAAAGCTTAGAAAAGTTGAAAAGTCGATGATTTGGCCAAAAAAGTGATATGTTTATATTTTTTAAAGAAATTAGCTGCTTTTTGGTTCAAAAATAGCGAAAAACAACCACCGATAATGCAAAAGGTCTTCAAAATTGAAAAACAAGACTTTGAAACGATTCTCGTTTCAGACATTCACCGAAACGGATCCTGAGATGACGATGGGTGCGGAGAACATGAAACATCTTTTCCCGATTGGCTGCCTCAACAAGGAGCGTGTGCTGATGCTCGAGGAATTTCTCCAAACAGGTAGTTTCCACGTTTTTTTACAAGTATAACATTTTTAGACGATCTCCAGTCGCTGTTCATCGAAACTTTCGGCGGCCACACGCGCGCAAATTGGCAAAAGTGGCCAGTTATAGCAAGCTGAACATTTCATACAGGTATGATAATTCGAGAGAATTCTAAATTCTTCCATTTCCAGCAGCACCTCGCGTCGCTTCACGTCGTGGGTGCTGTTTACGAATGATGTGGCACCATTTGGGAAGAGATGGCAGACAGATGATGAATACGCAAGAATGCTGCGGAATTTGAGGGATATCGAGGGAAGAAGCGCCACGCAGAAAGATGATGATGCGCCGAGGAGGCCTCTGAGAGGAAGGTGAGGCCGGAAAATATAAAGAAAACTTTTTCCAGTCCAAATTTGGCCAAAAAGACCTAAAAACCTCTTCGGTTTTGATGTTTTCGTTCGAATTTTGGGTCGAAAAAGCACAGGAAAGCTTCACGCTTTTCATTGCTTGGATTTCTACTTTTTTGGCATGTTCCCGAGGCCCGGTTTTACTTTTCCGAAATGGAAAATGTAGTTTTAAGGTTTTGAAATGCAGTTTTGGCGTGTCTCGGCGTGATTTTGGCTTATAAAGCTTGTAGAACCACTTTCGACCGTTGATCATCTCGGAAATGGCCGGGAAATGCCCACACTTTTCGATTGCCGATTTTAGGCTTGAAAAGGGCTGGCGAAAAGCTGCCTGGCGTTTTTGGTTGAATTTTGATGTTTTCGCCGCGTCGTTTTACTTTCCTGGATCGTGAAATGTAGTTTTTAGGTTTTTAACACTTTGTTTTAAGCGATTCTGCCAAATTTTGCCTTTTTGCTTGGTTTTTTAGGTTTCCGGGGCATGTTTAACCGTCAGCCTAGGCGGAAGACAGAAAAACGCAGCGACAGAAACCCTCAAAAAACTAGGCGGAAGCTTTTCTGACCCGTGAAATGTAGTTTGTAGTTTTAAGCACGCTATTTTGACCAGATTTTGGCCCAAATTTGAATTGCGAGGCTTGGAAAGCATTTTACGGGCCCCGATCATCATCAAATTAGCTGGAAATGGCTGAAAACTTTGCGTTTGCAATTTTAGGCCGAAAAAGTCGTCAGAAAAAAAGCAGCTATACTTTTTAAACAAGTTGGTTTTGGCGCGCGGTTATTTTCAGAAAAATTGCTCGAAAAACGATGTTTCAGATGCACGGTGTTTGTACTCGGCGACGAGAAGCTGATCGACGACGCGGCGCTGGCCATGTGGCGGACGGTAGATGAGGAGGCTGGCGTATACGACAACGATCTTGAAGAAAGGTACTGTCTTCATCAAATTCTCAGCAAGAAAAATGGCCAAAGAGCAATCGACCGCGCTGAAATTCGTGTGCCATCGATTACGAGAGGAATCTTGCGGGTCAATCAATTACGCTATGAAAATCGGCATTGATCGCTTACGATAGGAAATTGGCTGGCCAATCGATTACGCGCTGTATTTTCCGGGATTCATCTCCATTTTTCAGCCTGATCCGTCGCACGGGTATCCGTACGCATGCCGTCATCCCGTTCTCCCTGGGCAACGGTCTCGAGTTCAACGTTGCCGTGTATGGGCCATTTTTCAGTTTTTGGAAGGGAAATCTTTTTAGATATTCGCTGGTGGCGACAAAGACGAAGCCGACGCCATTCTCCATCCATGCAAAGACTGGGGCATCACTCAAATCCATCACCACATACTCGTCTACCACTCAGGTCCGTCGTTTGCCAAAAATACACCCGAAAATGGGCAAAATTTTCAAATTCCGATTTTTGAAAAGATGATTCTCTGGAAATATGATTCGAAATCGATGATTTCGTCGTTGCAAATTCGCAGAAATTCGGCATTTCTCATCTCTGGATTCCAGGAGACACCACATGACGCTGACGATGAGCAGCAAGGGATGGAGACGGAGGAGACGAAGGAGGACATTCCGAAACAATCCTTCCAACGACACCAATTGGCTCAAATGAGAAATGTTGGAGGAGAACGAATACTGATCACCCAAGGGGATCGAGACGTTCATCATCGATACAAGAAAGGTATGCACTTTTAAAGGGTCAGGAAAACATGTGGAGTTTTGCCTTTACGATCCTTCGGAAAAATATGCCGTAATCGGTTACGCAACGGAATTGCGAGGCTGGTGCGTTGCGTGGAGAAAGCTGGAGGCAATATATAAACCCTGGCTTGCCCATCCCTTTAAAAAAATTCGATTACGTGGGGTAATTCTAGCCTTCTCTACCTAACGCCCTGAAATTCCGCAAATTGTCGCTGCTCGCTGGCCCCGATTTTCGACGGGAAGCTCTGCTAGACGGCCCAAATTTTCCGCCAAAAATCTCTGCTAATTGGCGATACTACTCGCAATGATTTCGGCTAGCTTTCCGGGTAGCTAGAATAGGGGTTTATTTTCCACAAGAATCTCTGCTAGCTAGCGCCGTATTTCCGCTAATTTCCCCCCATTTCAGGCCTCCGGCTACTCGAATTCCGTCCTCTGAGTGAAATTGATCTGTGGGAACACGTGAGCCCTTCCCTCACCATCCGTCCACACGACAATTCTCATCTTGGCGCCACATCGCTCTACTCTCATTTGTTGGATCGGATGGAGCATCGACAGGTATTTTTTCCTT